GGGGGGGGGGGGGAAAGGCAGGCTGCACCTCTATATTTTCATTTCCGCAAATAACTGATAAACATGGATTTGCGGCAGCTGGTTACCTAGCTATATTGCTTCCTGTCCGCACCAAATTTGTCTCTCGGCAAAATGTCTTTAAATATAAATGCTTCTTATAGAGCGCTAACTTAAGTATTTCAAGGGTTCACAACATTGATCCTAACCCTAACATATTAATCATATTTTTTGGTAATGTAAGTAAACATTCTTCTCCCTGGGTCAAAAGTTGTTGAAATTTGGGTAATAGAAACGGAGATTTATTACCTGTTTAACCTGCTGTTGTTGAAATTCTCTAAACATGTTTTGAAGGTAAGAAGAATTTATTTAAGAATTGCACGCAAAACTGCCTTATTTCTGGTAAAAACTGAATTCTTTCCTACCTTCAAAAACAATTTTTAAAAAAATCATCAACAGCAGGTATGTAGAAAGTGTTACTTTAGGTGGAAACTTAGTTTTTGGTAAGAGAACTTATGAAACAGGTTTAGAACAGAATTTCTTTAACAATATATATTTAGGTATCCATCACAAGCAAATTATTATCCAGAGGTTTATCCAAATAAACCCTCTTCAAGTTACGGACATCCTCCTTCTGTTGAATATCCAGACCACGACAAGTAAGCACTATTACATATACTTACTTTCTGCAGTCAAGCTCCATAGGAACATAAGCCATCATGTCGCTCTGATTTTGAAGAATTTTGATAGAAAGTGTATTGCTAAAATGCATGTTAATGTGTGCAGAATGAGTTTACAATTACAAATTGATAATTATTTTAACTTTAAGTATAAAGCAATTAGATGGAAAATAGCTCTTGGCTGTTTTAAATTTTTGTTTTTGTTAGTAGTTTTTACTGGAGGTATTTTCCCAAAGAATTTTCCCAAGGGCAATTACCCAAGTGGCAACTACCCTAAAGGTTAGGTTAGGCCTACTGAGGTGCTACAGGCTACAAGGGGGGGCCAAGCGCTGTGGCTAGGATAGGCTAGGGGGCTTAGTGATGCTGCTAGAACAAGATAGGGGCTTCGTGCTGCGACAAGGACAGACTTTGGAAGTTGCAATTTGGGAAATGCCAAAATTGTGAAAATACCTTTGGAAAAGTACCTAACATCACTAAGTAACAAATACATTTTAAATTGAGTACAAATTTTTCAAACATGAAGCTATTATTTTATTTCTGTACATATCTGAATAATAAGATTAATTGAATTTTGGCAAGTAGCATCTTCCAGTAAGCGAATTTTCCGTAAATCTCCACTTGCTCTTTTTTAGGTCAAAGTTTGATGATGTCAAACATGACAAAGACAAATGCCCTGCCAAATGTACAGACTGCACTGATGAATGTGGCACCTTTAGATGTTCACCTAACTGTGATGACTGTTCTCTTGAATGCGGCACTGACCGGTGTTCCCCTAACTGTGAAGGCTGTGAACCTGGATGTGGTACTGACCGATGTCCTAGAGCGTGCAATGACTGTCCTTCTGAATGTGGAACGGACAGATGTCCACCTGCAGACTGTGGGTGCGACGATGGGTGTGAACCAGTATTCAAAGCTGGGAGATTTAAGTAAGTCCCTTTAAGAGGAAGATGTATGTATGAAGTGCACTAAGCCTGGTTAAGGGTTAGGGCAATATATTTTAAAATTGAGATGGCATTTTTTTCAAATCTCTGAAAATGTTGTAAGATAATTCTTGAATTGATAAGGTAAAAAGCCAGAATATATTCAGAAATATGCAATTAAATGTTAAAAATATGATAAATGAATCATCTAAACCAATCAAAATATAACTTTTAAGATCAAGCAGGGAGGGTGGGTGTAGAGCCACCATAAGCCCTGCAAAATGACCTCCAAGCCTTCTGATTTGCAGAATGACCTCCAGCCCCTCAAAACCATCTCCGTGCCTTTTGCTAAGTCTCCAAGCTTCTGCAATTCTGTCTCCAAATTCAGCATTCTGATCTCCAATAAAAGATTTTTGGCTTTAACATCCACCAAAAGCCTTTTTTTAATATGATTATAAAAAGACAGAAATTCAAGTTTTTCACAAATACTATTAGGTTTTGTTAGTTGGTGCTCAAAAAGTTAGATTTTTACATGATAAACCTGAAAATATTGTAAAAGAATTGAGCTTTTGCAACAAACTTCATGATTTTCTAATCCTTATATCTTTGCAATCCAATGTGATGACCTTAGATATTTCAAACTTTGAATTCGTCAGATCAAATAATCTAAGTTTGAAATATCAAAGCAATTACACCTTCATGTTGCAAAGATATAGTGATTAGAAAATTTGAGCTTGTGGCAAAAAACCAAATTGTTTATTATCAGGTTTAGATTTTTCGACAAAAAAGCTTTTGTTGGATATATAAGCCAAATATATTTTTTTGGAGATTAGAATGTAAATCAGGAGGCTCGGAAGGACATTTTGCAGGGCTCTTGGTGGGTCTTCACCCCTCCTTATCTTCCTTATCCAGCTTAGACAGCAAAGTGGTCGGCCATGACAATAAAATGGTGATTAACTCAACAAGGGATTGAGCCAAGGTAAAAAGGAAAAGTATGCTCACCAGTGATACAAAAGTTCAGTTAAAGATAAAAAATTTTAAAAATTTTATTTCAGTAATATAATCAATCCAGAAGACGATGTATGCTGTTCCTCTCAAGCTGCACGCATGGCCCTTGTAGCTAAATTTGATGAATACTGTAGCAACACATGCGCTGGAGTTCCTCTTGATACTTGCTATACGTTCAATTCCGCTTTCTCGTCCCTTTGTTCCTGCAATGGCAATTTTCCCGGTCCTGATCTCCCAGATACTGACTGTGTTGAAGCCACTGGAGACGTGGGAAAAGTAAAGGATGCCATCACAGAGTAAGAGTTTATATAACAGGGAGCATTGGGACATTATTTTGGGCATTGCGTTGCAAACCCTACCAATACGTGGGGGGGGGGGGGGGGGGGGGGGTAGGGGCTCCCCATATGGATGAGCATCGATTACCTTAGTAAAGGTTTACAGGGTAATAATGCCTATTATAGCTCATTTTTTAACTGCTTTGAGCATAGTTTTTGGTCCCCTCTTCTTTTTCTTGTCCCAGGATCAATCTTAACCTTAACAGGAATTATGGAGGTATATTTGACTTGCATCATAGATTAATCAATAATAAGAGAAAAAACATTAGATGTCGTCTTTTCAAGAGGTTTTCGTTACGCGCATGCTCCAGAGTTCACAGAGGGAGCCTGTTTTATGCCGTATGCGTAACTATTTTGTGCCTCTGCCTCAGGGATATTGTGTACAAAAACCCCCTAAATCTTGAAAAACGACATCTAGTTTTCTATCTGTTATTGCTAATTTATGTATAACTTGTAGCTACAGTCTGTACATTGAAGAGGTAAAGTATATTCTTTTCTTGTTTCAGTGATGAAAAACTGGGAGATTTTCTTACAGAGGCTGAGGAGCAAACATTGGAAGATATTTGTACTTGCTTAGCTGACAATTGTAAGCAAAGGCGTGGCTGGAAAATGTTGTGTAAATGTGTCAAAAGTGCAGCAACACAATAAAATCTTAGATTCTCCCAGAAATCAGGTATTTAATACGTTATTTCCTAATGTTATTTTTTGAACAGGTATTTTAATACTTTTATTTTTAGTTGTTTTTCAAGGTAAAATATTTAATGCAAAATCTAAAATATGACCGTGGTTACTGTTAGATAAAAGTAAACATGCATTTTTATTGAAAATGCAAACTTTTATATATTAGTTTTAGCAGATAAGCTCAATAATTGAGATTTGATTATAACAGCCGAGAGAAACCGTATAATGTATGCAAAAGAATAAATAGATTCTGTACCGCCGTCTCTGAAGTCTCATTCTTTGTGGATAACACTGTATTTCTGTAATTAGATTAAACCCTTATATGTCTATATGTTTTTAGGTGAAATGTTGAAAAGAGAAGCTGCTAGTTTAAGTAACAAGTATGCTGTGATCACCTCTCTATATTTCTTATTTTACGTGTCAATAAATAAATTACTTATTTAAATGTATATTTTTTTTAAGTCCTGAAAACACTTTCTGAATTACTAATTTGTGCTAAACAGCAGCATTTTTAATTGTAAAGGCACGTTTTGTGTTATTTTAACCAATCCTCGATTCACAACAGAAAGCTTTTAACCAGAAATACTTTTCTATAAATGAAGGTTTACTTGAAATACCTCGTTATAAATGAAGGTTTATACTTGAAATATCTCTCTATAAATGAAGGTTTACTTGAAATATTTCTCTATAAATGAAGGTTTACTTGAAATATCTCTCTATAAATGAAGGTTTACTTGAAATATTTCTCTATAAATGAAGGTTTAATTGAAATACCTCTCTATAAATGAAGGTTTACTTGAAATACCTCTCTATAATTGAAGGTTTACTTGAAATACCTCTATAAATGAAGGTTTACTTGAAATACCTCTCTATAAATGAAGGTTTACTTGAAATACCTCTCTGTTAATGAAGGTTTACTTGAAATATCTCTCTATAAATGAAGGTTTACTTGAAATACCTCTCTAAAGATGAAGGTTTACTTGAAATACCTCTCTATAAATGAAAACGAAGGTTTACTTGAAATACCTCTCTATAATGAAGGTTTACTTGAAATTACGCCAAGATCTCTTTAATCATACGCAATACGATTTTGTCTATTCAAAAAAAGAACATGATTTCCTGAAACTATTTTACAGTTATTTAGAATTGGATATAAAATGAATTATTCAAGCTTGGTGTGAGATTTTTTATGTTAAAATATATAATTTTTTGTAAAAAAATTTATGTAAATTAATTAAATTTGACGTCAGATTGAAGTTCGAAATATTTTTACCATCTTCTTGACAACATCAAAGTTCTGAATTTCTATAATGTTTAAAGGGACAGCCTGGCTATGTATGGTAGTTGAACTGAGTATGTAGCGTTGTGGACAAATTCTTTAAGATTCATTTCAGATATATAACTTTAAAAGATCTGTAGATCCTGAGTTTAAGCGCAAAGTCGACGTTCAAAATAAAAATTAATCTTATCATCGAGAATTAGTAATCTTATTCAATTTTTAGTTTCTATAGTCTCTTCATTATTCACAAAGATTTTCTGCAGGTTTTCTGGAATTTTTATTAAAAAGACGACATTTGAAGAATTTGTAGAAATCCGTGAATTATGAAACAAAATATTATAGCATTGATTTATTGACAAATTTCTTTTTAGAAAAATGTTCCTTAGTTTACTTTATTATTTTTACTTTATTTTTCGTCGTCGTTGTTTAATGATTTTTAAAAAGCCAATTCTGAAAACGTACCCACTCAAATTCATGATTTTGAACGTCGACTTTGCACTCAAACTCAGTAATTATACATAGTGGAAACGTTTTAATATGTCTCAAATGAATCCTAAAGAATTTGTCCACAACACTGCATACTCAGTTTACCTACCTTACATAGCCGGTCACTCCCTAATAAAATAATTTTCTGTCCTCATTACTAAAGAGGTTACATTACAAAGTCTTGTATCAGTGAGATCGTATAAATTTGCTTGTCTGTCTGTTTGTATCCAATAAACGTTAAAAAGGCTGTACCGATCGGGCCCAAATTTTGTGTGTAAAATTTTGAAAATGCGTGAAAAGATATGAAATCCGCAATTGTTTTATTTTTTTACTGTTAACGAGAAGATCCAGATGCTCACAGAGACACAATTAATATAGTAAAAAAGTATGTTATAGTTCCACATTTATCTTAATTAAGCAGTGACCATGCAAAACACAGAAATAAAGTTCAAATTAACACTATGTTAGCTCCACACTTATTTTTAAAGAAGTGACTGCAAAACACAGAAATAAAGTTCAAATAATCAATATAGTTCAAATAAGCAAAAAAATAGTTCAAACGTTCACAGAATGTTGATAGTTTGAACTACCACATGTGGCACCACGTACAAAATTATTTCAACTGAGCAATGGGTTTTTAATTTGGACCATTGTCCGTTGGAACTTTAGTCAAAATGAACATTAGTCCAAACGAAGGATAGTTTTTTCTGGTCATTAGTCCGATTGATATGATGCCAAATGATATTTTCTTGCAAAGACGACAAATAAAATTTAATATAATCGTACGGAGCATGAAATGTCTTAATGCTACGCCGACGCAACCGGCCGATGAAACATTTTTATTGGAAAAAATTTTAACTTATTATTAATCATTATTTTTTTGTCAATTCTAGATATTTTATCGCTGTGTCCCGATATCGTAACTATTGTCTTCATGGTACTATAACATTTTGTATAATGGATTCAGGATGGGGTATTTTTGATTTTATGAAAAAGTGACTGCAGGGAGATTTTTTTAATCTATTCTTAAAAATCAAAATTAAAGTATTATAAGGTGCCTGCTTGCTATATCTTCTTGCGGTCCTAATGTTTTCCGAAAAGCGTTTTCTATGAGGTAATTTCCTAGTATACGACTTTTGGAACCCATCTCCCACCTCCTAACAATTTTGTACATGGATCTCATATATAACACATGGATGTTATTGGTCATGTGGCCGCAGCCCCCGGCCCCCTAGCCCCGGTGCTTGGTGTCCTAGCCGCAGTGTTTGGTTTCCTAGCCGCAGCGCTCGGCCCAGAAAGTGTCCTAAACAAACCTAACCCTAAATATATACTTATTTTGATGAAAATAGTTGAAATCAAGGTTATGTACAAAATTGATAGCAGGGGGTCAAAAAATCGTATACTAGGACGGACCCTTTCCATGAGATTACCTAATAACGAAGGATTAAAATATTAAAACTTTTAATCTGTAACGTTCAGGACCTTCTGCCCCTTCTAAGGTTCCTACATAACCCACCTGTAGATAAAATTGTGTTCAATCTGGCTAAATCATAAATTGCTTTGATTTCAGAATTTTCAATTCCATGGTTGAATCTAGCCCCCTAAGGAGCCCTGAGAAGGGGGAGAAGGAGAGAAAGAAATCAAGGTATCCAATTATCCTGTCTAGTAACTATTTTAGAGGGTCTGTCGACAGAGTGCTTTGTCCGATCCACATCAATACACCCTTCAAACATTTGTCTGATCTAGGATTTAACTGAAAATTATTATTTCCTTATCTGTTTTTTCTTTTCAAAAGTGACTTGCGGATTTACAAAACAGAGACAATTTTACGAGACAATTTAATCACTTTTTCACTTCACTAGGATATTAGGATTTAAGCTTTATTGTTCATCAGATATAGGTTTAAAGGACACTGTTGTGAATCAAGATAAAGTCGTCGTCGATAGTTCCTTGATTATAGGGAGAGTCCTTTGATAGTGATATTCCCTTGATAGGGATAGTCCCTTGGTTGGGATAGTCCCTTGATAGGGATAGTCCCTTGATAGGTATTATTATTATTATTAAAAAAGCACTTCTGGGGATGTTTTGGTCCCCTAGGAAGTCACACCCATCAGTACTTCCCCTCACGATACGTGTGCAATCACGCCTGGGGTTGTTCGTTTGTTAATCGCTTAGGGGATGTCCTAATTTAAACCCTGGATGTAAGCGCACCGGGTGTAGGGATTTTCGAGAACCTAAGTAAGCCGAATCCCCAGGTTGACATCCACCAACCCACCCACCCCCTCTTGGGACACAGGCCCAGTGTTGAGGGTAGTTTATTTCTTTGTAAAATCGTTCATAGCAATTTCCAATAAAATTTATAAAGGAAAAATATTGGTCTGGCAACTAATCTGTAACATTTGATTTTAAATAATAATTTGTTCAGTTATTACTATATTTGATAAAATAATATAATTTCTTGATATTTTGGACTTTTCTTAGTTTCATATATATCTATTTTATAGAGAGGGGAGGGGTCACACTTATGTATCTTACTTTTTAATTTTTGAATTAAAGTTTCTAGTTGCTATATAATTAAATTCCTGCAGGTCAAACAGCAGAAATAAGGCCAAATCAAGCTCCAAGTCGAGATCTCGCTCACGTTCCAGGTTTGTAGGCTTTCTTATCTATGTAATAAAGCTCTTCGCTCATCTATATATTTATATATATTTTGGCAAAAAAAAATATTACATACGCAATCACACTAAAATGAATCTTGGTTTTGAAGTACCGAAAAGAATAAAAAAATTTGCCTACTGATGTCCATTGTCAAATTTTTATTTTTTTCTGAAATATATACTCACCTCTGTATTAACTTTTCAATTTAATTAACGTGTCGAGGTTTTGCAGGGGATAGGTATAAGGTATAATGTGGATCAAGCATTAATCTCAATATCAGCTATTCTAAAGTTTTCAGCTCTGGACAATTTTTGATTTGCAGAAAATTGTCATTAGTCTTTAAAAATCTGCTTTAGTCTGTCAAATTTAGAACTATTATCTCCATCAAAGCTTAAAAAAAAGATGATTAATGGATATCACCGTTGTGAATCAATGATGAAAAAATAACTCTATTTAAAAAAAGTTCTTAGAGATATTCGATTTTTGTCATTTTTCGCTGTTTCAGATCTTATTCTAGATCCCGATCTAGATCCCGCTCCCGCCGTCGATCTCGTTCCAGGAAACGATCTGGACGAAGTCGATCTCGAAGCCGATCTCGTCGATCAAGATCCAGATCTCGTTCTCGAGGGTAAGAATCTCTATAGTTTGGATATTATTTAGATAATTTTAATGAAGTAGAAGTAGGACTTTCTATGGACTTATTTAGAAGGAGGAGGTCTAGAAGTAGGTCTGGTTCTTTGGACCTCGAAGGACATCGTCTCCATGTAGCAGATTTAGACAACTCAGCGTCTAAACGAGACGTGGAAAAGGTAGTTTTGATAATTTATTGATCAGTCATATTTATTTGAAATCCAAGTAAAAAGTAACGAAGAAAAAATATAAAAAAAATATTTTTTGCTTGAAGTATCATAGAAATTACATAAAAATGGCAAAATTTGCTTTTGACCAGCCATTTGAAAAATTAAACCCGTATCTAATAAATAATGTAGAAGATATCTTCGCATTTCTAGCTTGCAAAGTGTTCAATTTTAAGACTTGGCCCTTTTGTTTCTGTTGTGTAAATCCGCAGGTCAAAATAGTTTTTCGAGAATAAATTATGGAGGCAAAGCTTTTATATGTACTGTTGTGAATCTGACAAACCCCTCCCTCCTATTATAGAATAAGAGTCACCTAAAATTTCGTCTACAATTCCTTTAAGGTGTTTGAGAAGTATGGAAAGCTAGTTGAGGTGTGGATGGCAAGATCTGTGCCTTGCTTTGCTTTTGTGGTTTTTAAGTAAGTTTTTGTTAGCGTATCTATATATATATTTATATATATGAAGTTCTAATCTCTGTTTGTCTGTTTCTTTGTTTGTCCGATCATAACTTAGGAACCCCTTGACCGATTTGCCTGAAACTTTGATTGGGGAACTCATATTATAATTCTGGAAAAGCTTCAGAGCTGTTATATTATTGCTATTATTATTATTAGCATCATTTAGTGTTATTTTTTATTATTATGATTATTATTATTATTATTATCATCATCATTTTTATCATTCAAACTACAGTTAAAATATTAAGCCTAGGCAATTAACTTTTGTCTGCTTGGGGTTCAGTGAATCATATCTGATTGCTAATTTTGTTTTTAAGGATTCAGTGTGTTATTTTCAAATATGTAAAAAGTCAGTAAAATGCCGTGGAAAGACAAAGTAATTATAACAGTGCACAAATATATATATTTAGGCGTAAAGAAGATGCATACGAAGCTTGTCGGAGTGCAGATGGTTTGGAGATATGCGGGAGGTAACCATCAACTTTAACTCATGCCACTTTAATGCAATAAGCGGATTGCGTTTCTTAAAAGGACTGTCAACGTGATTTTTAGTAAGCGGCATGTCTGATTCACAACTCTATTTTTTAAACCTTAATTTGATAAATATACTGTGAGATAACGTCGCGCGCTTCTCTGTCTTAAAAAGTTTTAAACTCTAATAAATCCTCCACTGTTTGAATCAAAAACTAAAACATGGATATCGAAATCTCTCATGATCAGACAAAACTTTATTTTCAGGGAAATTTCATCAAAATTATTAAATATATTAAAATCATAAACTTTATCTGTCTGACAATGGTTTTCCTCTTCTATATATGGCTTACTGAGAGCGGTTCAGAATAATTAAGATAGTTTTTTCTATCTCATTTTGTAATGCCTTTTAAACGCTTTCATAAAGAAAAATATAAATTCGTGTTTTTTTGCGGAATTCCGTTTACTTGCATCGAAAAAAAAAATCATTTAGTTTGTTCATAAGTCGGAAATTTTATATTGTGATTCTTGGGATCATGCATTGATCTCCGGTTTATGGAGACCTAATTCTTAGGATCATGCATTGATCTCCAGTTTATGCAGACTTACTGATTAATTTAATTTCTCTTTAATGTCCCGGGGGGGTCACATCCTGCAGGGATAACTAAAATTGAGGAATTAAGCATTTATACCTAAATTAAAAGTGCCCACAATGGATATATAGATGAAACAACAATAATCAATTATACTCAACCCAAAAAGTTACAACCTCTAGATAATTTAGATTTTGTGCTACAATTAATCTTCTAGATCTGTTCGTGTGACAGTAGCCCGGCCCCGAGCTCGACGTGGAGGAGGGGGAGGTGGTGGAGGAGGGGGTTCCTTTGGTTCAAGAAGAGGTGGATTTGACCCAGATCTGCGATGTTATCAAGTAAGTAAAACTTCTCAGTTTAATCCTCCAGATTAATTCCTTTGCATAATCCCTTAGTTAAATTATTCAGATTAATCAACCAAATAAATCCCCAAGGTTAATCAGCCAAATTAATCCCAAAGGTTAATTACCCAGATTAATCCCCTAGGTTAATCCCCCAGATTAATCTCTTAGGTTAATCACCCAGATTAATCCCCTAGGTTAATCCCAAAGGTTAATCACCCAGATTAATCCCAAAGGTTAATCCCCCAGATTAATCTCCTAAGGTTTATAGTTGTTATGATTTCAGTGTGGTAATCGTGGACATTTCTCCCGAGATTGTCCGGACACAATGTTTGGTTACAAGCGTAATATTAAATAGATAAGTTAAACAATTGTAATCAGCTAACAATTCTATCAAATACAGAAGTATTTTTGAAAAATTTACGATCTAGTGGGATAAAGGAAGACTTGTTTCATGTTTCAGTTGATTGTATATACGCTTAAAATTGAAAAATGCTCCATTTTTCTAGACACCCAGTAGGATATATAATTTAGCTTAATTTTAGAGCTGGATACAGAGCTCCGCCAGCCGGAGCCCGCCGCTCTCGGAGCCGGAGCCGTAGACGATCCCGTTCCAGATCCAGGTACACTAAAATGGGAGGGTTTACCAAAATTAAATGGTGCAAAGGCTCAATTTAAAATCGATATTGATATCAGTCGGTACTAATTTACATCGAATTCAATTTTTTTCATATTCACTAAACTCAAATTACAGCTGATGTTACAGACCTAATTTAAAGAATTTGAGCCGACGCTCAATTGAAACCGGTTTTTTTGGCGGATTTGAGACACAGCTCTAATTCATTAAATTCGTACTCTGAACGATTTGAGTTCCAGCATCCAAGTACTTTTGGATATTATTATTTATTTCACACCAGTACTTCCCAAATTGAATAAGTTCTTGTAGGATTTAAACTATTAAAAAAGATTGGAAAAATTTTTTTTTTGTAAATTTTATAAGTTCCCGGCTCATAAGTTTATTTTAAAACTGTTATTTTTAATTACTTCAGGAAGAACTAATTCGTATTTTCTTATCCTACAGATTAAAGTAATTCTGTTTTTAGTTTGAAAATCCGACCAATAAAATATTATAATAATTAAATAATATGAAAATATTGATTTTAGGAGGCGTAGGAGTAGGAGCAGGAGTTAGTGGTTGAAGGAGAAGAGTAGAGTGACAGTTCAATTGTAGGATTGTCCCTGGAGGCTGGTTAATATTGTTGATCATTGTTGAGAAATCAGAATCAGTTCAGAAACAAAATTCAATTTGTGATTGTACCCTTTTTTCAATAATTCCCTTTAAGATGACATCTGAAAACTTCCTTTGGCCAGTTTCCAAAATAGCATTTTTTCATAATTTCCCTTCACAGCCTAGCCTCAGCGCTAAAACTCTGGGTATTCTATATGCAAGCTACAGCGTTCACTACAGCCCTAAATATTTTTTGTCAAAACCTCTTTCCGATTTTCTTTAGTTAAACCCATCCTAAGATATTAAAAAAAACTCTTTTTGTTCTTTGACAAATTCAACTTTTGGAAACAATTACTCGAAGGAATTCAAATTTATTATTAGTAGTAAACCTAAATTCGACATGTTAAATTATTTTTTCTCTGCGTACACAGCATTGGGAAGAAAAATCAAAATGTTACCATTTTACACTGTACAGTAGAACAGCAGCATAACAACCTTCATGTACAGTATGTACGATTGTTCGACACATGGGTATGTCTCTCCAAAATCTGAATTTTTTCTCAAGCATGAAACCATTTATTTACAGAAGCAAAATGAATTCAGCTTAATATAGTGCAGTGCTTGGAAGCTGAAGTGATTTATATGTAAGTATTAAAGAGACTGTAAGCGTAATTTCAAGCGACCCTCCATGCACACAGATGGCAATGACCGATTCATAATGGTATGGAACCGATAAAAACCATTATCGGTTTAATAACGCAGAAGATACTGTTGTTTTTCAGGTTTAAAAGTGTTTGTTTCTTATAATTCCCATATTTTTTCCTACTGTAGAAATGTGCAAGTCACTTTTAAAGAGAAACTACCAATGTAAATAATCATTATTTAAAATAATAAATATTTAGGTCTTATTCATACTTAATCAAACAAAGCTTTAAAGGGTACCGTTCTGAATCGGGCATTACCATCTTTGCATGGAGGGTTACCTGAAAGTACTCTAACAGTCACTCAAAAATGCTCTCCATTTCATATTTTCCTTAGATTTTTAAAGTTATTTTCCTCTTTTTTTAAATATCCTCCTTCAGAATGTAGATGTTGAAATTGAGTTCACTGTATAATATACCGACAAATTTTAATTTCTTGGTTAAAATGTGTTTAATTAATGTGCCCACTGCCTAGGTCACTGGGTTTGGTGATCTTAATATTGCATACATTTTGTTGAGCTCTCATTCCCCTTAATCTTGCATACATTTTGTTGAGCTCTCATTCCCCTTAATCTTGCATACATTTTGTTGAGCTCTCATTCCCCTTAATCTTGCATACATTTTGTTGAGATCTCACTCCCATCTCAAATGTTTGTAAAATACTCCATAAAACTATAAAAGTTTACATATTACTTGTGTTAACTTATATTTGGATGGGGAAAAAAGCGGTTCAGGGTTAAGAGTGTGTGTGTGGGGGGGGGGGGAGGTTGAGTTTTATTTTGAAGAATTGAAAAAAAAATTTATTGCTTGTTTTGTTAGAAAGCTGGGACAGCAAATTTGTTAATGATAGGTAAAGATTGAAAATGATTTCCTTAAACAATAAATGATTTAAACCTTAGCATCATAATTTAATTTGAATTCTTATGTGTTCTTGGTAAATATTTAAAAATTAAATTACTTGAATTTCTTCAACTGTAAGTTCAGGTTTATAAGAATAAAAACACCCCCCCCCCCCCCAGTCCCCATCCACTTAACAATATCAAAATTCAGTCCATTACTCAATTTTTTAACAACAGTACCCTGCTTTTAATAAATAATTTTTCATCCCAATTAATTTAAAGAGCTGATTTCAAAGTTTATAGGAAATTAAAAAAATCCTAATTTCTTCAAAATTCTTGATGATATATAATTTTATTTTCTTCAAAGTTTTTTTTTCAGAATTAAGATAAATGATTTAAAATCTTGTTGAACCGCCATCAACACAGAACCACCTTATAAGTTTATTAAGGGTAAGCACTCAAATTTTGAATTATCTATTTTTAAAATTTTACTATTTAACTTGCTAATATAGAAAGTTTACTTGGCAGGTTGGATTTTAAAAAGTTAATAATTTCTTGCTGAATTATATTTAGTTTTGAGGAGATTTTTGGAACCAAATTAATGAAAAAAATACAATTATTTTGTTCAACATAACCACGAAATTTCCATTTTGTTATCTGAAATTGGAATGTCAAAAGTGAATCTTGAACTTTACCTTTACTTAATAAATGGATAACAATTTCTAGAGGTTGATTGTTAATGGTTGTCATGGTCATGTTTTGAAATTCTTTAAACTTCAAATGCATTTTCTTTTTATTTTTCTTTTTAGAGAATCTGTATAAATTAAGATGAGGACTAGAAAATCCAGAGGAGGTGCTTCTCCAAAGAAAACCTCCCCCAAAAAAACTACACAAGAGAAGTTGGCTGCTTTAAAGGAGACATCTTCTCCAACAAAGATATCTTCTCCTAAGAAGAAATCTTCTCCTAAGAAGACATCTACGTCATGTTCTCCAAAGAAAACAGTGTCAAAGAGAATTGCCAAGAAGAAAATTGGTACCACAGAAGAAAGTAAGTCTAATGAAGATAAAGTTTTAGACACCAATAATGCTGTTGAGATGGAAGATGTTGAGAATGTGGAGGATGTAGATAATGATGGGGATGTTTTTGATGTTCTTGACAGCCAGGATGAAGAAGATGTTGAAGATTTCAAAGACAATCCAATCAAAGATTTGCAAGTGAAAAACAAACAAGAAGATAAGGCTGAACCTGCTGATGTTGAAGATGTGGAAAATATAGAAGATGTGGAAAATATAGAAGATGTGGAAGATGTAGAAGATGTAGAAGATGTAGAAGATGTAGAAGATGTGGAAGAAATTGAAGATGTGGCAGATGTTGCAGATGTAGAAGATGTGGAAGATGTAGAAGATGTGGAAGATGTTGCAGATGTTGCAGATGTTGAAGTGGTTAAAGAGGTTAAAGAGGTTAGAGAGGTTAAAGAGGTTAAAGTGGTTGAAGAGGTTGAAAAGGTTGAAGAGGTCGAAGAGGTTGAAAAGTTTGAAGATGTGGAAGATATAGAAGACAAGGAAGATGTAGGAGATGTAGATATTAAAGATGTTGAAGATGTTGAAAGATGTTGAAGATGTTGAAGATGTTGAAGATGTTGAAGATGTTGAAGATGTTGAAGATGTTGAAGATGTTGTAGATATCGTAGATGTTATGGATGTGGATGATGAAAAAGTCAGAGATCAAGAAGAAGTAGGAGAACAAGAAGATGTAACAGAAGAAAAATCTGCTGAAGAATCTGCAGAAGAAGCTGCAGAAGAAGCTGCAGAAGAAACTGCAGAAGAAGCTGCAGAAGAAGCTTCAGAAGAAGCTTTAGAAGAAGTTGCAGAAGAAGCTGCAGAAGAAGCTGCCGAAGAAGCTGCAGAAGAAGCTGCAGAAGAAGCTGCAGAAGAAGTTGCAGAAGAAGCTCCGGAAGTCAAAGCAGTAGAAGAAAAAGTTGTAGAAGAATTTGTAAAAGAAGCTGAAGGCAAGGAAGCAACAGATGACAGTGGTAAGGATATTGCAAAGAAAGTAGGTCCTGACAATTCTGAATCAATGAATACTGGAGAAAACTTTGACATTGGAGATGTTCTAGATTTTGAATATGAAGATGAAGAAGAAGATAATCCAATAGAGGAAAACAAAGTTGATAAAAAGAATGAGTCTGAAAAGAAACATACCCTTACAAAGGAACATTCTAAAACAACCAAGAAACAAGTAACATCAATTGCCCCTAAAAAGGTTCCTGCAAAGAAAGTATTAGAGGAGGAGGATGTTGAGCTTCAACTTAATGCTGAAGATGATGTTGAGCTTCAACTTAATGCTGAAGATGATTTTGACCTCCAAAATGAGGTTACCAATGATAATTTGGATTCAGATATTATTATCGAAGATAATGACATTGAGATCATAATGGACTTAACTGAGGAAAGTCCACAAAAAAATGCCAGCAAGGGGAAGGTGTGCGAGAAAGGGAAGTCCATAGATTCAGTAAAGAAAGCTGCTAACAATAAAACAGAAGATAGTAAAGAAATTGAAGAGCTGCTAAAATGTTTGGTTAGTATATATTTGATAAAGAAATATCATATCAAAAATCTTTTTTTCTTGTAACATTTTGTTTACATCTTTTCACTGTTCAGGTTTGTAAAAATATCTGTGTGAGGGGGGTTTCTGTAAAGTGCTGTGGTTCACAAGCATGCAGAGCTTGTGCTACTAGAAGGGTAAGCAATGATACTGATTGAATAAATGGTAGATAATGTCTCAAATCTCTTTTCCCAGAAATTCTTCTCTTGGCCCTGAAGGAATATTTGAGACTTATTTTCAAAAAGCAATTTTTTTATTTATTAAGTCTACTGACCTTTCTTCAAAAATATTATCTAATATTTAGGTGTTGGCCTCTAAGAACTGCTTTAAATGTCCTAAAGCAATATCTTCAGATGATTTAGTCAATGACGAAAAGCTCAGGTATATAATTTTGGACTAAATCAGTCATGCTGACGAGGAGGTAATAAGTAGATTATTATAACTTTATGAATATTACTTCTGAAGTAACTTGACTAAGCCTATTTTTCAAAATAGTACATTGAATTACTTTAAATCATAACTTCTGTAGTTTGATTTACATGATATAAGATTATAAACTGAGATTTTTGTGTTTATAAATTGTTCAGAAAAATTTAGTGTTGTGTGTGGAACTAATGTTCCTCTAATCACTACTGGATGTCAAGAAAAGAAAAGATATTAATATGAGGAGTGGTTTTCTATACAGAAAATAATCTCATTTTGTTCTGGTGCATACAATTCAAAAATAGATTTCTGTTCCTGAGTTCAGGTTTTTTGAATTATTAAGAGGCATATACACAGAGGGCTTAAAACAAATCACAAGGCCATTGTGACTTCAACAATCTTTTAGTTGCCGAAAAACTGGTTACAAATGAAATAGCCTTCAACGGCTATTAAAGACTATCACATATATATTTCTGGTTACCAGGTCAGCAGTGCAACTGTTTAAAGCAGGAAAGAGTATCCCAAGCTCTGCAATTGATGCTATCAAGGTAAGTAATTGTGAAAAATGTTTAACTGTTTTTTAAGTATAATCAGTTTTTTTAAAAACAATATCTATCTTAGAAACGACTGAAAATTAAGCAGGTGCAAGAAAAAAATTCTGCACAAAGCAATCCAGTCGGAACAAAGAAGACCACTGAAGTATCTGCAAAAACAAGTGGTCCATGTGATAAAATAATCCTCAGACCTGCCATGAATGATTTTGAGGAACAAATAACTAAGGATAGTGCATCACATTCTTGATATGACAATACAAGTCTTAAGTTAAACAAATAATAGAGTTTATTTAATATTTTTATTTAATGAAGCTCATATGCCATCTATTCCAAAGTAATGTTCTAATTAGAATTTGTTGTAAGGAGGTTTCAAACTTTGGTTAAGTGAAACTGTTCAAAAACACTTTTCATGTCAAAGCCTTTATTGATGAACACATTTTAATCTTACTAAAGTTTTAGTTAATGAAACTTGCTTTGATGGTGATATAGTGTGGTAGTATACTCAAGAAAAGATTTCCTGAAAATGTTTACACCATCACATAATAACTTATGTGTTTATGTTTATGTTAGGATTATTTTCAGGACTCCTGGCGGAGTATATAAGAAAATTTCCGATTGTTGACATGATATTCATTTGGTTGTATATATCACATTAATATACAGAGTATATGATATTCAATAATTACGAATATCCAGTGAATCAAGATTAAAAATAAGTACCAGTGCAACAGAACAAACCCATAAAAGGGACTAAATTCAGTTTGACACCTAGTTTTTAAAGGATTGAAAAATTATTTGGACACAAGAACAGGTCAGAAAATTATGATCTAGTATGTGAAGTCTGTTCTTAAGAGCCATTAGATGACATCCTTTATGTCAACATAGGGTTATAAAGTTAACTATTCCAAAATTTGATTAGTGTTATTTGCAGTATAAATAATCAAAGCTGCTTCATTCTTCACAATCAATTCTCAGAAACTTCAGAAAATTCTGTTATCTAGGGCTTGGGTATTCAAAGATAAGATAAATTAAAAGATAAGTTTCTTAATTCAAATTAGAGCTAGGATGTATTCACCTGTCTTCAGGCCGATGATGAAAATTATTTCTAGGGCTGACTACAAAAGTAGATCTAAAATCAATTGAAAATTTTATTATCTAGAGCTTAGGTATTCAAAGATAAGATAAATTAAAAGGTTGTAAGAAATAGAATAATAGAGAGAAACAACTCATCACTAGAGAAATCGATTCAGTTTCAAAAGTTCCAGCCTCTGGTGATTGTTTGATTGACCTTAGTTTGTAGTTACTAGTCAATGTTGCCATCAAGGTATTTGATTTCTGAGGCTAACTTATCAATTTATTGGAGGATTCCACATGTTGTGTAACTTATTGTCCTAGTCAGAGATACAGCTCTTTATAAATATATTGAGGCTAGCAGATTGTATGTATCACCAGTTAAAAAACTATCATTTAAAAATAGTGGCCCATTAAAGCTGTGCTTGCTAAGATTGATTTTTTATGAGCTGTAAAATCTGAAACTACTGGCTAAAAATTAGTGTAGGAAAGAGGTCAACCACTCAGTTAACAGATTCATAACTTCTTTGATTTCTAATTCTAAAAGAGTTGAGAAGTATGCAAGTTTGTAAGCCATCCAGGGACTAAAGATGGAGTGAAACTTGGTAAGTCAATCTACAAAATTTGAAAGAAAATTTCTGAAATTAAGAAATATAAATTCTAGTAGTTCAGACAATAACTAATTTAACTTAAAAAATCAGTAAGCTTTTAAATTTACGTGCTAGTTTTTTCAGAATATTTGGATATTCCATTATAGAGGTGCTGATCTAAGCTTTCATAATTATTTTAGGTTCATGTTATGTCAAAGACTAAATATTGAAGTGACGGTGGTTTAAGCTATAATGTTTTATTCTGTAAAACATCTAAATAATTTAATTGAGAATCATTTGATCATTGACTGAAAATGGGTGACTTGGACCTTATGTACAAGAATTGTGATACAAATTGTTGGTTCAAAAACTGACATCCAACAAGCTTTTTGTTGTACATAATAAGAAAATGGCCATTACATAGGATTATAGGCAAAGGAAGCAAGATTTAACAATGGCCAAAAACGTTTACTAATAATTTACTTGAATGGTAGAATCTAGTCTATTGTTTTTGACAATTCATCATCTTAAGTTTAATAACTTCAACCAGTCTTTCCTCGTGGTAATGTGGTGAACTGATAGATTTATGTTTCTTTGGAGTTCATCATCACCAAGCAGAAGCTACTGATAATGCAGGTAAATCTTTTATTCTGTTATTTTTCTCATTGTGTAGTTCTAATTATTGTTGATGTGTTCTGTATTCAATCATGTGTCTTGATTTCTAAGCATATTTGAAGTATGTCAAACTTATATTAAAATCATTGGAGTTGTTAGGTAAGTGGTAGCATAATAAAAAGAAACATCTGATCTGGATTAGAATAATCTTAAGTTTAATTTTAATGTATTGATAGAAAAAATTTTTTTTTTGGGGGGGCATGAAGAAATTGCAGCAGGCTACTGTTATTTTCTGATATAAAGTTTGACGCACTTAGATGCACTTAAAGACAGGTAAGTATGAAGGCTATTATTCTGCCTCGGAGCATTTTTTGAAGTGTTTCCCGTAATAACCATCATTAGTATAACAATTTGTGTTGTTGGCTTAAGGTGTTGAAAAACACTATTTATACAAAAGGAAATCTTAAGAACTCAAAATAAATTCAATAGGAAACTGAAGTTTGTTAGATATAATAAGCACCAAGAATTAAAACAGAGTTGTAACCTGAAAAGCTACAAACATCTTTAAATCATTTTAAATGTTAGTAAGGATAACATGAGGCTGGAATAAGAGTTGCAAGTTTTCTTGAATATTAATGTGTATAGGTTTGTATCTAAATAGATAGTTGTAATAATTAAGACACATCTACTCCTGCAAATACTACTATTCTCTTTGTATCGCAAAATATGGGACCTGGAGATTGGCAGTATGCTCCAGGATCTTATACAGGATAGACATTAGAGCTTAGCTCTGTTTATCCCATTAAGGCCTGGGAATTTATACTTCATTGACAGCTCTCTAGATATATCTTACCAGGACTACCAGAGGACTATGGAGGACGCCAACCTCCTTCCCATCTTCAACATTAATAATACACATCAGAATCCTCAGCATCACTAAGGATATCAGAAGACGCTCTTCATTCACCAATTGGAGCATAAACAGAGTTACTGGGCCCTTGGAGCAGCTGAGGTGTTTATAAGCAGAAGCTCTATGATCTCAGGTTGATCCTCGTAATAGGGACACTCAAGGTACAGAGCAACCAGGACTTCTAGGATATCCAGGACACATAGGAACTAGGACATTTAGAAGCTCCACCTTCTCTCAATAGATACACCCAATCTATGGAGCAGCTAGAATACAAATATAGACTTAGGACTAAGAATGGCTAACATAACATGGACTCGAAGAGCAGCTCCAGTAGTTAGAGGAGCAGCTGAAGACACAATAGGATCATCCCAGATTATAGGAGCAGCTAGGATAACAGAGACTTGGAGAGCAGCTGAACGAGATAGAGTAATAGAGGAAGCTACTTGGACAGATCCTGAACTGTAGCAGCTGAATATCTATAGGAACTTATTAAACATTGCAGATGTATTTAATAAATAAACTATTAAATTGATCAATCCCAATTCATTTATACTCTGAGAGATGCTAAGAGGTTATTAATGGGATCGATACTAATTTGAGAGTACGGGGATCTAGAGTAAATAAACCCTGAACCATGGGTGCAATTGATTGACCTCAAAACTCCCTAGGATTGACATCTGACTTGTGTTTGATTGGAGACATTTATCACTACATTGTTCAGGAAGTTAAAATATATGAAAATATCCAGTTCACTCTTTTAAACTCTATGCCCCACAAAGATTGAAAAGTTTACCTTATGCTAGCAACAGCAACTAAAAACCCAGAACCTAACACAGAGGAGACAGACAAACCTTATCATATATCATAAACTGTTAGAACCCTCAAAGCCTCAACCTCAAGATTTTCAAGGACTTCTCTGCTATCTAAAAGATGTTTCTGGTCAATGCCTGAATGTGAGATAAATTAGCAATAGATTTTAGTTTAGAGTAAATCCAGGTTAAAGAATCCAATATTTCTGCTGAGAAGGCAGATGAAGAGTGGGTGTTGACATCATCCATAACATAGATTTGGTAGCAATTATCATAATTTCCTTTACCTTAAGACCTACTTAATGATGGGGATTAAGCACCTCAAAGGCAGCAACTGAGAAGAGATGATAAAGATGATAAAGATGATAAAGATGATAAAGATTATAAAGATTATAAAGATCACAAAGATCATAAAGATCATAAAGATCATAAAGAACAATACTAACAAACAGATGAAGGGACTTCTATGATCTGAAAGGAAATCAAAGGGATGGAACCTCCTGTATCACTGAAAACTCTGGAACATTTAAAGTACATACAGCAAAAGCAAGTTGCATACAGAATGCACACAAACTACAGATGATCAAAAAGGACCGTACACCATTTAAACCATCGTTCAAACACAGCCTTGATTGTGGAACTTGGCAGCATCAATCAGAAAACACTCAAGTATCTCTAGCGATTTTTAAAACTTCCAACTAAGGATGTTCAGAAAATGGAGGAATTCAATGCTTGATTCTCACTTACTCAGTTATTTTAAGTTTTTAACTATTTGTAAGCATTGGATGAAATAATTAATATAATAAATGCTGATATTTTATTAAGTTAAATTTTAAAGAAACTGTTTCTAGATACTTTTAGACCAAACTTAAATAAGTAGCTTCTTCATAGACGCTTTACTCTATGCAATGGTCAAAATATTTGCATACAATCTTTATACTGGGTATTAGGAAACCAATGAACAGATTGGATATGTGGAGGGGCATAGGATCTTTAAATAATGAATAGAAAATGGTGTTCAATTTTGTATATAAAAAGCATTATCTGAAATAATAAAAACTACACAACAACTTAATCAAGGTTTGTATTTAATTGTTGGTCTTTAAGATAACTAAATCAAACAGTTGTGTGACTTTTCAAGTGATATTCAATTTGTTGAGTGGCATGGCTTTTTACAACAACACCCTTAAATAATCAAGTCAGATTATGGATAAATATAATCTGTCACAATATTTCTAGATTGGTTGTTTGAATGGAAATACTGGGAAGACTATTCACCTGTCATATAAACCTCTTCCATTAGTAAATCCAAACATCTGGGAGCAGTATCATTTCAGTCATGATCAGTAAGTAAATATATCTGTAGAAACCTTAAGATATCTTCAGTTGACTTCTAACAAAAAAAAGTTGTCCTTATGTTTCTGACAAAGCGGTAAAAGCCCAAATAGAAATAATTACATATCTTCAAGCGATCCTTCATTGGTGAGATATGAATAAAGGCTCAAATTCCGAATTAAAATTGGACAATTGAGAATTTTTTTTGTATCTTTGCAACCTTAAGGTGTAAACCTTTAAGCACTCAAACTATTTGATTATCAGTTTGAAGAATGCAAGGTCTACAACATCAGGTTGCAAAGACAAAAGGATTAGAAAATTCGAATTTGTGGCAAGTGTTGATTGTCTTCGTACTGACATTTATTCCCTTTTATCTTGAATAAAAAATTCCGACCGAATTGACTTGAGTAATGAGTATGTTAACTTTTACTTCTTCCTTCAGTATAAACTTCTCATCATGCATTAATTCCAATCCTTCTTATAAATTAAAACTAAAAGTCTAGGTCTGTCCAATTTCATAAAAACGGTAAAAATTTGAATTGGTTAAAGGTGTTTCCTGTGTAGAATGCAAATTGCACAACTTCAAAGTAGGAAATATATTTTTATTTTTATTACATCATCATCATCAGTTCTTGGACAGATTTGACCTTAAAAATGAGAAACTTTTTGAACTCATAAACTTTTAAACGTATTTTACCGTATTAACTTTGTTAGTTTTTTCTTAGAGTTTGTTTATTTTTTATTACAAAAAAGAGATCTGTAATTGTTGTAATTAAGGTCCTCCATGGGAACAGGGGAGCAAAACTTTTTCTTCACCAAGGAAGATGGCTCAGTCATCCGTAAGTTTTTTTTTACAATCTATCTATAAAATTGGCCTGTATGTCTGTTTGTTTGTATCCAATAAACGTCAAAACGGCTGAACCGATCAGGCCCAAATTTTTTGTGGGACATCACGTGACCACAGGGAATGTTTATGCATGATTAAAATAAAAAAAATGTGATTTAAAGGTTTTAATTTTGTAAAAAAATTAAATTCTTGAAAATCCGCAAAATTCTTTTCTTCTTTGTTTTAAAATGTAAACAAAAAAACATGTTCACAATTTAAATAGAAGATGGGCGCGAAGCGCCCTAAAAGCCTAGTTTTAAATATTGTTTTTGAAAGACATACATCTTTCATTCATCAAGTTTCCAATAAATCTTTGTCCAAATGAGAAAGTTTCCGTTTTCTGAATTTTCTAGCCATAGAGCTTGGCGCTTGACATATCGACCATAGCCTGGTCAGCCTTGGTGCGCTTTCAAAAATGTATCAAAACCTGAAAACATTTTCCATGAATGGTCCAAGTCTTATCTGTGTAATTTGACAGTTGGGAAATGTTTTCGGCGTAGGTAGACCTAAGATATTTAAAACTGTACATATTAATCCCTATATCTTTGCAACCCGAGACCGAATTGAAAGAATTTAAATTTGGAATTTAAATTTGGTGCTCAATTGAAACCAGTTTTTGGGGATTTTAGACGCGGCTTAAATTCATTAAATTCGAACACTGATTGCCTAAACTTTTAATATTTCAAACTTAGATTATTTGATTTATAAGAATTTATAGTTTGAAATATCTATGATTAACGACATTGGGTTGCAAAATTATAGTGATTTAAAAATCAGAGTTTGTGGCAAAGACTCAATTCTTTTGCAACTTGTATCAATAGTTTCGTGGAGTTGAAATGTTGCGGATCTCAGGCACTGGACATAGAACGTATGGTTATCATATTTTTTTCCAGCATGCTTCTCATCCTTGGATGCGTCGAATGAGCTTGCTATGTACTTCCAAGAAGTGGAGAGGATACAAGGGAAGAAAAGGAAGAATACGTGCTTAGGTTTGTTTTAGTATATAATAAAATATTTCCATAAAAAATACAATTTTTATTCATATTCCAACTGGAATACGAGTAACTCCAGGGTTTTTTTTTGAAAATATTGTATATTGAAAAAAGATATAGAATAAAATGGTATCTCAGATATTTTTTAGAATTTTATTTCATGCAGTTAAAAAATAAATCCTATTATTTAAAAATGTTTGAAGCGTAAATTTCTAATAAATTTTAAATTGTGGGAGTCTGGACCAAAAATAACTTTTAAAAAGAGGAATTTGAACATTTTTTTTTCAATCAGACTTCTACTCATCTTTTCCCCAGAAAACATCATACAAACATTGCAGCTTTTAAATACTATGAAATATGGAAGTTCTTCACATTTGAATAGTTATTTTTAGCCAAAAAATTTAATTTTAATTTATTTTCAGTGTTTTTTAGCACCGCTGAGCGCGACGCATTTTTTGCGTATTTAACACGTGAGAAAGAGGTGTCACTGACGCACACCTCCTTGAAGAAGAAGAATTTGCTTAGTGTTGTTGATCCTATAGATAATATTGTCTGGAATAGTGTTGTGTACGAGCAGTTTATTGGTCGTAGCAGCTTCAAACCCATCAATGAGCTGTGTAACTTGAAGGCAAGTAAAAACCAAAACCAGTCTATTTAAGTAAACTCTTACAAAGATTTTTATAGTTCACAGTAGCTGGCTAAGCGGCTGCTGGGCCAAATTGGGTGACATTTTTGAGTTGATAACCGGGAGTGACAAAGCCTTAACAAAGTTTTGAAATTCCTCAGGCAACGTGGGCTTTTCAGCTAAAATCAACATTTGATTTGCGAGTGATTATGATAATGAATACTATAATTTAAAAAATTTAGTAATCAAGATCTCAGGGGTGTATATTTTCTTGAAAAATCATCCCCCCATTCAGAAAATATTTTTTTTTTCATCAGAAGTTATGTTTGCGCCGAGCGATTACATTTTTAAAGATTTTATTCGCTGAATTGGGGAAAATAAATAATTTTAGGGAAAAATAACTGATTTATAGGGAAAATTAATGATTTTTAGGGAAAAATAAATTATTTTTAGGGAAAATTGAATGATTTTTAGGGGAAAATGAATGAGTTTTTGGGTATAAAATAGCTAAAATAGCTTGACTTGATGTTCAATTTTAATTTTTCATCCCCCAAATCGTCTAAAAAATGTTTTTTTTTTTAATATTGTAACATCCTTGAAAAATTAAATATGACTACATTATATCTGTTTCCAGGAACCTATATACTCGTGTCAGAAGATCGTGGTTCATCTCCGCGATCTATTTATCAGTAAAAAGATCATTCCACGCAAACATCTGATGTTTAATCGCTGGCCGCCATCAGCTGCTAGTCTTATCAACGTTCCAGTAAATCATCATCTAGGAAACCATATTTTTTCATTCTTAGTTTTTGAGAAAAAAATATCTAATCCGTTCTAATTTTTTTCATAAGGGGTTTATACTTACTTAAAAAATAATTTTTAGGTGAAATTAATGAAAATTCAGAAAAATAAGTCATATTTTTTTTGTGGTGGGGGGGGGGGGGAAGCAACAAAAAGGAGTTAACAACTTGCCAATTAACATGTTGATAAAGTGATCCATATTCCACATTCATTAAGTTAACTACCCTTTAAACCTGTAGATGAAAAATAAATTATATATTTTGTTTCTTATAAATGTTTAATAGTGCTTTTTTTCACTTGTTAAAATCTTGATAATTATTTTACCCTTACATGATATTTAAAACTTTGAGATAATATTTAATATAAAATATAAATTATACATTTTGTTACTAATAAATGTTTAAATAGTGGTTTTTTCCTTGTAAAAATCTTGCTAATTATTTTACCCTTACTTGATATTCAAAACCAGTGCATAGGATCCATTTAATTTTGCTCCGCACTGGAAAAAAATGGATCCGGATCCGTTGATCCGCATATTTTTGCGGATCCGGATTCAGATCTGGATCCTAAGCCCTGTTTTAAACTTTTAGATAATATTAAAGAGAATGAATGAAATAAAATGTTTGTCCAGTGTTGTCAAGTGTGAGGATCCTGAAAAACATGAGCAGTCCTTATACGCCCGATTCACAGGAAACAGATTCATTCATATTCTAATAAAATATTAAATTAAAATTAAAACATTGGTATTTTTAAAAAGATACAAAAAAGCATGATCATTTTAAGAAGCAATTTTTTTCGTGAAAAAATTGGTTGATTTTAACTATTCTGTTGTTTCCAGCAGTATATTTAGTTTCGTTACACTCCTTTGTAAAATAACTTTTAAATTAATTTTTTTTCCCCATAATTTTTTTTTTGTTTATTCTCAATTTTTCTCGGACGCGGACCTAAAAGGGAATTAATAGTTTTCTAGGAATGATAAGAACTTAAAACTTCAAGCCTTCTAATTTACGTTCACAATTTTATTTTTTGTTAGTTGGATTGTCGAAAATTAATATTAGTCTCACTTTTGAAACACAAGATTTGTTGCTGATTCTGACAAACCTTCCAGACATTTCGCGGATTTGGTTTTCAAAAATGGTGTTTTTCGTTTTCTAAAAATGTGGTATGTTGACAACACTGCAAGGCTTGATAGATTTTCGCACATTGCTTTAAAACTAACACTGGGTTTGCAGAACTTATGGAGTTTCTTTAGAATCGCCTTTTCTGATGGTGAGATATATCCTCTTGAGTCGGTAGGTTATAACCGGCCATGCACTTTTTTGGGGTCATTTGATTTATGATGTTTTGTTTTTAATACAAACACAGGTGAGTCAAATATATTAAGGCTAATGATCTTTGTTGACAGGCCGATACTGTTCTCATACCAGAGATATCTACCAATGAAAATGCAGGAGTAACTGTAAACGATGTTCACCTTCTTCCCTTCAATCAACCAGTTCTTATCAGGGACCAGATTTTATGAAGCATGAAGTAGTTGAACCACCAATACGCAGTTGAACCACCAATACGAAGTTGAACCACAAATACGTAATTAAACCACAAATACGCAGTTAACCACAAATACTTTGAACCACTATTATGCAGTTGAACCACAAATACGAAGTTCAACCACAAATATGCAGTTGAACCACAAATACTTAGTTAAACCACGAATACGCAGTTAAACCACAAATACTTAGTTGAACACTAATACTTAGTTAAACCACAAATACGCAGTTAAACCACAAATACTTAGTTGAACACAAATACTTACTTGAACCACCAAAACGCAGTTGAACCACCAATACGCAGTTGAACCTTCAATACTTAGTTGAACACTAATACTTAGTTGAACCGCAAATACGTAGTTGAACCACAAATACGCAGTTGAACCACAAATCCGCAGTTGAACCACAAATACGAAGTTCAATCACAAATACGCAGTTAAACCACAAATACGTAGTTGAACCAAAAATACGTAGTTGAACCAAAAATACGTAGTTGAACCAAAAATACGTAGTTAAACCACAAATACGCAGTTAAACCCCCAAATACTTAGCTGAACACAAATATTTAGTTGAACCGCAAATACTTTGTTGAACCACAAATACTTAGTTGAACCACAAATACGTAGTTGAACCACAAATAAGAAGTTGAACCACTTATACTTAATTAAACCACAAATACGTTGTTGAACCACAAACACGCAGTTGAACCACTCCTCTTGAATTCAAATTATTTCCTGTACAAGGGAGCCGATCCAAGTTAAAGAAAAGTGGATGAACTATGTCTTCCCGGTTCAACTGCTTTTCAGTATTCATTAAATCTGTTCCCAGATTAACCAGTATCCAGAAGGGAACTCTCTCCATAGACTACAACTTAAAGTTAAAAAGTAGGATTTTAGAAGTAATTTTAAGTGATGCGACTCTATTAAAAGTCATGTCTAATTAACACAATTCGTTTAAAAACTTTGGTTAATCAATAATGAATAAGATTTCCAACTTATTTTTTTTTTTGAGGTTTCTCTGAATAATGATATTTCTGTGGAAGAAAATAACAAGCAAGAAAACGAACGATATTGTCCACATTTTTGATCAGACAAAAGAAAAGGATGATTTTTTATGAAAATAAATCCCCCTGTGTTTAGAATATTGTGCTAGTGGGCCGAGTAAGGTATATATGGTGGGTAAGGTGCCCTACGTGTTTATCATCCTGAAACCGACAACCAGCTCCAAGCGAGTAAATATCGTCCAGATAAAAACCCCGGTCCGGAGAATACCAGGCGGAACTAGGCTCTTCACATACACGGAGAACTGCGGAGTTGATGATGAAACCGTTCCTAAAATTCAGAAGGTATAATTAAATTTTCGATCCATAAAGTATTTGATCAATCAATCAATTTCGGAATCAATAAATCAAATAATCATTAGTTGAATCGGTCAATTATCTAATTGATTACATTTAGTAGAATAATAAAAAAATCGGTTAATCGATCAGTCAATCATTTTATTCAATCATTTAATCATCCAATTAATCAATCAATCAATTAATAACTTAATTAATCAATTAATTAATAAATCAATCAAATAAGTAACCAGTGAATATGACTATAAATTAAATAAATCAATAAATTTAATAAATCAATAAATTAAATAAATGGTATTGTTCAGGTTAAAGTATTAGCTCAGGGAGCACACAAGATTCAAGTTGACGGAGCTTTGAGTATTCCAGCAAAACTTGTTCTAGAGGATACATCCGAGGTAGGCTTGGTGTTCTATATGAAAATTGATTATTTCTAACTGCTGTTTTCCTGTCAAGTGACAAGTTAGAAAAATTACGATGTCTTCCTTATTGTAAATCTGAGAAAGTGCTTAAGGGTTGAACAGTTGTGAACTGGGGAAAGTCCATTTAGATTAAAATGTGTTTATTCATCATTTATATTTGTCTAAAGAAAAATTACATAAAACAATATAAAAGTTTACAATTTAATACTAATAATCTTTTCTCTGGATATCGCATTTTATGATTGACAGGTGCCATACAAGACTTTTAGCATGAGTATTGTTTTGTTATTCAGAGGTGGTTTTCAAAAATGGTGTTTTTCGTTTTCTAAAAATGTGGTATGTTGACAACACTGCAAGGCTTGATAGATTTTCGCACATTGCTTTAAAACTAACACTGGGTTTGCAGAACTTATGGAGTTTCTTTAGAATCGCCTTTTCTGATGGTGAGATATATCCTCTTGAGTCGATTTCAAAAGGGTGAACAGACACATCCCTAGTTGCTATATCTGTGATAAAATGTTCATACTTGTTAATCTTTTGAGTGTTTCATTTCATGGAAGAAATCAAAGGATAAGATTATATAAATCCTCTAACTAGTAGATACGAAGTTACGTACTTTAGGAAAGAATATTGAGAGGAACCATTAGTATACACGTGGTGATAATATACAGTGGTAGGCGATTCTATTAATTAAATGAAGACTGAAGACAACTTAAAAAAAAAAAAAATTTTGTTAACATGCTTTTTTAGAATTACAAGTTTTCATGTAATCAAAGAGAAACTTTTTAATTGACGCTTTCTCTTGACTGCTGTGTATCCATGCTGTTTAACAGCTTGATATGAGTTTAAATTAAACTCGATAATCGACTTAATTGTATAGAATCACCTACCACTGCATGTAAATTCTATCAATTCTCCCAAAATACTGAAAGTTACTTGTTTCTCAGAATCTGGGAGATGAGGTTCCGTTCACCACAGAGGATGTAATCCTGCTCAACCCTCATCCTAAACTCTCTTGTACCATCCTCAACACTATAGTTACTCCTGTAGAGGATGAACATCCCAACGGAGTGAGGTTGGTTCTCAGAAACCATCCTCGGTCAACCACAATCTCCAGGGGGGAGCAGATTGCCACCGGGCTCATCTTTGTAGGGTCGAATATTGGATTTGCCATTGTTAAATCTGCAAAACAAGAACGAGAGTTTGAGAACTTGACTGCTTGGGTAAGTTAATTTTTTTAAAACTTTTTTCGATTTATTTTAGCACGATGTCTCAAATTTTATTCAATAATTTGATAGATTTTTTGAACAGCTGAACAGCAAATGAAGTCTGAGAAAAAAAAACGAATTTAAAACCTTCAAGTGTTTGAATATTTATAAACTGCTGATTTTAAAAGGGTCAACGGGTTTTTATTCAAAATCCGCCGAAATGATTTAGTCCAAATATGATGGCCATTATCATGAAACTAAACTGATATTATTTGTAGTTGAAGAGCCCTTCAAACACCAGAAATGAGTAAGTTAATTTCTATATTTATCACTTTTAAAGTTTCGTTTCTACCAAAAAATAGATTTTATATTTAAATGTTTCTAGTAAGGGGTTTTCTGAAGGAGGAGGAGATTTGAGAGAATTGTTGCAATCTAACACCAACTCAAAGTAAGTATAACTAAGCTTAAAAAGATTTTTTATTGTTAAAAATATCATCTGTAAAATACGATATGCCTTTAAAAGGGTAGAAATTTAAAAAAATTGATGTCAAATGATATAATATAAAAATACATATTACCAGAATATTTTTCTTTCTATAAATGCATCTTAAGGGTAAAAAAATCTTAACGTTTGCAACCAGAAAAAGAAAAATCATTAAATTTTTGTAAAATCTCTATGCTGCTTAAACCCGCAAGTAAAGAGCCACAATTTTTAAATCATTTCCCCTCTTTTTTTTCTCGCTGAAATTGGGAAAATAAATGATTTTAGTGGGAAATAAATGAGTTTTGTGAGGTAAATTATCATCTCCCCCTTTTATCCAAAATCATTGTGTAATTTTTTAAATAATCACCCCTGGTTTCTTCCCTCAAATATGCATTATATCAAATATATATCTACTTAAAACATTTATTACTAGGTTTAATAAAGCTGATGGAACGAGAAAGCGTAATGCCGGGGGAGTAAAGCAGAATGATCGACAGCGCACCGTTCAGTGGAACAACGAATTGCGAATGTCATCGATGACAAGAAAATTCTTGGGAATCGATCAGACGGAGATGGAAATAGATAAGTTTGGAACGGGAGGTAATCAGTCTGGATCGGGAATAGATCAATATTCCATGGGAATGACTCAGAACGGTGCGGGAATGAACCAATTCGGAACGGAAATGAATCAGTATGGTACTGGAATGGATCAGTACGGTGCGGGAATGAACCAATATGGAACGGGAATGAGTCAATTCGACATGGGAATGCAACAACCATACATGGGAATGCAACAACCATCCATGGGAATGCAACAACTGAACATGGGAATGCAACAACCAAACATGGGAATGCAACAGCTAAACATGGGAATGCAACAACCATCCATGGGAATGCAACAACTAAACATGGAAATGCAATTACCAATTATGGGAATGCAACAACCAAATATTGGAATGCATCAGGATGTTGGACAGCCAGGAATGGAAATATATGAATCTAACACGGATTATCAGGGATCAGATATGCAGTACTCAAGTAAATCGGATCGCCAAGGTGAAGTTCAACATGTTTTTTTTATATTTTTATTAAATGGACAGACTCCATTTATCGAGTGGCATGTCCGATTCACAACAGTGCTTTTAAAAGCTTTATCTAATCAATAATTTGGAAGATATCGTTGTATTTTAAGCTTGAGTAGCAGGAATAGAGGAACTGAAATATTTGATAGGTAAAAACATGGATATCCGCTTTATTCTTCACCATTCAAAGATTTCAGGGATAGTAACATTGTGAATTGGACATGCCATTCTTGGTAAAAGTAGTCGCTTGGAATTTCGACTACAGTCAATTAAGATAAAAGACAAAGTCATGCCTCATGGAAACGCGGGGGGTATACTTCAGTCAATTTATCGGTTATCCCCCACAAGCATTTTCTATGATTTCGTTCAAAATAAAATTGTAATAAAATATTTTTGAATGGATGATAACTTATTGAGATTTTTTGGAAAAATCTGGATATGTTAATGCAGTAATTGGCGGGTTTTTTTTAGGGAATCCATGGTATATTATTTAAAGAAATTGAATATATTTAGACGAATATATTCCTGAGTGGAAGAGAGCTAAACCAAGTTCCCAGTCTGATCGGTGGTCAAAGGAGGAACCTGGAAGATCAACTTATATGACAGGTTTTAAATATTATGTTTTATATAACTTAGCCTTCTGTTGTCTAGTAACTGGATTAACCTATTAATTGGATTAACCTATTAACTGGATTAACCTATTAATTGGATTAATCTGTTAATTGGATTAACCTATTAACTGGATTAACCTATTAACTGGATTAACCTATTAATTGGATTAACCTATTTATTGGATTAACCTATTAATTGGATTAATCTGTTAATCGGATTAACCTATTATTTGGATTAACCTATTAATTGGATTAACCTATTAATTGGATTAACCTATTAATTGGATTAATCTATTAATTGGATTAACCTATTAATCAGATTAACCTATTAATTGGATTAACCTATTAATTGGATTAACCTAGTAATTGGATTAACCTATTAATTGGATTAATCTGTTAATTGGATTAACGTATTAATTGGATTAACCTATTAATTGGATTAACCTAGTAATTGGAATAACCTATGGATAACATATTGATATGAAAAACCTATTAATATTTTTTATCTGCCAGCATTTATCCTTCATAATGTAATGAAAATACTAAATTATTTAGATTATTTATTTCTGTACCATAACCGTCAAGCCAAGTTAAAATAGTAATACACAAAATTATTAACAAAAGAACAAATTGAAATAAAATAATTTAATAATGATGCAAAATTTAATCCAGACTTTACAGGTGGCCATCATACTTTTAAACACTTCAAATCAACAAATCTTTTTTAATATTTTTAAAATAATAATGTTCAGCTAAAGGATTTAAAGATGTTCTTATTAAAGGTCAAGGACTGGAAAGACAAAGTCGGTTTGATTCTATGGAGAGAACTGAAAACCCTGGACCTAAGGATTCCTCTTATGAAAAGATAATCCATAGATCATGGAACTCTGCTCCATCACAGGAGGACAAGTCTGGTCTATGGGATGCAAAGACGGGTTCTAAATCTTCCTTTTGGGGCACTTCTGCTTCTAGTTCCTCCAGGTGGGATGATAAACCTGCTTCTGCTTCTAGTTACTCCAGGAGGGATGATAAACAGGCTTCTGCTTCCAGTTCCTCCAGATGGGATGATAAACCTGCGTATGAATCATCTGCTTCTAGTTCCTCTAGATGGGATGATAAACCAGCGCATGAATCAGAAAGGTGGAGCAAGAACCCTAATCCAAAACCATCACTGTGGGACGACAAGCCCGTCATTGATGCAGGATATCAGGATAAGATGCCAACCCCGGTCCCAACCCGGTATTCAGATTCCGCTGTTCCAGCACCAAGATATCAGGCGTCTAAACCAGACCCAGCAGACAATCTGGATAATGAGATATCGGTGTATGAGAAGAAGTTACAGAGGTTGAAAGAGTTGAAGGAGCAGGTGGTGCAGGAGACAACTTCTATCAAGAAGACATTTGAGGCTATCCCAGAAGTGTTGGCAATAGAGAAGCCAAATCCTTCAATGAGATCATCCAGAGACATAGATATGAGACCTTGGGCAAAAGAGGAAATAAGCAGAGGATCAGCTAGTAAAGGGTTTGAAGACACTCAGAAAGGTAGTTCCAGGTATGAGGAGTCCGGAGCTAGGGGACGGTTTACAAAACCAAATCCGATAATGGGAAGATCTGAAATTTATGAGGATGAATTCAGCAGCTCCAGTCAATCAAGGTCTTATCAGAAAGAGTCTAACAAACCTAATCCTATGATGGGAAGTAGCCGAGCCTCTGATACTGAGTGGGAAAGGCCAAATCCAGTGTTTGGAAGAGATCCTGGTGCTGAGTATAGCAGAACAAGCCTTGCTAAAGAAAGTACATGGTCAAATGATTCTGAATACCAGAGGCCCAATCCTATGATGGGAAGTGCAAGAGCTCATGATACGGAGAACAACTGGACTTCCAATCGTCAAGATAACGAGTATTTTCCGTCTACCAGACCACAAGAAACAGACCAGCGTCCTAATCCTATAATGGGTAATCCCAAGCTGTATGACAAGACCGATATTTCATATCCCAGAGGACAAGATTCAGGATACAACAGATACAACACAGAGGCAAGTTCAAATTACCAGGCTGAGGAATACAGAAGACCAAATCCAATGATGGGTGGAAGTAGTGCTCAGGACGGGTTTGGTAAGGTTACATCTCGGAACGAAAGTTCTAGGTTTCAGAACAAGAATTACAGCAGACCTTATCCTATCAAGGGTGCATCAGGAGATGCTCCTCCACCCCCTAGACTTTCTAAAGATTTTAATCTTGGAAACGTGCGCAACCATCCCTTTTAAAATTGTGTATAACTGTAAAGTGTTTTTTGTGTCTTTGTTTCGTACATCTTTTTCCACATTGTTTCATTTAACACACAGAAAATTATCTGGTTTTAATTTCAGATAAAAATGCGACGATTGCGCGCCAAGAAGAATGTGCAAGGTGAGGACCAGTTAGATCAGGATGAAGCAAAGGTGGGTCCCTCTGAAAGCATTGAAGTAGAAGAAGAGAAAGAAGACAAACAAGAGAAAGAAGAGATAGATGAGAATGATGAGTATGAAAACAAACAAGAGGAAGAAGAGAAGAAAGATGAACATGAGGAAGAAGAGATAGAAGACGAACATGAGGCAGAAGAAAGTAAAGGCGAGGATGATGATCTTTGTAATGCCATTGCAGAAAGTTTCAATGAGGAAGAGCTTGTAGATCAAGTAAAGGAAGTGGAAGAGAATGTGCAGATGGAGGAAGAGGAAATCCCCGAAACTGTGCAATCTGAGATTACAACTTCAGTAGAAGATATGCAGGTATCAGATGATGACACTGCTTCAATGGAGAAGAATCTAGCAGACATATTCTCTGTTCCAGAAGAGGTTGATGGAGAAGATGAGGAAGATGATGATGATGTTCTTGTTTGTCACACCGAGGATGAAACCTTAGAGGAACTAAACAAAGAAGAGACCGATACTAAAGTGTCTGAACCCGTGAAGGAGGAAGTTCTTTTGGATCCTGAAGATGTCAAGGATTTACTGAAATGTCAGGTAAAGTCAATATCTTCAAATTCAATTCAATTAAATTCTGTATTCTAACTTTTTAACCTGAAAAATCTATAAATCACATATGGCTCCCTTTTTGATTTTTATAAGCAAATCATTTTCTTTGTAAATCAAGAATGACCTAGCTAAACAAATCAAATATAACTTTTTTCCCAATAAAAAAGATGAAAATGTTTGTTTGGATCAGGTTTGCTCTGAAGTGTGTGGCCGCGGGGTATCAACTCCCTGCTGTGGAGCTCAGGCCTGCAGGGCATGCGCAACAAAAAAGGTAATTCATGTTTTAGAGAAGCATTTATTTGCAACAATATTCCTTTTTCTAAGCCGTACCATGGATTTAGGGGGTATAATTAATTGGTTTAACTGAAGTGAAAATTAGGAAGAACCCTTATGAAAGAGTTGTACAAAAAATGTTCGGCAAATGTTTTAATAACCTTCCATTCCGTACTAGCCTGTTCTTGTTTGTATAGTTGACCGGTAGCAAGGAATGCTGGGATTGTAAGAAGACACTGAAAACTGATTGTCTGATAAATGATGAACCTTTAAGGTAACATGCAACTTCACATGCAACTTCACATGCAACTTTTTGTTTAATCCCTTTAAGGGGCTGTAAGCGTAATTTCAAGTGATCCTCTATTCAAAGATGGCATTCCCCGATTTACAATGGTACCCTTGAATCTGAACAAAAATGAGGAATATATTTATTTATTTCTATAATTTATTTCTCTGAATTTCTCCATTGCATCTTATAAGCAAGGAATGCACGAAGTAAAATCAACCGTTTTAAGAAACTAAAACTTGGATATCTGATTCGTGCTTGATCAGTCAAAGCTTTTAAGAACACCGTCGTAAATAGACATTGACATCTTTACTTGAAGAGCAACTTGAAATTACGCTTACAGTCCCTAAATCTCTAACTTCTGAGGTACATCAGATTTTTTATTGATTCAGTGTGAGAAGATAAGATTATTGAACAATAAACTTAAATCTTTTAGGAAAGCTGTTGTACTATTTAAAGCCAACGAGAAAATACCCCAGTCTATTGTCAACAAAATAAAGGTAAATTATATTTTTAACTTTATTCATTTCTATCCATGAGCTCTATTGAGAAAATACAGTCTATTGTCAACAAAATAAAGGTAAATTATATTTTTAACTTTATTCATTTCTATCCATGAGCTCTATTGAGAAAATACCCCAGTCTATTGTCAACAAAATAAAGGTAAATTATATTTTTAACTTTATTCATTTCTATCCATGAGCTCTATTGAGAAAATACCCTCGTCTATTGTCAACAAAATAAAGGTAAATTATATTTTTAACTTTATTCATTTCTATCCATGAGCTCTATTGAGAAAATACCCCAGTCTATTGTCAACAAAATAAAGGTAAATTATATTTTTAACTTTATTCATTTCTATCCATGAGCTCTATTGAGAAAAAAATACTAATAAATTTTTAAAGATCCCCAGATTCATGTTAAAGTACCAAAATATGAAAAAATATTTGTGATTAGTTTAATGAAACTATTGTATACTTTATTATTCTTACTTACTTCATCGTGAATTTCATAATGAACGTGCTATAAAGTAATCATTGTGCTATAGAAATAAATTAGCTCTATATTATAGCACCCTGTTATAAAGTTATCATAGTGCTATAATGTTAAATTACCTGTACATTATAGCACATGTGCTTTAAAGTTTTGATTGGTTCCCGGATTTTTTCCAACAAAAATTTTTTTAAATGAGAATCAAATTGAAAAAACTCAAAAAACTTTATATTTTGTCTTGAAAAAGCCATTGAAATAAGACAAGTACACAAACCTTTCATAAAATACCTAAAACACAATAATTTTGGTGTGACGTGCTGTAAAGTGTTTGAACTTAAATTTTCTCTTTACTTCGAAGGATCTTGCCTTTTAGATTATATTTTGTCCCTAGCTTTAGCGAGGGATAAAATTTAATTAAAAAGGCTTAAACCTTCTCGATAAAGAGAAAATTTCCGTCCAAAAACACTGCGAACCAAAATAATAGTGTTATAAATAGTTATTAATTTTGTTAAATGTTTCCTAAAAATCTATAAAAGGATGCAGAAAGTTCTTATTTAAAAATTTTAGAAATTTTATTTTAAAGCAAGGAACACACAAACGAAAATAATCATTTTTTTAAACACAATCTAATTCATACTTGATCAGACAATAAATTTAAGCGTGCCTTTGGGAATAAATCAGACATACTACTCTACCTATGGAGGGTTACTATACAGTTTGTTTTGATTTAGAATAGAGCAGCTGAGAAGTGTGTAACTGTTGAACCGGGTAAAGTTGAACTCCAACCTATGCAAACTAATTTTGAAACCGGGAACACAAAGGAACCATTCAAATAATTCAAATTTTCATAAGATTCAGGGAGAGGAAACGTGTTTCATCTTATAAACTTTCTAAAATAAAACTTTATTTTTCTATCTATTTCAGCAAAATGAAAATATTTTGAAGAAATGGGGGGGCAATTTATTTTTATTATTTTTTAAGTTTTTTTAAAGAAAAGACATATGCGGACTTTTTTTTCTAAAATTTGAAGTTTCCAGATTTATGTGGCAGTGGTAGTGTTAAAATCCATCAACACATCCGTTGCTTTACAGGTATACGGGGCATTTTAATCAACGTTTATTCGTTTTCATAATACCGTTTTTTTGTTTTATAATATATTCTTCATTTACAAAACTATTTTATTCTCCGCCTTATTTTTATAGTGCATATCTTAATACTTTTTACTTTCGATAAAATAACATTACGTCCACAATACAGTGAAAAGAACAGTGTATTAGCGAATGTTCAGTGGATTTTCAAAATTTTGACCTTTCACAAACATCTCATGTGACATGTTGGATGAAGTGTTACACACAAAACTTAGGCTCTAACAGTTCAGCCAATTTGAAACAGACACGCCAATCGTATGTAAACATATATTTATACCTATATAATAAGACAAGATATTTATATATATATATACGTTGCCTCTAAGCCGGCCAAACGACTTGACCGAATAGGCGGACATTTTTTGTAGCCGGGGGGTGTCCTATGCAAGGCTTTTTAAAAAATCGAATTTTTTTTAAGATAAAATTTTTTTTTGTATTTAAAAAGTATATTATAAATTTAAACCTGTTCTAGTACGTCTCAGTAGAAACTCCTTGCTCTAACATATCAATCTCTAGATTGGCTGTTTGAATTCCCGGACTGGAGAAAGCCTGCATATTGTGTTCGGTCCATCTAAGAGTATTGCCAATAAGCCCCACACCTTTCTAGAGGCTTTGCACTACAGGTTCAAAAAAGATAAGATAGATAAATAAAGCTCTTCGCTCGTATATATATGTGTATGTATATACATTAGCTGGCAAAACGGCTAGATCGAATTGTCTCAAAATTTCTGAGGAAACTCATGGGTACCCTGGGGGGTAACAAAGGCTAAATTAATTACATTTTTATTTTAATATTTGATTTCTTTAAAAATTCCACGGGCAACGCCGGGCACTTCAGCTAGTTCATCCTATTATTGATATTCAATCCACCGAGCATTATTGCTTATATGTTGCTAACAGGTTCATAATTGATTATTTATCCTATTATTGTATTTAATCCACCGAGCATTATTGCTAATAGGTTGCTAACAGGTTCATAATATATTACTTTTCCTATTGATATTCAATCCATTGAGCATTATTGCTAATAGGTTTAAATCAGATTATTTATACTCTAATTGTATTCAATCCACTGAGCATTATTGCTTATATGTTGCTAACAGGTTTATAATAGATTATTTATCCTATTGTATTTAATCCACCGAGCATTATTGCTTATATGTTGCTAACAGGTTTATAATAGATTATTTATCCTATTGTATTTAATCCACCGAGCAGGTTTATAATAGATTATTTATCCTATTATTGTATTTAATCCACCGAGCATTATTGCTTTTAGGTTGCTAACAGGTTTATAATAGATTATTTATCCCAATGGTATTCAACCCACTGAGCATTATTGCTTATAGGTTGCTAATAGGTTCATAATATATTATTTATCCTATTATTGTATTCAATCCACCGAGCATTATTGCGTAACTGTTGCTAACACTAACAGGTTTATAATAGATTATTTATCCTATTATTGTATTCAAGTCACCGAGCATTATTGCTAATAGGTTGCTAACAGGTTTATAATAGATTATTTATCCTATTATTGTATTTAAGTCACCGAGCATTATTGCTAATAGGTTGCTAACAGGTTCATAATATATTATTTATCCTATTATTGTATTTAATCCACTGTGCATTATTGCGTAACTGTTACTAACACTAACAGGTTTATAATAGATTATTTATCCTATTGTATTCAATCCACCGAGCATTATTGCTTATAGGTTGCTAACAGGTTCATAATATATTATTTATCCTATTATTGTATTCAATTCACCGAGCATTATTGCTAATAGGTTGCTAACAGGTTTATAATAGATTATTTATCCTATTGTATTCAATTCACCGAGCATTATTGCTTATATGTTGCTAACAGGTTCATAATACGTTACTTATCCTATTGATATTCAATCCACTGAGCATTATTGTTTATATGTTGCTAACAAGGTTCATAATAGATTATTTATCCTATTATTGTATTCAATTCACCGAGCATTATTGCTTATAGGTTGCTAACAGGTTCATAATAGATTATTTATCCTATTGTATTCAATTCACCGAGCATTATTGCTTATATGTTGCTAACAGGTTCATAATAGATTATTTATCCTATTATTGTATTCAATCCACCGAGCACTATTGCTTATAGGTTGCTAACAGGTTCATAATGTATTACTTATCCTATTATTGTATTCAATCCACCGAGCACTATTGCTTATAGGTGGCTAACAGGTTCAGAATGTATTACTTATCCTATTGGTATTCAACCCACTGAGCATTATTGCTAATAGGTTGCAAGACAACAATAAACAAGCAATCAATCAGCATTCCGTAGAATCTGGTCTGGGTCTACGTCAAAAATAACCTTAAAGGGAACATCAGGAACATCAGATAAAACTCTTATGAATGGGGTTCCCGCCTATACACCCTTTCATTTTTCCTTTACAGTCCCTTTAAATACAGTCAGTAATATACCTATTGGTTACGAAAAAAGTCAAACAGGTTCCCTGCTCATAATATATCTTTGATTTTTGTTAATAATTTTTCATTGTTTAGAAATTTTGAGAAACCGATCAAGTTTCAAAAAGAGGATGGTTCAGAGAAAGGTATTTAAATGATGATTTTTTGTTTTTCATACTCATGGCAAAAGATCTGATTTTTAACTTCTGACTTGAAGTTGAAAATTGATCGAGATAAAAATCGATCCGAGTTGAAAATTGATACAAGTTGAAAAATTTGATTAAGTTTAAAATGATTTGAGTAAAGTTGAGTTAAATTGAAATTGATTTTGTTGAAAATTGATTTTAATAAGTCGAGTTAGGTTAAAATTGAGAGTCAAGATTGATTTGAAAATTGATTTGATTTGATTTGATTAGGTTGTCTGAGTTTGACAGATGGTTTGGCAAATCTTCTAAGTTTCTTGCAGAAAGCCGGTCCTAAACTTTCGTTAGGCAAACACAGATTCTTTAACAATTTATAAGTGAGTGCTAATGTGACGAACCATATTAAAGGAATAGAAGATGGAATTTCAAGTGACCCGTCATTTATAGAGTGGCTTTTTCGAGTCATAATTTTACCCTTTAAAACGTTGTATAATCAGTTATGAATGACATAATTATATTCTTCTCTTTATAGAAGTGTCTTGTATATTTATTTTACAAGGACAGTTGACAAATTTATCAAATGAAGGTTTAATGGTACCGCTGGGAATTAGGTTTGGCCCTCTTTATATGGAGGTGAAGTTATAACGACAGTTTCGTTAATGATGTTGAATTGTCTATTCTGTTCGTTACTTGATGGATTCAACCAAAGAGGACGCAATAAATGTGACAACAATATTTACATTAAGCTTATATTTATAACCTTACAAAATCTTTGTTCCTCTCTAAAGTGATGTATACCGAACGAGAACGGGCCCAGCTGGTAGCTGCCGGACGATCTTGCAAAGAGCTGGCTAAGCTGGCGACCTCTTCAGCTGTTTTAGAATCCATGCTTAAGTCCTCCGGCGATATGTTCAGGTTTATGCAGATCAAAGAACAGGTTTACTCAGCTGATCGTCTAGCAGGATTGCTGAGAGAAGTTGTCCAGAAGAAAAAGATTAAACTTGAAGACGTCAAGTTCAAACCTCTCAATGAAGGGGGAAATGCTGGAGGCAAAATCAACATTCCAAAAGACACATTTCTTCTCTTCTCCAACTTGAAACTATCTGGAACTCAGATCAAAGACAGCTCAAAAATTAAGGAGAATTCCGCCAAAAAATCCGACCCCAAATCGACAACGGCAACAACTCCTACGCAAAAAGGCAATAAACCCGTGGAGGGCAATGTTGGCAAAGTTGCCCACTTCACAGGGTTATTCAACTTTGCTACTCCAGTACTGGTGAAGGTTGAAGGAGTAGAGGAGAATTCCAACATCAAATATGAAAAGGAACACAATGGCTACAGGGCCTTCAATACAAGCAAGGTATTTAGGGTGAAAGACTGCCTCTACACATTTGTTGTACTACAGCCTGTATCATCCAAGTTAAATATTCCTGGATACTTCAAATTCTACAAGGGGAACGATTCTTTAGATAGGCTTAAAACCGGAACCTCTCTGATCAAGTTTGAGAAAGTACCAGGAAAGGTTGCTCCAGACACTAGACATGTGAGTTGTAGCTTGATGTTTCGTGGACCGGAGAAAACCCAACAAAAATTTATACGCCTTGATACTAAAACTCACGGTGTTGACATTGCTGTAACCATAAAACCTCTGAAAGGAGGTGGAGAAATCAAGTTTCTAAAGAAAGGCGATATATTTGCTCTAACAAAGACAGTTATCAGTTCTGTTAAAGTTATCAACAAACTATTCTGTATTGATGAGGATGATGCTAATGAGGCAAGGATTGTTATACAGGTAGATGGTCCTGTCACTATTCCGTATGGGGCTAAGATTGGAGAGGTTGTTCTTATCACGGAGAAGAATGCTGAGTTGGGAGTTGACACTTCAGCTGCTCAAGTAGCTAACGCAGTCAAAATGCTAAAGGTAAACTTTTGATTACACCAAATAATGTTTTTTTATTTTCTCATTGTGAAAAATTACAATTTAGCTTTCACATACATCTCCAAACAATCATTAATATTCATAAATATAAAAAAATTATCATATGAAATAAATACTACAGAAATAATCTATTTTAGATAGCTTAAACATTATTTGTAGTTTTGATTGTTCTTTATCCTTCCCTTTTTATCTAATGTTTAAGAATCCTTGAACTTTTGTTGATTTTTGTCTTAAACATGTTTTGTTCTTTCATTCTAATTTGCGACTGATGTTTTATGTCTAAATTATTTTAGGATAAGGATGAAAGAATTAGAAGAAAAAGAGGTTCAAGGTATGTACTTTTTACTACAGGAAACAACCATTCAGATTTTTTTGAATTGTGAGTTCCAAATCTGAAACATCAGATTGTTGAACTCGTGGTTTATGATGTATAAACTCCTGGGGGAGAGTATGGAATGGTGAAGATATGTGATCAGGCAAGGAAAGTAGAGAGGGTAGGAGAAGGTAGGTTCAGGTAGGAGAAAAGGTAGGTTCAGGTAGGATAGAAGGCAGGTTCAGGTAGGAGAGAAGGTAGGTTCAGGTAGGAGAGAAGGTAGGTTCAGGTAGGAGAGAAGGTAGGTTCAGGTAGGAGAGAAGGTAGGTTCAGGGGAGCGAAGGTAGGTTCAGGTAGGAGAGAAGGTAGAGAACTGTATTCTCAATTCCTAAAGCGTGGATAATATACTCAGGTAAGAGAAGACTATGAAATTGTTTTGTATCAACTTCAAGAGGATTTGAGGAAATTACTTGTTTTACGTCAGAATAGGTTCCTCAAGGCAAAAATTAGTCTAGGTAAAGACTAGGATAAAATGTAGCTCTCAAATATCCATCCTTTAAATATTACCCCCTGCTAAACTATGTAATGTCCTAGAGGCAAGAATGCTGGAGTGACTGTACGAAATACTTTAATCCAAAAGGAAACTGAAAAGATAAAACCTGGCACGGATCTCAGGAAACGATTGATGGAAAAGAAAAGAGATACATATCCGGCGAAGAAACCAAGGTAAGAGTTCATCTTTATTTATTAGAAGATCGAAAATAATGAAAATAATATTCTTTAATTATTTATCCCTAGACTAAGGATGGAGAGAACAGAAGACAAAAGCCATTTTAGTCTCGTCTGTTGTAAACAAACTTCTAGATAATTTCAAACCAACTTTCATAACTGCAATTTCAGAAGAATTTTCATAATTGCAAATTCATAAGAATTTTTATAAATGCAATTTCATAAGAATTTTTATAAATGCAATTTCATAAGAATTTTTATAAATGCAATTTCATAAGAATTTTTATAAATGCAATTTCATAAGAATTTTCATAAATGCAATTTCATAAGAATTTTCACAAATGCAATTTCATAAGAATTTTCACAATTGCAATTTCATAAGAATTTTCATAAATGCAATTTCATAAGAATTTTCATAAATGCAAGTATTTGGGGAGAGAAGAAAAACCAGCGAAAATGGGAACAAAACATTTTTGTAGTTATTTTTTAAATAAATGACTTTTCTTTCTTAAAATATCTGCATTGAACTGTAATCTCCAACCCAACTATCACTTTAAATTATAACAATTAAATTAATATTACCAAAAATATTCAATGTTAAAGGAAATGAGAATTTTTATACATAGGATGGAGAGAACAGTGGACCAAGAGCAGATATGGCGGGAAAGATCTAGAGAAATCTTGTCAGCCTACGGTCGTGAAGATCCTAGGGGTACGGTACCCGGTACAGCCTACGGTATTGGAGATCGTAGAGGATTAACCTACGGAAGGGAGGAACCTAGAGGATCAGGCTACAGTCGAGGGGATCCATGGGGATCAACATACAGTCGAGGGGATTCCAGGGTGATAGGTTCAGATGTCCGACCCAACCCTGTTGTTGTAAACCAGCTTGTTGGTGCTATACTCAAAGTTGCAGGAGGAGTACACCAGAACAGACAACTACATGGTAACATATTTCCTTTAGTTTAATTATATCAGATTTTTGGCGTATTAGAATTCTTGTGTTTTGTAAATCTTTGTTCAAGCTTTGATCTTCATCTTCTGCAGATGGTTTTAATTCCTCTTCGATATTTTCAGGGATCATGCATTTACCTCAAATTTAAAAATTCCCACACTGGATATCGCTGTATTAAGCGTTATAGATTAACGACAATCAACACAAAAATTCCTACCTCTGGACAATTATTTATAGTTTCTTTTCGATGGTCCCCTCGTCGAGTTTTACGTAATACAACGTTAAAGAAAAGGTCTAAATATTTTTATTTTAATCTTCCATTTCCTGAAGCTAGAAAATTGACGATATCTTCCGTATTATTGGTCCTGTGAAAGCTGTTTTAATGTCGTCTTCCCAGTAAAGAGTTTTATGGGTCACTTAGTAGTCTTTAATAAAAGTTGATTTTTAGATGTGTACCCGCCAGGACAGTATGGGTCTGGAATGGACTGGATGCGATCAATCCCAACTGAGGAAGTAGTTCTAGGAAGTAGTCCCTTTGTACTAAACCATGGACCAGGTACAGGGACCAGTCCCTTTAATACTAAACCGGGGACCAGGTTGAGGGACCAGTCGCTTTTATACTAAACCAGGGACCAGGGACCAGGTACAAGGACCATTCCCTTCATACTAAACCAGGAACCAGGTACAGGGATCAGTCCCTTTATACTAAACCAATTAACAGATACATGGACCAGTCCCTTCATACTAAACCAGGGCTGGGATCAGGTGCAAGAATCAGTCCCGTAATACTAAACCAATCATCAGGTTCATGGACCAGTCCCTTCATACTAAGCCAGGGACCAGGCACAGGGACCAGTCCCTTAATACTTATCCAGGGACCAGTCCCTTTATTCTATACCAGGGACCAGGTACATGGACCAGTTCCATCATACTAAACCAGGGACCAGTTCCTTCATATAAACCAGGGAACAGGTAAAGGGACTAGTCCCTTCGTATTAAATCAGGGACCAGGTAGGGGGACCAGTCCCTTAAAAAAAACATGGACCAGGTACAGGGACTAGTCCCTACATAATAAACCAGGGACCAAGTACTTGGACCAGTCCATTTATACTAAACCAGGGAATAGTTACAGGGACCAGTCCCTTCATACAGAACATTCTCGTAGACCAAGTTGAACCACTTCTTTGAATTTAGATTACGTAGCTAAACACTTCTTTGTTAATCTTCAAATTTGGTACGTCCCAGATTACTTAGAATAGATATTAAAATGTCCATTCGCAAATGACATCAATATTGCCATAAACACTGATTTCAAGATTGCTGTTGGAAATTATTATGTCTCTGCTTTGGAAAAATATTCACTCCTAACGGGACCTTATGGGTAAATTTTTAGTTACCCTCAATATCTTAATATGATCAAATACTTAGAAAATGGTGTTGTTTTCTGAATTCTGTTGAATTTTAATAATTTCTTACAAGCAAACAATGCGCTAGTCATTTTTGCAGAGAAACCACAAAGGAAGTTTAACAGTTTAAATGAACAAGAACATAGATATCTAATTTATCCTTAATCAGACAAAACTTTCAAAAGTACTGTTGTAAATCGGGCATTGTCCTTTTTGTATTGAGGGTCACTTTTAATTAAGATTACTAGGTTAGAAGTCTTGTAAACTATTTTTTCCATTTTAGACTCCCGAGAACGAGGATATTCTGCCCGACCCACGAACCCCTACAGCTCCCAAATATTGGCTGCATCTAGATTATCAGAGGATAGATATCGCAGGCGCAGCTACGAAGGAGCTCAAAGAAGCAGCAACATTGATAATTATGAAAAGGAGTATAGTCGTACTGCCGACCAAGGGTATGCTCGCAGGAGTAGATACTAAAGTTATTCAACAATAAGTAAAGTCTAGAAAAGTTAACCAGGGTTGCCCTTTTTTTTCAAGATTTTAAATATTGTTCTTTAAAAAAGGTCCTTTTTTGAAAACGCAAACCTGAAAATTGTGGACAATTATAATTATACCTTTGGAAAATTTGAGTACTGAAACATTTTTTTCATTAATCTATTAAAGACTAGGTCAAGGGCCAAACTTTGCACGTGAAAAAAAAATCGAAAAATGAGTGTCCACAAAAAAATTAGCCCATTCGGCCCAGCAGTTTGGCCGGATTTAGGCAACTTCTATAAAAAGATGTCTTGTTTTATAATGAAGATGTATGCATTATATAATTCAACCCCGGCTTTATGTTATAAATTAGAATTGTAAAACGCCCTCACTTTATTCATAGTTATTGTTGTTCACATTTTGATTTTTGTCTGTTCCAGAAGTTGTGTAATGTTTTTGTTTCAGAATCTAATAACAATGTATCTAGCAAACGTATATTGCAATAAGATGTTAGTTAATAGTTTATAAAGGTAAATTAACGACAGTTGGATAATTTTTTTTTTTTTAGATTTAAAGGGACTGTACGCTTAAGTGACATTTAATTTCAGTGCGGCATTTCCGATTTACGATACCCTTTAAACCTTCCTTTAATCAAGGATTTCATAGCTTTTTACCTAGGGAAAATAAAGTCCCAAGAAACCGCGTGAGTTTACACTTCAGGGGCTTAAATAAGGATTCCTAAGGGGGGCGGGGGGTAAAAAAAAATGCCCCCCCCCCCCTAGAAAAATATCATGATGTAAATCAAATTGTTGTTATTAATTGGGTTTGATTTTTATTTTCCACACATTCATTTTACATTAACTACAAAGATCTGAATTTATTTTAAGTAAGATAAAAAATAATAGTTTTACTCTAAGAGGAAAAAGATGATACTTTTTAAAATATTTAGAAAAGCTACTCTGCAAAACTTTGAAAAAATATTGTCTTTTTTTAATTCTTGTTTCTAATTTCTAAAATTTTCTTGTCGTCAATGTAGTATGTTAAGATCTTTAAAAAATCTAAAATGGAAATGACATTATTTCGAAGTAAAAATGTATTTTTCATTGTCCATACCTTTTTTTTTATTAAAAAACAACATCTAATTGTAATGACATTGACTATTACTTTAGAATTTAGAATCAGTTAGAATATGTTGATTTAAAACCTGAAATATCTGAAGTATCTGCATATTTAAATCATTTTTTGCAAATTTAAAAGATTTAATTTATAAATCAACCTTTTTTTAAAAACAAGCAAAGTAACAACTTGCTATTGAGGGCCTGAATAGTTCAGGGGTAATTACCTCCAAGATTCTAGGGGGGGTAATTACCCCCAGGTTTCTTGGGGGGGGGGGAATTACCCCCAGGGTTCTTGGGGGGGGGGGTAAATAGCCCCCTTATTTACGCCACTGTTACACTAGCAGTGTACACTGTAACCTCAAGTCCCCCTTCACTCAAATTTCCACTTTACAAATGAGTGAACTACCTAATTGTTCTCAGGACAAAGGTTTATAGGGTACGGTTGTGAATCAGACATGCCTCTTTATAAATGGAAGGTCACTTGGAATTACTCTCACAGTCCCATTAAGAACATTATTTTCGACGAGATATCACAATAATATGCATACTTAAAGAGATGATCGTGTTTTTATTTTGCTTTTAGAAATCAGCCAACCACCAACCAGGAGTTTGTGCTTTAACACAACAAAAAATTATGCTCACAATTTTTCTTTTAACCTTTATTACGGTCCTGGCTGTTCCGACGATGTCATGTTTGAGAAATCACTATATAGTAGGTCCTTTAAAGTACATGTTACACGGTTATACCATATTTTCTTGGAAATTTTATGCTGAATTCAAATTTAAAAATTGGAAATTTTGGGAAAAAATCAACAAAAATAATAAGGAGGGGAAGGAATAGTAGAAAAAAAATCATCCTTAGCTGTTCAAAAGGTTTCGTTTGGAACAAAAATTGTTACAATTAAGCTTTAATTTTAGAAAAGAGATTCTTAATCATTTTTATCGATTCCAATGTTAAAACGTTAATACAATTTCAGATTTTATCAGTTGAAACCACTGGTATGAAGTTAAACTAGCTGAAAGTATTTGCTCAACGATGGCAAGAAATAAAAACAGCAAAACTATTAGAACCCAGTGGATGATAGTTCGAAATCGAATGCTTAGGGTTCAAATAGAGCAAAAGAAAGAGAAGGATAAGACAGATCTAAAGATATTTGCTGCTGTAGAAATCCTCGTCACCTCTACGACCACAAACATAATCCAGATTGGACTCTATAATCCGGAAACTAAAGAAACCCTTCAAGTTTTCATCAAGCATCCGTTTATTGATAAACTCTCGTATAAACAGATTCCTAAAGCCAAGGATAATGATGGATGTTTAAATGAAACAATATCTTCAGCAGCTCAAGTATTTAAATTTTTGTGTAAGCCGGCCAGGAAACATAAAGTTTCCTTAGTCTTCTACAGCAATGTTGAATGTCAAGCTTTTGTTTTGTTCTTCTCCCAGTTCTCATATTTCAAGATGCTGGTTCAAGGTTAGGGGTGATCGATTTTTTGCAATGCCACTCCTCTCCATGTGTATAGGATTAGTTTTAAATATTTAAACAAACTTGGGTACAGTCAATTTTTTGCAAGATGAGATTTAATTACCAACCGGAAACTGGTTTATGAAATTTATGTGGAATAATTCACAACAAGTCTGGAAGAAAATACTTATATCTGGGAATCAAAAGATTCGTATTGAATTACTAAATTGAATAAATCTGATCATAATTAAACAAATTGGAGTTAATAAATCAGTTTTGAAAATATCGAAACAAAAATCGAATTGAGTACTCAACAGCTCAAAAAAAGCATCTTTTTATACCAATTTCGACAAGTTTTAAAGATTTGATTTGAATATTGATTCTTGTAGATTTAAAAAAAGCAAGATATCAATTGGGGGCACAGTTTTAAACTTGAGTCTGAAATTCGGCAAAAAATCTTGTTTTTACAGCCACTTGACACATTAAAGGGAAGAGGGAAGGGTTCCACTTAAGAAAAATCAAAAATCGATCACCCTTCTTAAGGTGTTCTTGTGTATCAGAAGTATTTAGAGAGCACTGGTGCATGGTTTAGACCTCTTCATAAGAGATTAAACCTGAATAAACCTGCGAAAACAACCGATATTCTTGCCACTCAGCTCGCCCAGCTCTTTTCTCAGACAAACATGAATTCTCAATTCCAAAACATTATTGGAAAAAGCAATGAGCCTGAAGCGGAAAATGCAGGTGGAGCTGGTAATATCCAGATTTCAACACAAGTGAATAATGGTCAGAATGAAGAGCCTGTTGTACAACCAAATCAAGAGAATGCTTCTTCAAAATTTCAGATTGAAGACCCTACAGTAAAACCTATTACTAAGACTGCTTCTTCAAAACCCTGTGTTATTAATCATATTGATGAGCAAAGAGCAGAACCTATTCATGACGGGGCTGTGTTTCAAGAAGGTGCTTCCGAGGTTCATAATTATGATAATATGATTCAAGAATGTAAGTTTAATCTTGATGATATTCCTCTACCCATTGATGATCATGGTTGTTATGAGACTTTTTCACTTGATCTTGAAGAAATTCCTCTTCCAGAGACTAAGTCTGAGAATCAACTCATTATTAATGATTTTAAGGAGCTTGAGAATGTTTCAAAACACACAAATAAGACTGAAGATCAATCAACTGATGTTACTTCTCCAGAAGATGTGGAACACAATAATCAGAATTCAGATCAAAAAACCAACCCAGCGTTTAAACCTCTGGGGAAGTTAATAGAGAGCATATCACTGCAAAGTCTTGAAAGGTTAAAGGTTATGAATAATATTGCAATCGAGGAAGACTACTTCGTCCTTCTGTCTCCTATTCGAACTTTCTCGCACAAACCCTTTTGGCGCCATGTCAGCATGACAACCTATGTCGCTAATAGTGAAAAATATTGGTGAGTAACGTTTTTTTTAAATAAAATTGATAAAATTATCTTTTTTGAAGATTTTAAAACTGTGCTTTTCCTTCTCTTTAACTCTTTTATAATATAGTAATATAGGGCTCATAAAAAGAGAGAGAGGAAAGTGGCGAAGCAAAAACTAAAGAGAAAGGCAAGACAAATTGAAAGGGACAAGAAACTGGTTGGGAAAGTGAGCAAAACGCAGAAAATGCCGACTCCCAGTCAAAAGAAAGTAGGGTTATCTCTTGCAACTCTTGATGATTTGGCTTCCAAAAAACAAATCTTCTCTGATAACACAGAACAGGATTTAATAATCTCATTTCAAGATAATCCACAAATCCTTGAGATCCCAACTCAAGATAAACCCCAAATCCCTGAGATCTCAACTCAAGATAATCCACAAATTTCTGAGAAAAAGGTCAGTGCTAAGGAAATAGACTGTACCAAGAAAAAGATTAGTGCTAAGGAAAGAAAAGCTGCTAAGAAACAGAATGATGCTAAGAACAAGAATGGTGCCAAAAACAAAAACAGTTTCAAAAACAAAAATGGTGGCAAGAACAAGAACAGTCCCAAGAAGAAGTCCCAGAAAACAAAGAAGAAGAAAGGCGGCAAAGAGAAATTATGTAGTCACAAATCCTGTCGACCTCTAAAGAACACTGGTTGTTTTTTCTCTGCCCCTCTGCTCCCTCATCCACCATTATCTCCTCCACATTTTCCTGACAGATTTCATGGGGAAAAATCTTTTCCTAACAATTTTCATGGAAACAATTCTTTTCCTAACAATTTCCATGGAAAACTTTTTTTTCCCAACAATGTCCAGAAAAACAAAACTTTTCCTAACAATTTCTATGGAAACAATACTGTTCCTGACAATTTTCATGGAAATAATACCTTTCCTAACAATTTTAATTTAAGGGATACTTTTCCTAACAATTTTTTTGGGAATGATACATCTACGAACAATTTTCAAGAAAACAATACTGTCCCTCATAGCTTCCATAAAAACAATACTTTTCTAGGTGGGAAATAGCTTGAAATTATTATGCATTACTTATTTATTTTGGTTATATTTTTTACACAAGAAATATGACATTTTAAAACCCACAGTTTTATACAAAATTTGTAAATAACTTTATGACTTAAATATTAAAGAAACCAAATCTAAATTCTTGATCATGTATATTGTGCTAATGTTTATTAGTGGGTTATACATTTAACTAATTCACTTATTCTAGCCAAAATCAAAAACTATTAAAATAAAGTAAAATAGCTGAAGTTAAGTTTTCCTTGAGCTCCAAAAATAATTTCGATGTAATAGGGTGAAATAAAAAAGAAATTATACTATCAAAGTAATAAAATAATATTTAGATTATTCGGTTCCTTCTGGATTTCCATGCAACCCCTTGGATGCAAACAGCTCAAATAATTCAATATCTGGGAATCCTGAATATCAATTTCACCAAGGAAGTCGAGAAAATGAAATTGATCCAAATCTAAAGGAAGGCATTGAGAATCATGGAGACAATAGATCAGAGAGGAAAAGCTTGGAGAACCCATTGAATCCAAAAGAAAACATTGAACAGAGTACTCCAAGAGAGAATGTTGAATCTATGACTAAGGTACAGGAACAATCCATGAGAATTAACTTGATAAAGGAGAGGATAGAGAAGATGAAACATATGAGCTTAGAGGAGAGATTGCATTTAGGAAAAAAGTGGAAACAATCAACTATAGGGGGAGGAATGGAGCCAGAATGGATTAACTCTTTTCAAAATGGAGATAATGGAGTGGAGTCAAGATTTTTGGGGAGAGAGACCTCTGAATGGAATGCAAATCCCTTTCAAGAGGAATTGGAATGGAATAGAAATGTGCCATTAATAGATGAGTGCTTTGGAGAGAACAGTGATAAACCTTTGAGACAAGAAATGAGTGAACCCCTGAGGGAGAAATGGAGAGTGTTGAAGAAAAGAATTGGAATGGAGCTAGCACTAATAAGCAGTGAAGATGTTGACCTAAACCGAGGGGATCAAGAAGAACCCGTAAAAGTTGGTCGCAGAAATAGGAACAGGATTTCAAAGCAAGACAAACGGAATCTGATAGAAGAAAAACGTAAGGAGTTTCTAAGAGAACTCAGATTAAACGGACAGGAGATCAGCAATGAAAACAAGAGGAAGCAAAGAAGTAAAGAGTCAGATTCAAAAAGAGGGTTTGACATAGGACCAAGACTAGATGATGTTGAGTTTAGGGAAAGATTTGAAAAATACTTGAGAAGAAGTAACGAAACAGTATCAAGCAGAAGTTATGAATTTGGCAATGAGTCAAGGCAAGGAGTTGACATTGATTTGAGGGAAAGATTAGAAATGCAGTCTATGAGAAGATCTGATACAGAATCAAACAGAAAATTTGATAGTGAGACAAAGAGAGGATCTGACATAGGCTCAAGCAGAGAATTTAGATGGGAGTCGAGGAGATCATCTGATAGGGAGTCAACGAGATCATCTGATAGGAAGTCAAGAAGGAGAATTGGATGGGAGTCAAGGAAATCATCTGATAGGGAGTCAAGCAGAAGATTTGGATGGGAGTCAAGGAAATCCTCTGATAGGGAGTCAAGGAGGAGATTTGAATGTGATTCAAGGAGATCATCTGAAAGGGAGTTAAGCAGAGGATTTGGAAGGGGGTCGAGGAGATTGTCTGAAAGGGAGTTAAGCAGAGGATTTGGAAGAGGGTCAAGGAGATCATCTGAAAGGGAGTTAAGCAGAGGTTTTGGAAGGGGGTCGAGAAGATTATCTGATAGGGAGCCAAGACAAGGATCTCAAATAGAGCCTAAGTTAGGATTTGGAACTGAGTCCAGATTAGGATTTGACATAGATTTGAGGGCAAGGTTGGATACAAAGTCTAGAAGTGGATCTGAAAGGGAGTCTAGAAGAGGATTTGGTAAGGAGTCAAAGAGAGGATTCGATGCGGAGTTGAGCATGAGCAGTGGATTTGATATGGAGCCAAACAGTGGACTTGGTAGGGGGTCAAGGAGAGGATTTAATATAGAGTCAATTAGAGGATTCGATATTGAGGCACGGAGTGGTTCTGATATTGAGTTAAGGAGAGGGTTTGAACATAACCCAAGACCGGATGTTGATATTTCTCCCTGGAGTGGTTTTGAGTCCCAAAGATTTTGCGGAGGATTAACCTCAGGAGTTGAAGAAATGAACCCCTTTACAAATAGGAGAATGAGTTCTTTTTCAGGTATTAATGAACTAATTTTATATTATTTATTTTTTATCATTATTATTATTAGTTCTGCAAAACCCATTACTGTTGGAGGGATTAGATTTAGTGGAAAACATATTTTAAAGGGGCCTTTTCTCAGTCGTTTAACCTGTGGATATAGAAAAAATATTTGAAAATGTTGACAAAAGATAAATCACAGACCAATTAAATCCCCAAAAAAAGCTTACATAACAATCAGGCACAACTAGGGGGAAGGGTGAAAAGCAATCACAATAATTTTTTGCCTCCCCCCCCCCATAAACATATTTCTAAGGGGGGGGGGGCAAGAATAATGTTTTACACTCAACCATGAAGAACTACCTTACCAATTCAGGAAATTTTTATTTGGGGGGCATCCTGCTCAGTTTGGGGCAAATTTGTGTTGGAAAAATCTTAAATCTATATTTCAGGGAAATTTATTATTTTTATTTGGGGGGCATCCTGCTCAGTTTGGGGCAAATTTGTGTTGGAAAAATCTTAAATCTATATTTCATGATTTTTTTAATAATTGTTAGAAAATATTTGTAGAAGATCTCACTCAACCATTTTTAGTGGACCGGGAACATGACAGGGATAATTACCTTGACACTGGGAGAGGTTTTTCTCCTGGACAAGTGTGGGACTTCCCTGGTCCTAGAGGACAACAACATTCTTTCCCCGATGAAGTCCGTTTTAATAACTATTGTCAAGATCCGTGGGAGAGATACTAGTTTACATGATAAAGCTGAAATGTTGGGCACCTTCCAATGGAAATTTCCATATTTACTTTATCTAAAAAATGAATTTATGGTGAACGCTTTCCAGTTACAATTTAAGTTTTAATCACCATCACTTTTAAAGAAGTCTTCGAAAATCATTTTCTACAAAAATTTACATGTGTCGGTAAATAACTTGGAAAACTGCCTTTGGGAAGTTATCTTTCATCAGAATAAAAGGGAATGAAGGGGTAACTTTAAACTACCTTAAATTTATAGAATAGCGTGCTCTGTTCACAATGGTAGCTTCTGAACTTTTGTCTGATCAACTTGAATGAGATATCCTTGTTTTCCTTACTGATAAGTTTTTCTTTTATCCAAGACAAACTTTTTGTTTCAGAAAAGGGACATATTTCACATTGTTACTCAAGAAAATAAATATCGTTGTGAGTTTGACAAAAAAATATGAATGGATACTGTTGTGAATCGGACATGGTACTCTTCAAATTGAATGTCACTTAACATTACGCCTAAGGTCACTTTTAAGCCAATCCAAATGTGATATTTAAAAAAACTATTCTAAATGTTTAAAATTTTGCTAAGTTTGGCAATACATATATTTATTTTATTATTTTCAGACTGGAAATAATGAGACGAATAAAACTACCTTGATTGACTAACTTTACGATCAGTAAGTAATTTTTACCATTCTTTATATCATAGGTTTAAAAAGGCTAAGTTGTGATGGGTGAAATGCAAAACAGCCTTTACAAATATACGTTTCTATAGCTGGGTGAAAAAAACGTTTTCTAACGTGGTTCATGAATGTATTTAGATGATAAATTTATAAAGTACAATTGTTTTGTTTCTTATAAAGCATAATGAAATAGTTGAATCCCCAGATATTGAAAATTGTCTTTAAAATAACTTTTTTTAACGTTTAAATTCCTGATCAAAATTTCATCTCTAAGCCAATTTAAGTTTAATAAAGAGTAAAAAAATGTAAGTATGGTCTTTAAAGCAAATTTTTATTTAGTAAATTTCTTGTGCATAATTTAGTATTTTGCATTTTTTTTTGAAAAAATGTTTTCATTTTTCTTTTAAATATCTTAAACGAGGAGAAAAAATGAGCTAGTGTATAATTTCTATCTAATCCTGAAACTTCATAAAAATAAAACCGATGGAGAAAATTCGCCAAATCTTATCAGGAAAATTTGCAATTCAGTGGAACTATTTTAAGCAAGGCTATTAATAAATAATAATATTTCCATAAGACTTAGACCAGTGAATCGTCTCCAAAAGAATGAAGTACATTTCAAGTAATGTGCAACTGGTAACCATATTATTTTAATGATAAACTGAATAATTTTGGGAGTCTTTTAGGATTGGATAGCAATAATCTAATATCACATTTTGTTTGTCTTCACTTTCATTGAAAAAGGTTCATTGATTTTTTTGTGATATCATGTGAATTTTAAAAAAAGAAAATAATACTCCAAAATATTTTTAAAAATTATTGCTTAAGAAATTCATACAAAAAACTTTGTTTGCAGAAGACAACGCTAATCGGACTTTTTTACTCATCCTGTTTATACATATATGCCTTCACTGATAAAGTGATATATTAAATTTTTTAATAAAAAATTCTTGAAACAAAACACTTTTTAACTACTTAAATGTGAATCTAAATAAACAAAACAAAGAATTTAAAAACTGTTATATCCTAGATTTGTGACCAGATTTTTAAATAATTTTACTTATAAAATGCTACTATAGAACCCAACAGCAGTATCTATTTGCCTTTATTTGATTTGGATGGGTTTTGGTTTTGATGGAAACGTCTGTAAAATTTGTCAAAGAAAAATTTCTATTTTTACCGTACATAGTCTTCGTGCAATTTAAGTCTTATTCTTTATGAGTTACCAAGTATTTTGAACAATGTTTCAGGTAAAGAACAAAGCCTCCTAAGTTCTGAAGCCAGAAATTGTTTCAACTTATAATTAATAGATCTGACTAAATTCAAAATGAAAACAAATAAGAACAAACCTTCAGAGGGTCAGATCAACATCATAGTTTGCATGGAGTTGAAGTTGGTAAAAGATGATTTCCATGCAGTTCAGATTGGATTTTACAACTCAGAGACCAAACAAGCACATGACATAGTGTTCTACTTAAAGCATTTTGGTGTTGAAAACGGGCCTCACTTCGTTGAAAATGGAGGTGGAATTTGCCTAATCAGAGAAGATGGCTCAAAATTATCTGCCATCGTGAAAAACATCAGAAAAAAACATCACCAGTTTTCAAATTAGGTGTATTGATCACTTTAATATATTGTTTAACTTGAATTTACACTTACATTATTTTTTTTTTCCTAGGTTATTACTAAGCTTTCATCAAGCATGAATGAAAACAAAAAGTAAGTACTAAACTACTATTTAAAGATATAATGCTTCATCATTAAAACATATATTGTATATTAAAAATAAATAACACTTCCTTGCTTTTCAGGAAAAGTAGTGAAATAAAAGAATCAGTTGCAACTCTAAAGAAAGGAAGGAAAACAAAAGGAATGGTTGTTAATATAAAGAAAGGAGGCAAAACAAAACGCTCAGTTGCCATTCTTGATAAAGGATTTGCCACCAAAAACAAAAATGAAAATACTGCAGGTGTCGGTAAAAAAAGAAAGCATGATGGAGTTCTAGTAAAAAAGTATAAATCTTATCAGAGCTGTTCCTCATTGGACCAGGTCCAAACTAAAAATATTCCCAGTCTTCTTGATATTCCGACAGACATGTCTATGCATCGTTTCCTTCGTAAACCTGGTTTCCCTTATCAACCTTTATCACCTTCAAGTCGACTTAATCAGACTAGTGTCTGGGAAGGTAAAAAGATGTTTTCCTTATTTGTGTGGGAAATAAACCCTACCCTTTTCCATTGCTTTTTCTCAAGATAAAGATTTTCGTGATTTTATTTGTGAATTTTCAAATACAGGTTACAAAAGTAAAGTGATCAGAAAATCAGAGTTTGTGGCAATGGCTCAGTTCCTTTAAATTAATTTTTACAAAATTGGCAACAGTTAAACTTTAACTTTTCTTCTTAGGATTTGCAGACTGGGATCAGAGGGATAAAACTAACTACTATTGGACAGATGAAAGGAGATATTTCAGGGCAGAGGAAGACTGCCAAGGTTAGTTCCTTTAAATTAATTTTTACAAAATTGGCAACAGTTAAACTTTAACTTTTCTCCTTAGGATTTGCAGACTGGGATCAGAGGGATAAATCTGACTACCATGGGACAGATGAAAAGAGATATTTCAGGGCAGAGGAAGACTGCCAACGTTATGATGATAGACAAGAACAAAACAGGTTTATGGGGTATAATAGAGTTGAAGAGTCAGGTTGGAGGGAAGGGAAGGAGATGCATAGTGTTAGAGATGAATTGGTTCTAACAACAGCAAGATGGGTTAGTGAGAAGAGGGCAATGGAACCCTCAAAGGGGTTTTGGGAGAGGAGGAAAGTGGAGCCCTCAAAAGGTTCAGTTGAATTGATTGAAGTGATGCCATCAAGAGAGTTTGGGGAGAGGAGGGCAATGGAGCCATCTAAAGAACTTTGGGAGAGTAGGGCATTAGAGCCTTTAAGAGAATTTGGAGAGAGGAGAGCAGTAGAGCTCCCCAGGGGATTCAAGAGGGAAAGAAGGGAAGTAGAGACCCTAAGAGAGTACAAGGAGAGAAGGACAGTGGAGCCCTCAAGAGGCTGCGAGTCTCTGAAATCACCACAGAACAACTACACTAAACATTGGGCAGAGCCAGATTCAAGTGTAAATGGTTGCAAAAAAATTGAATACTCAAATAGAAAGATTGCTTCTAATGACAAGAGAATTGAGCCAATTAGAGGTTTTGACAAGGGTTTCATTGAAAATGCCAAGTATGCTGGGGAAGAAGTATTTGCAGCTGATAGGAATGTATTTATTGATAATGGGACTTCTAGAGATCTTGGAAAAACATCTTGTAATCCCAAAAGATATGATGTGGATGGTTTTAAAAGCTATGGTGTTAAGTCACCTGATAAAAGAAGTAATGAACCAAGTAAAGAGATTGGAAATCAGTTTCTGAAGCCTAGCACGAAACCATTTTATGGAATTGAGAAAATGAACCCTTGCTATGAAGGATCTGACCCTAAAAGACAACAAATTAATAGTAAAGAAGTAAAGTTTGACAGACCTGGCATGGTTGAGCCTTTGAAGAAAGATAGCTATTTCAATTATGTTGGCATGGAACCAATCAGAAATACTGGGCCTGATCCTTTCATAAGCGAGCAAACAGAATTGGAAAAAAGAAATTGTATCAAACCAATAGGAGTGGAGCAGAAAAGGTTTCTAGATAGTAGTGAAAATTCTGGAGCTGAATTCAACAATCAGTATCATATGAAACCTAGTCAACTTGAAAGAATAGCAAAAGTTATTAACAAATCAGAACATGTGAACCCATCAAAAGTAAATGATGACCAGTCCAGTAACATTTTGGGAGGTGTTTTTTCTTCTAAAATACAAAGTAGTGTTGAATCCACCAACATGCTAGGTCAAGCAAAAGTTTCTCAAACTGCAGATGCTTTTTGGCCCAGTCACAATTTCAATGCTGTTCCATTTAATAACACTGCTATCAGTGCACCAGATGGGTTCACTAACACTAAGTGGGGTGCTGGGTCCACTCACACTAGTGGCATTGATGGGACCATCTACAATGTGGATGCTGTTAAATCTACTTACAATCCTGGCAGTGTTGGGTCTTCTTATACAATGACTGGTGTAGGGTCCACTGACACTAAGTTGGGTGTTGGGTATACTCACACTACTAGCAGTGATGGGTACACTTACAATGTGGATGCTGTTAAATCTACTTACGATTCTGGCAGTGTTGGGTCTTCTTATACAATGACTGGTGTTGGGTCCACTGACACTAAAAGGGTCATTGGGTCTACTTCAACACAAGGCAGTCAGTCCTTAAACATAACAGCTGGAGAAGATGCAGATGCAGAAATGGCCCGTGTTGAACTTGAGATCAAGCATTATGAGAAGGAACTCAAACTTCTACGACATCAAAGATTAGCAAAAGAGTTGGAAGAAGAACGCAAACTTGCCATGAACAATCAACAAAATCAGCAATGGAAAAATGAGCAAACAATAGTGGAAGAGCATAATTCAAGTAGGTTTTTTAAAGTAAATAAACTTGAAATAAGCTTTTTCATATCTTTATTATAATTTAGGAATACCTCAAGTTCCGCTGAATGAGTTCTGGTAGATTACAGAAGAGTTCTATTTTCGGGTAAAAAAAATCTTTTTTTTTCGGCAATCTCTGTAAATGAACATTTTGATTTTAATTTTTAAAAATAGCACTGGACTTCATTTGGAATTCTATTTGGAGTGCACATAGTAATTCACAAGGCACTATATTTTCAGTAAGAAAAATTAATATTTCTCAGTCATTAAAGATTATAGATCAGACAAATGTTTCAAGGGTATCCTTGTGAATCAGACATACCAACTTATCAAAAGGCTATAGCCTCTATTAAATATTTATGTTGTATATGAAACAAGGAACAAAATATCTTGTAAAAGAATTTAGACATTTGTATTTTAAACATTGAAGGGAAAATATCTTCATTATCTTATAAAAAAAGGTTGGAAGAGAATTATTTTTTAGTGAAAAGAAAATAATACTATTTAAATTTTTTCATTAGACACGGAACATGACAGGGATAATTGCCTTGACCCTGGTAGAGACTCCTGGACAAGTGTGGGACCTGCCTGTTCCTAGAGGACATGATTCTTTCCCTGATGTAGTCCGTTTTAATAACTATCATCAAGATCCCTGGGAGAGATTCTAGTTTACATGAAAGCTGGAATGGTGGTCACCTTCCAATCAAAATTTCCTTGAATCCTTTTTGCAATAAATTTTAATTTTTGGTGTAAAGACTTTCAAATTGCAGTTCCTTATTTAATCCCCCCCCCCCCCCCCCCCCAAAAAAAAAAAACTGACAATTTTTTTACAAAATTTATATTTCTCAGTAAATGCTATTTGGAAAACGTCTTTAAAAAAGTATAGATCATCTTCATTTGTAATTAAAGGGACTGTAGATGTAATTTTATTAGATCCATGGTATGCCGGGTTTACAATGCCAGTTTTTAAATGTTTCTTTAACCAAGTCCTTGTTTTTCATACTGAAACATTATTATTTTCTGTTATGGTTTTTATATAATTGCAACTTGCGGATTTATGTAAGAGAGTAAATTAAGGAAATTGAACACTTTTGATTGTAGAGAAGAGATGTCATCTTTCTCATGGTTACTCAAAAAAAAAATATAAGGATACGGTTGTGAATCGGACATGGCCTGTTTAAATTGTGAGTCTTGAAATTACGTCTAAGGTCACTTTTAAGCCAATCCAAATGTGATATTTTTAAAAAACTATTATAAATGTTTAAAGTTTTGCTAAGTTTGGCAATACATATATTTATTTTATTATTTTCAGACTGGAAATAATGAGGCGAATAAAACTACCTTAATTGACTAACTTTAAGATCAGTAAGTAATTTTTACCGTTCTTTATATTATAGGTTTAAAAAGGCTAAGTTGTGATGGATGATGATAAATTTATTAAGTACAATTGTTTTGTTTCTTAAAAAGCATAATGAAATAGTTGAATCCCCAGATATTAAAAATTGTCTTAACACTAATTTTTTTGAAGTTTTAATTCCTGATTAAAGTTTTCTCTGTAAACCAATTTAAGTTTAATACAGAGTAAAAAATATGTGAAAAGCTTTTTCTTCTTTAGAGCAAATTTTGATTAGTGAAATTCTTGTGCATGGTTCAGTATTCTTGCAAAATTTTGCATGGTAACACAACAATCCGTGAAACTCTTTCTTCTTAAAATCATAACTGTAGTGCATAATTTGCGGCTTTGGAAACACCTCACCACGGAAATGCATCAAAAAAACAGACTCTCATTTATAAAAAAAATTATTCTTAAAAATTATTTATAGCATTTGTTTAGGGTAGGTTAGGTTATGCCGCAGGCTACGGAGAGGGCCGAGCGCTGCGGCCATGGCTGTAAAAATTGTTAGAATATAATCTTTTAATTTTAAGTTGAGAGAAGACGACATTTAATTAGTATTTATGAGTCCGTATTGTTTTGAGGCATTTCCGTGGTGAGGCAATTCCATAGCACCAATAATTTCTTTCTAATCCTAAAACTTCATATAAATGAAACTGTTGGAAATAGAGAGAAAATTCGCAAAATCATATTAGGAAATATTGCAATTTAGTACAAGAATTAGAGCGTTGAAACGTTTCCAAAGTACTGTTAACTGTATTATTTTATAATCAACTGAACAATTTTGGAGGACTTTTAGGATTAGATAACAATTGTCAATTTCTACATTTTTGTTTTTCTTCACTTTCAATTTGAAAGGAAAAATTTTCATTTTTTGGTGCCAACATGTGAACTAAAAAAAAATACTCCAAAATATTGAAAAATTCCATGCCTTTGAAATTCATGAAGAAAAAAAAAACTTTGTTGAAAGAAGACGATGTATATCAGACTTTTTTACTCATCCTGTTGATACATATATAATAGTCACTAGACTTTTAGGGCTCTTCAGGCCCATCTTCTATTTCAATTGTGAACATGTTCTCTTTGTTAAAAATTGTAAAACAAAAACAAATAAAAAAATTGGGCTGATTTTATAAAACAAAATTGTGGATTTTTTAAATTTTCAAAAATCTAATTTGTTAGAGGCAAATTTTTGAAAATTTCATCATACATAAACCTTTCCATTTGTCAAAGAAAAATTTCTATTTTTACTGTACTTAGTCTTCGTGCACTCCAAAGTTGTTTTTTTATGGGAAACCCAGTATTTTAAACAATGTTTTAGGTAAAGAACAAAGCTTCCTTGAGTTCCGAAGCCAGAAATTGTTTTAACTTATAATTAATAGATCTGACTAAATTCAAAATGAAAACAAAAATGAACAAACCTTCTGAGGGTCAGATCAACATCATAGTTTGCATGGAGTTAAAGTTGGTAAAAGATGATTTCCATGCAGTTCAGATTGGATTATACAACTCAGAGACCAAACAAGCACATGACATAGTGTTCTGCTTAAAGCAATTTGGTGTTGAAAACGGGCCTCACTTCGTTGAAAATGGAGATTAAATCTTCCTTCTCAGAGAATACGATTCAAAATTATCTGCCGTCGGCAAAAAAATATAAAGCAAAATGTAACCTTTTTTTCACTAATATGCCTTCCTCTTGTGATAGACCTATTAAATTAACCTTATGTTTTACTAATGAGTTGAAATGGAATTTGTTGGTAAAATGTATTATATCATATCTGTTCGGTTCCATAGTAGTAAACCTATATTGTAAGAATTCCCATTATTACAAGGTTCAGGAGAAAAAAATTTAATATTGTTTGCTTCCTAGCGTTTGAGAATGCTTATTCTTTCACTGTATCACTGTAGGTGGAGAATTTTCATTCTTTAACGCTCAGATGGTGTAAGAATGGAAATTATTACATGGTCAGAGCGTGAAAAAATGTGTATTCTTACACGCTCCTTATATTGATCTTTTCAACATGGATCAATATTGATAATAACTTAATTATTTTGTGCAGACAACATGCACAGGGTAAACTCATCTTTTTCTTTTAAATTGATACATATTTATACTTTAAAATAACAGCAAACTACCGAGTTTCGAAAGTATTGCTAGAATTCTATAACATGATAATCTAATATTTTCTTGTTTTTAGGATGATATTGCAATAAAAGCTTATGAGTTTAAACCACTGGATAAGCATCTCAACCTTAGTGAGCCATTGTATTCCGCTAAAAAACCTTGCCTCATCCTCAATGAAAGGTTGCTGTCTGAATATGACACTAGGCAATGTTTATTTACTTCCCACAAGTTCCCATTTCCATCATCTACAATACAAGACATAAAAGTGGACAGAGGATTTAGTCTGACAGATTTAGTTCCAAAGCCTATAAGTTTCTTAAAGTGATCAAACTGATAAATCTAAAATGAAAACTTTAAAGAGTAAACCAACCAGTTCAAGAATCAAAGCAACAGAAAAGGGTCAGATCAACATAATAGTTTGCCTGGAGTTAATGTTGTTTAAAGATGAATGTTATGCAGTCCAACAGATGGGATTTTACAACTCAGAGAACAAACAACAGGAGGACATATTGATCAACCTAACGCATCTAGGTCTTAAAAACAGGCCTCACGTCGTTGAAAATGGAGGTGGAATTTGCCTAATCAGAGAAGATGGCTCAAAATTATCTGCCATTGTGAACAACATCAGAAAAAAACTTCATCAGTTTTTCACTAACATCAGTTCCTCTGCCTCTGGTAATACACCTGTTAACCTAATGTTCTATTCCCGAGTTGAAATGGAATATTTTGGTCAAATGTATTCTTCTAGAATTCTAGAACATGATAATCTAATATTTTCTTGTTTTCAAGACTTTATTGAAGTAAAAGGTTATGAGTTTAAACCTCTGGATAAGCATCTCAACCTTAGTGAGCCATTGTATTCTGCTAAAAAACAGTGCCTCATCCTCAAGGAAAAGTTGCTGCCTGAATATGAGACTAAGCAATGTTTATTTACCTCTCACAAGTTCCCATTTCCATCTTCTACAATACAAGATATAAAAGTGGAAAAAGGATTTAGTCTGACAATTTCTTGTTGTCAAATACAGACAGATCGGTCAGCTTGGGTACCACTCTCAGATTCACAAGAAAATACAGTAAGTTTTTTAATTTTTATAACAGTTTATGTTTTTTTTCAAATAACAAAACTTAACTGAACATGTTTGTTCAATGATCACCTAAAATTTATGAAAATTCTTGGACTTGTAAACATCATTTTAAATTTTAATTTTTTTTTCCCATTCCTGATTTAGTATCTTAACTTCAAGTTTGTGGTTTAGGAGTTGATTTAATTTGATTTTTAATGATTACTTAGATCTCAGATGCATCAAGTGTATTTTTATGATCAATTAAATCAAATCAAATTAGGTGTATTGATCACTTTAATATATTGTTTAACTTGAATTTACACTTACATTATTTTTTTTTTCCTAGGTTATTACTAAGCTTTCATCAAGCATGAATGAAAACAAAAAGTAAGTACTAAGTACTATTTAGAAATATAATGCTTAATCATTAAAACGTATTGTATATTATAATTAAATAACACTTCCTTGCTTTTCAGGAAAAGTAGTGAAATAAAAGAATCAGTTGCAACTCTAAAGAAAGGAAAGGAAACAAAAGGAATGGTTGTTAATATAAAGAAAGGAGGCAAAACAAAACGCTCAGTTGCCATTCTTGATAAAGGATTTGCCACCAAAAACAAAAATGAAAATACGGCAGGTGTCGGTAAAAAAAGGAAGCATGATGGAGTTCTAGTAAAAAATTACAATTCTTATCAAAGCTGTTCCTCATTGGACCAGGTCCAAACTAAAAATATTCCCAGTCTTCTTGATATTCCGACAGACATGTCTATTCATCGTTTCCTTCGTAAACCTGGTTTCCCTCATCATCCTTTATCACCTTCAAGTCAACTTCATCAGACTAGTGTCTGGGAAGGTAAAAAGATGTTTTCCTTTTTTTTGTAAAAAAACCTTATAATTTTACATTGCTTTTTCTCTTGATATAGATTTTCCTGTTTTTATTTGTGAATTTTCAAATACAGGTTACAAAAGTAAAGTGATCAGAAAATCAGAGTTTGTGGCAATGGCTCAGTTCCTTTAAATTAATTTTTACAAAATTGGCAACAGTTAAACTTTAACTTTTCTCCTTAGGATTTGCAGACTGGGATCAGAGGGATAAAACTGACTACTATGGGACAGATGAAAGGAGATATTTCAGGGCAGAGGAAGACTGCCAAGGTTATGATGATAGACAAGAACAAAACAGGTTTATGGAGTACAATAGAGTTAAAGAGTCAGGTTGGAGGGAAGGGAAGGAGATTCATAGAGTTAGAGATGAATTGGTTCTAACAACATCAAGCCATGAATGGACAGAGTGCTCTGAATCCAAAGTACACAAGAAAATGACTGAGATGTCAGGAAAGGAAATAAGTCAGATGAAACTAGAAGGAAGGAAGGCAGTAGAGTCCTCAAAGGGACTTTGGGAGAACAAAGATTTGGAGCTCTTAAGAGGACTTAGAGAGAGCAGGACATTTCAACCCTTAAGAGGACTAAGGGAAAGGACTGAATTAGAGCCCTTTAGAGGGTTTGGTGAGAAGAGGGTATCATCATCCCCCAGCAGGTTTGAGGGTAGGAGGGCTGTGGAGTTATCTAAAGAACTTTGGGAGAGTAGGGCAGTAGAGCCTTCAAGAGAATTTGGAGAGAGGAGAGCAGTAGAGCTCCCCAGGGGATTCAAGAGGGAAAGAAGGGAAGTAGAGGCCCTAAGAGAGTACAAGGAGAGAAGGACAGTGGAGCCCTTAAGAGGATGTGAGTCTCTGAAATCACCACTGAACAACTACACTAAACATTGGGCTGAGCCAGATTCTAGTGTAAATGATTGCAAAAAAATTGAATACTCTAATAGAAAGATTCCTTCCATTGACAAGAAAATTGAGCCATTTAGAGGTTTTGACAAGGGTTTCATTGAAAATGCCAAGTATGCCTTTAATAAAGTCAAAGAGGGACAAGCACACAGAGGTGCTGGGGATGAAGTATTTGCAGCTGATAGGAATGAGTTTATTGATAATGGGACTTCTAGAGATCTTGGAAAAACATCTTGTAATCTCAAAAGATATGAAGTGGATGGTTTTAAAAGCTATGGTGTTAAGTCACCTGATAAAAGAAGTAAGGAACCAAGTAAAGAGATTGGAAATCAGTTTCTGAAGCCTACCATAAAACCATTTTATGGAATGGAGCAAATGAACCCTTGCTATGAAGGATATGACCCTAAAAGACAACAAATTAATAGTAAAGAAGTTAAGTTTGACAGACCTGGCATGGTTGAGCCTATAAAGAAAGATATCTATTTCAATGATGTTGGCATGGAACCAATCAGAAATGCTGGGCCTGATCCTTTCATAAACGAGCAGACAGAATTGGAAAAAAGAAATTGTATCAAACCAATAGGAGTGGAGCAGAAAAGGTTTCTAGATAGTAGTGACAGTTCTGGAGCTAAATCCAACAATCAGTATCATATGAAACCTAGTCTACTTGAAAGAATAGCAAAAGTTATTAACAAATCAGAAAATGTGAACCCATCAATAGTTAATGATGTCCAGTCCAGTAACATTTTGGGAGGTGTTTGGTCTTCTAAAATACAAAGTAGAGTCGGATCCACTAACATGCTAGGTCAAGCAAAAGCTTTTTGGTCCACTCACAATTTGAATGCTGTTCCGTTTAACAACACTGATGGGTCCACTAAGTGGGGTGCTGGGTCCACTCACACTACTGGCAGTGATGGGTCCACTTACAATGTGGATGCTGTTAAATCTACTTACAATTCTGGCAGTGTTGGGTCCTCTTACACAATGACTGGTGTAGGGTCCACTGACACTAAGTGGGGTGTTGGGTCTACTCATATTACTAGCAGTGATGGGTCCACTTACAATGGAGATGCTGTTAGATCTACTTACAATCCTGGCAGTGTTGGGTCCTCTAATACAATGACTGGTGTAGGGTCCACTGATACTAAGAGGGTCATTGGGTCTACTTCAACACAAGGCAGTCAGTCCTTAAACACAACAGCTGGGGAAGATGCAGATGCAGAAATGGCCCGGGTTGAACTTGAGATCAAGCAGTATGAGAAGGAACTCAAACTTCTACGACATCAAAGATTAGCAAAAGAGTTGGAAGAGGAACGCAAACTTTCCATGAACAATCAACAAAATCAGCAATGGAAAAATGAGCAAACAATAGTGGAAGAGCATAATTCAAGTAGGTTTTTTTATTTGGGATTGGACTAAAATTGTAATAAATAACTTGGACGATATTATTGCTTTTTAGATTAAAATTTTATTATTTCCTCCATTGTTTTAAAACAAAAAATGCGCAATTCACTGTACAGAAACTTAAGAAGGAAAAACATGTCAAAGAAAAGATTGATATCTTGTGCAATCTTAAAGGGTGCTGTTTTAACTCGGATATGTACACTGTACACTGTACAGAAAAGGTGATTTTTCCGTTTTCTATAAAAGCTTAACTTAGATACCTGAAGAGGAAGGGAAAAGGAAAAATTTAAAGAAATTCATAAAAAGATTTTAAATGTAGAAAAATTTTTACATTTTTATTTTAAAATGTATAATGGTAAGTATGAGATGTACCATAGTCCTCACTGTTACCGTGTATTCCCACGTGGACAGATTTTTTAAAGAAAAATAACCCGCTAAGCATGCTGGCCCATCGCTTTAAAACACGGGGAGTGAGTCTTTCGCCTATTATTGTCAGAGGTCTGCCATGAGTAATCCAGTTTCCATTGTGGGGAGAGTAAAAAAACAGATTTTGGTATTTTATTCCCCCTTAAACCGGAATCAGCGTTTATTTCATCCCTGATTTTTTAAGTTTCTGTATTCCTCCTTTCATCTTATATCTTGTCTGGGATAAGTCATCAAGCTTTCCACTCAGTTGTGGAGAGAAGTGGCCTTGCTATCTAGACTACTATATCTAGTACAACGCACATAGCGCCCTTTCTTTCTACAGGCTTAGAAAGCTCTGCTGACACCCTTCCTCTGGGAGGTTCGGATACACACTGTAAATGTAGAAAATATTAGTGAAAATATCTGTTTTTCATCCTTAAACCATAGTCTTTTGACGACCTTTTTGTTGACTTGTAACTCTGCAAAAATTGCCAACAAATTAATCCATTTTCCCGTAAGATGACTTGAAGGAAAAGATTTAAAGTGAAAAATAATTTTTTTTATGAGATGATAAATGTTTCCAGGTCTGCAAGGAGATATGTAAACGTGGAGTGAACTTACCCTGCTGCGGAACACAGGCCTGTAGAGCCTGTGCCACCAAACAGGTATGTTGATTGATTGCTTGAATGATTGTTGGGTAGATTTTTTGATTAAATAGATGGATTTATTGTTTAATTAATAATGAGATTGGTATATTTATTTAGTTAATAATGAGATAGATAATTACTGTATGTGAATCAATTATTTGTTTGATTGAATGATTGGTTTATTATTTCATTGATGAATTATTATGTAGGTTGATTTGTATATCGAATAGTTGATCTATTTATTAATTGGGTGATCGATAATAAAAATTATTAATCATTGGTCGACTGGATTAGAGGAAAAAATTCTTAATTTAATGGATTGGTTGATTGGTTGATTGGTTGATTGGTTGAGTGATTGAGTGATTGATTGATTGATTGATTGATTGATTGATTGATCAGATAACGAAAAACCGGAAATGTTGGAATTTGACCTGCTTGAAAGATGCAAAGACAGATGATCTGGTGAACGATGATGATCTCAGGTTTATTCATTTTTACTTATTTATTTATTTAATTCACTTTTATTCTCAATATTCTGATTTATGTTTCTCAAGTCTTAAATCTCAGATTATTATTATTATTATTATAATTATTATATTGTGCAGGTAAAAGTATCACTTTAAGAATACTTGACTGCATATTTTAAAATTTTTTATTTAATATGTGAATTAATTAATCACTCCATGAGTTTTTTTTGGGACAATCAGAATTAAAGTGCCACCTATTTTTTAATTTTCTAGCATAAAATGCAGGATTAAATTTTTCCGTAAATCATATTTTTTTAAGCCATTCTGTCAAAACATACATGTTTAAACGATGTTAAAGGGACTGTAAGCACAATTTTAAGTGATCATTTTTGCAAAGATAGCAATGCCCGATTCACAAAGGGACCCATAAAAGCTATTTCTGATCAGGCATAAATTCATCTCAATGTTTATAATTTCTAAAAATGTTATATTTTCAAATTTCTCTACGAAATTGACTTGCGCATTTCTATTGCAGAAAAAGCTTTAGGAATTATATGAATTTAACAGTTTTAAACATAAAAAAAACTACAATTTTAGTTAACATTATTGATCAGATAAAGGTTTCAAGGGTACCGTTGTGCATCGGGCATGGAGGGTTCCTTAACGTGTCAACTAATTCCTTGATATTCTAGAGATGCAACGACTAAACTTAAAGCCGGTCAACCTATACCAGCAGATGTGCTCCAGAGAATTCAGGTAAAATATTCATGATTTAAGAAAGAAGTTAGTTAGAAGTCTATGCTATTTCTAAAGGCCCGTAATTTGAAGCAATACATGCCAATCACCCAATTCACGATAATTTCCTCCTATACATGCTACCCTAATTAAATACAATTAGTTGACGAGGAAACATTTTTCTCAGACAAAGGATTCTAAGGGTGATGTCGTAATTCGAACATGCTAAAAATGGAGGGACACTTGAAATTACGTTTTTAGTCCCTTTAAACAATTTTTTTAAAGATAATTATTTCAAATGCTTATTCTTATTTTTTACATGCATACGTTTCGATTTCAGACTTGGATTAACTTCTTTATTTTAGTCCCGGTTCCAAGAGTCGGAGATAGAGATGATTGTTGACGAAGATCCTAAAATATCTTCTAAACCTACAAGTGCCACTCCGACCACTCCTTCTAAACCTTCAAGTGCCGCTCCGACCACTTCTTCTCAACCTTCAAGTGCTGCTCCGACCACTTCTTCTAAACCTACAAGTGCTGCTCCGACCACGGCTAAGCCAGCTTCCACAACTCTTGCTAAACCCACTTCTACAACTCCCAATACCTCTAAACCTTCCCCACCAACTCCTAAGTTAATTTCTTCAACTACCAAACCTACTCCTACCACTCCCAACTCCCCTAAGTCTACTCCAGCCCCTAAGAACCCTGTACCCGCTACGCCTAAGTCTCCCCTGAGCGCCGCAAAGCGTAAATCAGATCTTCCTTCTGAAGTTGATTCTAAGAAAGGAAAACTGGAGACAAATCCTCTCAAGGCAAAAGCAGCACGAATAAATGAATCCAGTTTAATGCTAGCTCTCTATTTTTTGGGTTGATAACTATTTAAAAGAAACCCAGTGGGTTTTCAGGGGAAAATAAATAAATTATCGATTTAAGAAAATTATTATTTGCTTTTTCTAAAATCGTGTCTGTATTATTTAGATATTTCTCGATGTGGAAATTATGCTCCAGAGTTTCCCCAACTTGTCCCAGGTAAAAATAAAGAGACTGTAGTTGGAATTTTAAGTGAAATTCCATGCCTGCCCTCAAGGGCGTATACAGGGGGAGTACTAGGTGGGCATTGTCCCCCCCTCCCCCCCAGAACTCGGAGCTAAATTCTCAAACTGAAGAGTGAAGAACATAAAAAAATTAGTTTGCGGTTTTTTCTGCTAGTTTTGTTTGAAAGAGAGATAAAATAGTACTTTTTAGGTAATTGGACTGTATGTGTACCTTTAATTTTGATGCGGATCCGGATCCTAGGTCCACACTGGAAAAAAATGGATCCAAATCCGGATCCGGATCTAGATTATTTCCATATACTGAATTTTTTTTAAAAAGCAGAATTTTTGTGGTATTTTTTCGCTTATTTTTATGCTAAAACTTGATGAACCATTCAGAAATCACGTAATTTTTATAATCTCTCTTTTTTCAATAGTTTAGGAGAGTAAATTTTTTTTTTGGCAGTTTGCTGATATTTTGCCCCTTGGATCCAGATCCAGGAAGCCAAAATCTTGCGGATCCAACAAATCTTGCGGATCCAACGGATCCGGATCCTTAGCACTGCTTTAAAGTATTCAAGAAGTTAAATGTTTTGAATTAACCGTTCAAGACACGAATTATCTTACCTAGATTTCTGAACGACGCAGCTTAAGCTACTTCTCAAACTTATTTTTGGAGTCATTTTTGTACATTTTCACTAGGTCAGCTTACGTACAAAATACTTTTTTATTGCTACCTACCTTAAAAAAGAGTTTCTTAGAGTAATTAGTTGAATCACGACAAATCGTAATACAGGTGTGGCGTTATTTCTGGGTAACGTTAAATAATGGTAGTAGATTCTACGCAGCAAATTTTCCGCGGCATCCGCGCATATTTTTGCAGTTTACCGCAATGCGCACAACAGAAATCTGGTATTTTATCTGAAATGTCAAAATTAGAAATTATATTTATACACTTAAATATACACTATATGTTGTGAGTACAGAAGTAATTAACTATACATTAAACTCTCATTAGTTGCAAGTATCAGAATCTTAACAATTAACTTACGTAACTAAGCTGTAATATCGATCCCTAATGTTAAAACAATTGATTTTTACTGTCTGTCGCTCAGCAAAACTTGATTGATTCTCAAGTATGAGAAATAGTTTCGCTTAATTTACTGTTTACATTCACAGAATTGTGCGCGAATTCCGCGGAAAATTTGCTGCGTAGAGTCTACTACAATTATTTAACGTCTACCCAAAAATAACACCACACCGGGCTTAATTTTAATCTAGCTTAGTCATTTTATATTTAAAGTATGGAAGTGGGACATCCCTATAAGTCTGATTCGATTTGATTTTGCTAAAATATTTTTTCAGCCTTTTCAGAATATAGTTGTAAAAATCCAAACATTTCATAATTCAATTTTGTTTAAAATGCATGCTCTGCACGATTTTGGTAAATTAACGTTGCAGAACATATGATATTTGTGCTAACAATTATATATTATATATTTCTCAAATGTTTAGATATGTATCAAGAGCTCTGAATCAGATCAAGTATTTTTTTCTGCCATCCCTCCTAAATTTTTGAAACCAGGATCCCCTGAGAGTCTTCTGAACAAGCATCATTTGAGGTAAAGGGGAGGGTACACTTTTCCCATTTGAATACATTTTGGACTCCTGTCTTCATTTTTTGAGGAATCTGAATGAAATTTTGCATATGGGCATAATTTGTGTTTTTTTAAGTGAAATAAAAAAAATATGGAAAAAATATTTTTTCCCTCTTTTTCCACATTTTTCCATGTTTTTTTAACCTTTTTCACCAAAAAGTCTGAGTCAAATACCAACTAGGTGCTTTAAACGCCTGCTTGTTAGTCAAGAATCTCATTATAACATCAGAACGAAGTTTAAGGTTTTTCAGATCCTTTTTCCCCCCTATTTTCCCCTTATTTTATCATATTTTCCCACTTTGATAATGTTTTCAGATTTTCTGGATTCATGGATTCATTTTTCTAAGAATCTGAATGATATTTTGCATTTGTGTTTGTTTTAAGTAAACAAAAATAAAAAAGTGGGAAAAAATATTTTTTTCCCCTTTTTCCACATTTTTCCCCTTTAGTAAATTACAGAAAACAATGTCGCTTCCATTACATTTTCATGTTCAATTTAAACATCTAAGATGTTTAAATAAAATAAATGTTTTTTTTTTAATCCTTACGCCACTTAATCACAAAATAAAGTGTGTAATTTAAAACAATAAAATATTCAATTTAAAACACTAAAATGTTTATTTTAAATCGCTAAAATATTTATTTAGGACCAAAAAATGTGTAACTTACAACACCAATGTTTTATACATTTTCAGGAAGAAAACCGGTTTTTTAGCTGCTAAAACTTCACCGTTTCAATTTGTTAAGGAGGATCAAAGTAAAGTTGGTGAGTAAAATGAAAAAATAGCGCTGCCCGTGGAATTTCAAAATTATCTATATATCTATTTAGTCAGTTGTTTCTTTGTCTATAAACAACATTTGTATATTTTTTATTTTAAAAAAACGGCGAGCTGAGCGCTATTTTTAGAAGAAAAAAAAACATAGACTTAAAAACGTTATTAAGATCAACATTTTTTTCTTCAAAACGTATCAATATGGGCATCAAAAGATCCGTCTTTTTACTCTGAATTCAGAAAAGCTTATTCCGCAGAAATTCTTTAATTATTTAACCAGTTAGAGACAAAAAACAGGTTTCTGTATTAAAACTTGTTTTTTGGGTCATGAACCAAACAAATTCATAATTATAAAAATGTGAACAGTAATTAGGGGCTTGTGTCGGTCCTACTAGTGATTTTTTACCTAGTATTTTCTTTAAATTGGGCTCAACTCACCATTCTTTTCTTTTTTTTACTAATTTTGTTGTAAAGTTCTTAGAATAGTTATATATATCACTGGGGCCCTAAGCTTGGTTCCAAAATTGACCCACCCGAAATTCCTAACATACAGTCCCCAAGATAATTGTTTTTAAATTTGACAATAATTCTATATTTTTTTAGATTGCACTGTTGTGTATGAGACGCTGACGAAAGCAATTAACTTTGTTCGAGAAATCAAGAAGAAAAATCCAGGCCGAGAGCTTGTATTAGGTATTGCAGAATATATAGAATTAAATTAAATATATTATACATTTATTATTATTATTATTATTATCAATCAACCTAAAGTACCGAGACCTGTAGGCTATATTATAATAAAAACAGAGTTGATCTTCGCTAGTTGCTCTGGTCTATATAGATTATAGTGGATCATACCTGACATCAATGTTTTGGGTATTTAGTATCCATAAACTGATGTACATTTTGTATTAATAATGCTGTGAGCTGACGTACATAATTCATTTATTTACTGCTGATTTATGTACTTTGATCTAATGTACATATTTTTGTAGTTATGTACTGTGAGCTGATGTACAAGCTGTTGTACAAGATATTGAAGAATGTAGCGTACTACAAGGAGTTCAAGGCTATCTTTGACTCAGTCCTAACCTTTGAACAATATTTTGCGCAAGCTTCTAAACAAAAAGGTAAAATTTAATATAAAAATAAATCAGAAAAGTTCATTATTTTCCACGTTTTTTTTATGTTTTAATCATAGCTCCTCTAATTGGAGAGGTATCGAGAAGATCAAAAATGTTTTGAATTTCTGATATGTAAGTCAGACGCATACGCCTAAAATAAGTAAAAAACTGGAGGCGTTACGAGTTAACAAAGTCGGGCCAGTGATGTCGCATTGTCGCATAGATCTGACCCTCCATGCAAAGATGGCAATGCCCGATTTACAATGGTAGCCTTGAAATCTTAAATCTGATCGAAAATGCTTCTTATAAACAAGAAATGCGCAAGTCACTTTCGCAGAGAAACCGCAAATTTAGATTAACATGGATATCTAATTCATATTTGATCAGACCGAGCTTTCAAGGGCATTGCTATCTTTGCATGGAGGGTACCTTTCAATTATGCTTAAAGCATTTAATTTCAGTTGACGTCAAACCAATTAACGAACTGTTCACGCCTGTCCGGGATATATACAGCTGTGCTGAGACAGTCAAACTTCTTCAGAGATTAGACAGGTTAGGTTTGGTTGGGTTGGATTGGGCTTGGTTGGATTGGGCTTGGTTGGCTTTGCTTGTTTTGGCTTGGCTTGGCTTGGCTCCGCTCCGATTTACGTAAAAATTCGTTAATAAGATTGACCCCCACCACCACTTTATACACATACATTACATATAAACAGTTTGTTTTATATCTTCCTGACAGAAACAATCTCAAGGAATAATAAAAACAGTTTTTAAAAAGTAAATATTTGCAAATTATCATATTTCCATCTCATGATCTGAGTTCGTTTTCCTTTTGTCCATTTGACAGCCCAATTTTTCTTTTTTTTGTAATTATTTTTTTGTTTATTTTCTTGAGGTTTTTAACAATTTTTTTTCGATTTTGATGGTTAATATATCGTTAGAACTGACGAGGGTCAACCCAGACCGAAATATATTTTTAACAAATGGGAAACTAACATTTACTTTTTTACTCTACAGAGTTTTGGTCCATCACCATCACCAAATTTTAGAAGGTTTGGTTGGGTTGGGTTGAATTTGTTTGAATTTGTTTGGTTTGGTTTGGATTGGTTTGGTTGATTACCAGGGTATGTTATTCTAAGAATGATTTAATTTCATTTCATTTGATTTGATTGTCAGTTTTCTTACTTGCTGTAATAATTGACTCATATATTAAATTATTTAAATTATTTAGTCATTCTTTCATTCAGTGGTAATCTATTGATTCATGATTCAATTCATTTATTCGCGTTTTTATTTTTATTTTTTATTAATTTATTCGTTTATTAGATTATTCGTACATATATTTATATTCCTTTCTGATTATTTGATTGATTGATTGATTGATTGATATATATATATAGAGAGAAGGTGGAACAGGCTGTGTTCCTTAATCTCCGTGTTCCCAGCCTAGAGGAAAAGATAGAAGGGTTATTTACAACAAAGGCAAGGGTTAATATTTTATTGAAAAATAACCCCCCCCCCAAAAAAAAAAAACTATTTAACCCCCCTTACCCTCCCCCAAGCTTGAAAGTCCTTTTTGTAGTGTTAATTTAACCCTGTCTCTAGGAGCCGGGCAAATATTGCAAGATCAGCAGTGTCAAGATCAAACCGGATTTCCAGTCGTTAGCAGAGAAGTGCAACCCGCAACCCGTTTCAAACCCGGTAGCAACTGCTTCTAAACCAGTTGTAACCAGTTTAAAACCGGTTTCTAAACCAGCTGTCGTAACTAAATCTATCCTGAAGCCGACACCGAAGGTCTATGAACCGGACCACGAGGAGATTATAATCCTTGAGGACGATCAGGTGACCGCGGAGACTGTTTATATATCTGGCCTATACGCGGTGTTTGTTCACCCTGTCCTTCTTCACCTGAGTGGATTAGAGGCTGGAACTAGAGCAGTTTCCTTCAAATCTGATCTGTATGCATATAAACCTATGAACCCGGCAAAGGTAAATCCATTTTGTTTTTGCAAAGTAGAATTTCAAATCGGAAATCCGTTGCGCAGATGTGCGCGGCATTACGCGGAATTAAAGGGCTCACAATTGCGAGCAAGTAAAATCTACTTACGTAGGAAACTCTTATTTAAAGAGATTATTGATTTTATATCAATTCACCCCTTCAACCATTTCTAATGTTTAAGATTGTTGAGATATAATTAGTTATATTTATTGCCTAAATCTATACTTTCAAGTTTCAAATAGTTAACATTAACAATTTCTAAAAATAATATTGTATTATTTGAACAATCCCCTGAACAATATTCTGTTTGGTAGAGTAGAGTACTTTCAAATAAGTCAACAATATCTATAGAATTGTATATCTGGCAGGTGTACTGGAAAGGGAAGGATGCCTACACCTTCTACAATATCAGGGTTCAGCTCAACCCAGCAAACAGAACTAAATCTTTTGAGGCAAAAATTATCAGGTGTTTTTTTATATTCATTTCTAATTATTTTTTTTACTTTGACCTATTTATAGCTGATGATCATTTTGTATTGCAAATATTATGATATTTGAAGCAACGCTTTTTGAAGATGTGTAATACTATATATTAGTTTTTAAAAAATAAGTAATGCAAAATATAGTATTGTTATTATTGATATTATAGAAATTGCAGATTACATTATATCGGGGGTTGTCTTTTTATACATGGTTACAATCGTTTTTATTGAGGTTTTTATAAGTATTCGGACAAGAAGTGTTTAATAAGAGAGTAGTCGAATTTAACGTCTTCTGTTATGTGGTTCTCTAATTTCATTGACCTAAACCAATTGTCGCGATCAAAGGCACAAAGGTAATTCCTTTTAATCCTTACTCCGAATTAGTTCATATTCATAAACTTCAGGAGTATCGAGGACAAGAAAGAGGTTGTTTTTATATTTTAAAATTTTTTTCATAATTAATTCATTCGTTTTTTAAAAGAATTGAGAATTTGTCACAAACTCATATTTTCTTATCCCTATATCTTTGAAACTCTCTGGTGTTGGACCTTATATGATTCACACTATAAATCATGTCGGGAAAATCCTTTAAAATATCTAAGGTACAGCAACATTAAGATGCAACGATATAGGATTAAGAACATCAGTTTGGGACAATGGCTCAATTCCTTTGTAACTCAGGAGTATTGGGGACAAGAAGGAGGTTCTAAATGTAAAGAAGGATACAAGGCGGATGGAGGAGACCAGACCTTTTAACAAGGTTTTTTTTTACTTTTTAGTATTTATCTATCTGTCTATTTATCTACCTGTTAATCCATTATCTACAAAGCGTACAAGGAGAATAGAGGAGACCAGACCTATTTTAGTCTTTCATCAAACCTATTAAACTTCATTTGGGCATGTCTATCAATCCATCTAAATATTTTTTTCCCTAGAAATCATATTGTTCATTTCAGCGAATAAAACCTAAAAAAGATACCTAAAATCTAGGAAAATAATATGATTTCCAAAAGAGAGGGGTGGATTGATAATTTCAAGAATCTTGCAAACCCTTATCGGCACTGTCCTAAGAAAGACGACATTTAATATACGCTGATAGAATGTGTATATTGAGATGCTATAATGCCCGACCTACTGTCGTTTTGAGCTATTAAATATTTCGACAATCGTTTATGTTACCAACATAAATGCTTTTAATTGTAGCAGTTTGAATAAAGATTACATCACAAAGGCCACTGAAAGTAGAGAGGAGTTCATTTGGATAACTTTTTTGCAATGACATCAAAATTCAAATGCAAATAGAAAAACAAAACATGTTAAATGAAAGAAACAAGATAGCAAAACGAAACCAAAAAGTAGCCTATATCAATAAAAGTGATAATATCGATAGTTCCTATGACGTTCTTTCAAGTGACTAATCACCATATTAAATATCATTTAGATTAAGGAATAATATGAATGTCGTCTTCCATAAATCAGTGCCGATTTCTGGGGTTTGCACTACTCTTCTAGGTTGACCTGTATTATGAACTATAAGAACTGAATATTCCAGGTGGTGAAGGTAAACCTGGTGTACAACACGGACACCAACCCCTCCACCTCCTACACCCTCAACGACAACACTGCTGTTCTTCTAGTTAAACTAGTTCCTCATGATAATGCTACAATCAATAATAAAAATAAGGTTAGATTATCACTATACTGTATTGTACCGTACAGTACTGTACCATACTGTATCATACTGTACTGTACTGTGTAACTGTGTATTACTTTTCTGTACTATACTGTCTTGTACTATACTGTACTTGGTTGTACAGTACTGTGTTGTACTGTTCTGCAGTTTACTTTTCTGCGTTGTACTGTACTTCTCTTTGTTGCACTGTACTGTACTGTACTTTGTTTTAATGTACTTCACTTTGTTGTACTGTACTTTTTTGTACACTGCACTTTGTAGTACTGTACTGTTTTGTTTTGTACGAAGCTGTACTGTGCTGTGCTGTACTATACTATACTATAATGAACTGTACTGTACTTATATTTCAGGATCTAATGTTCACCAGCAGTGATGTGTTTATGTACTTGAAATCTAAACTAGGCGGACTGGAGATAATATCTCATCTATTCTGCCCAGATACAAGAAATCTAGCAAGAGTTGTCTTCAGGTTAGTATACTCGACTAGTTGCTAGGGGTTAATGGGATTATTGACATTAATTCAAGTATCCCTACACTCAGACCCTAAATACAACGATATCTTTTAACATCTTTTAGTAACAATATTGAATTAAGTTAGTCGTTTTCTGTTTAGAGAAAAGAGACAAATTCTGTCAAATTTTCCAAATAACTCCACTTTTTCACTCAGTAAAGGTATAAAGGGCAACGTTTCAAAATGCCATGCTACCATGGAGGATTGATTGATGATCGATCGATTGATTGATTGATTGATTACAAGAATTTCAACAGTGTCATGATAATGATTTTGTAAAGATGTTGGTGGCTAGACAATAGTGTGTTAACTATTAATCTAGTTTTTTTTATTTTGCCACAAATTCATTGAAAATTCCACTGTAGGTGGTCTGGTAAATATAGGAAAATATATAGGTGTCCTCGTGGTATGAATATATATCAAGGAATATATCTGTTTGTCCTGGTAGTAAGAATATATATCCAGGAATATATCAGGTGTCCTGGTGGTATGAATATATATTCAGGAATATATCTAGGTGTCCTGGTGGTATGAATATATATCCAGGAATATATCTAGGTGTCCTGGTGGTATGAATATATATTCAGGAATATATGAAGGTGTCCTGGTGGTATGAATATATATCCAGGAATATATCTAGGTGTCCTGGTGGTATAAATATATATCCAGGAATACATCTAGGTGTCCTGGTGGTATGAATATATATCCTGGAATATCTAGGTGTCCTGGTGGTATAAATATATATCCTGGAATATCTAGGTGTCCTGGTGGTAAAAATATATATCCAGGAATATATCTAGGTGTCCTGGTGGTATGAATATATATCCAGGAATATATCTAGGTGTCCTCGTGGTATGAATATATATCCAGGAATATATCTAGGTGTCCTGGTAGTATAAAAATATCTCCTGGCCAAGTACTAGGAACTGCTCTCCTGCTTCAGGAGGAAAACATATCTCTGGCTCTACTTAAAGCTGAACAGCATGAACAGGAATGAAATCTTATAAGACTATAAAAAATCCAGTTTTATTTTTTATGACAAAAACAAATAAAATGCATTGAAGGGAAAAGAGTGTAGTTTTAGAATATAGAAACAGTGAGAACCAGAAAACTGTAGAATTAATGTTGATTGTTAACTAAATGTTCTTTCTTACATCTAAGAAATGTCGATAAAGATTTGTAATTCTTATTTGTTCTAACTGATAGTTACTGATAGTAACGTTACAAATTACAAGATCCTTTATGCGACATATGATATTTTAAAAAGTGAAGACGACAAGAATTTGACTGTTCTCAGGTTCTCACTTCTTACATTTTGAGGTTTTATCTGGTATTAAGTAAAGCCTCTCAAATTATTACATTTGACTAAACAAGAGCAAGTAAGATACGTGCGCACGCCGCGTTGAATTATAAGACAGAGAGAGAGCCTGTTCTAGTTGCGGCGCTCGGCCCCATAGCCTGTTCTAGTCGCGGAGCTCGGCCCCCTAGCCTGTTCTAGTCGCGGCGCTCGGCCCTCTAGCCTATCTTAGCCGCAGCGATCGGCCCATATATACCAATCTCTGTCTTTCTTGCAATTCAACGAGGCAAGTGCACGTAACTTCCTTGTGCAACTGCCTATGCTTAAGGCCAAAGAAAGACATTTACTGAAAGTGGCTGTAAGCGTAATTTCAAGTGACCCTACATGCAAAGATGGCAATTCCCGCTTTACAACGGAACCCTTATACGCTTTGTCTGATCAAGTATGCTTAAGTTTCTTTAAACTGTTTATTTTCTTTTGCGGGTTCTCTGCTAAAGTGACTTGCGCATTTCTTGCTTATTAGAAGCATTGGATAAAGTACCAGAATTATACAATCTTATACGGTATCTTCCACATATTGATCAGATAAAGGCTCCAAGGGTGCCGTTGTAAATCTGGCATTGCTATCTTTGCATCAAGATTGAAGAGGGTCAATAGAAACTACGATTTAAAATTTGGTGATGGCGATGGACCAAACCTCTGTAGAGTAAAAAAAGTAGATTTTAGTTCCACATTTAGTGAAAATATATTTCGGTCTGGGTTGTCCCTGGTCAGTTCTTGAGATTGTTTATGTCACGAAGATTAAAAACAAATTACGCTTCCAGTCCGGTCCCTTCAATGAATAAACTACATACATTTTGTTTTTAACATCAGTTTTATTTTTATTTTTTATTTTTACCATCTGATTAGAGCTTGTACTTATATAAAAGATTTTTCATATAAACTAGACAATCAAGAGAATATTGGCAGCAAATTCCAATTCCCCCAATGCGCCAACATCTCCGACTAAATCCTATGTCCTCACCAGCAGGATGAAACGTCCTTGTCACACGTTAGAAACGTCCTGTCTTTACTCTGGTATCATGCACCCCGTCCTAGTTAAACTCAAGAACTACGAGGTAACACAGTTAGCGAAGAAGTTCAGCGAGGCCCAGTTCGAGTTTAAAGAGGACTTCGTGAAGGCCGTTGGTTTGGATTTAGCGTCCAGAGCTACAAAAACGTGCTCCGTCTTTTGGCATAAAAACGTTCCGTATGCGTTCCTGCAGATCACTCTTAGTGGGCAAAAGGTGAGATAAATATCCTGGATTTGTTTTAAAAATTCCAGTTGTTTAATCTCTATTTAGTATTTATATGAATCCAAGAATCAATAAATCTTTGAATCCAAGAATGAAATAAATTTATGAATTTTAAAATAGATCACACTGGGAATCCGCGACAACTTGTATAAATAGAATGCTTAGAGAGATGTTGAAATATATCTTATTTAGACAAGATTTATTTCATTCTTGGATTCATAGATTTATTTCATTCTAAAAGGTTTAAAGTATACAAATCTATTAGGAATTTTAGATTATTACAAATCTAGGATTCCTAGATTTAAACTAACAAAACTAGGAATTCTAGATTATTACATATTTATGTTTCCTAGATTGAAAATAACAAAATCTTGGAATTTTAGATTATTACAGATCTAGGTTTCCTAGATTTAAAGTAAACAAATCCAGGAATTCTATATTATTACAAATCTAGGTTTTCTAGATTTAAAATAAAAAATTTAGGAATTCTAGATTATTACAGATCTAGGGTTCCTTGATTTAAAGTAAACAAATCTAGGAAATCTAGAATATTACAGATCTAGGTTTCCTAGATTTAAAGTAAACAAATATAGGAATTCTGGATTATTACAGATCAAGGTTTCCTAGATTTAAAATAACAAAATCTAGGAATTCTAGATTAATAAAAATCTAGGATTCCTATATTTTAAGTAACAAAACCTATAAATCCTAGATATTTACAGATCTAGGTTTCCTATATTTTAACAAATCTAGTAATCCCAAGTTATTACCGCTCCTTGATTTTAAAAATCCAAGATATTTACAGTTTATTCAATTTTCCAGTCCATTTTAATTTTATACAATTAAGCTATAAACAATTTTATTCACTGAAATTTACAATCCCGATTAAAGGTAGTCCCAGTTCAGTTTTGATTATCTCTAATAGAGTTACACACGAAGAAGTGAAAGTCATAAGATCAAAAGTTGCATGGATTCTCTGGGTGATGTCAACCCTAAGTATTGAATTGCAAAAACATGTTTGCTCTAACCTATGCACCCCCAAAAAATGTTAACCCCCTTTGTGTGTCACTCTAATCTCCAAGCTTTAATGCCAAATTACAGAATACTATTAATCTTGAATTTTTAAAAATTTAATCTTTATTCCATGTTCGTCCTTGCTTTTAAAATGTTTCTTCCTTCAGTTGAAGACGACAGTAGTAAAAGCTGACGCAGAAATTGCAACCTTTTCTCCAGTTGAATCAGGTTTGTATTGAACACGGATTTTCAACATTTTCTTAGGGGTTGGAGGGACTGAAATTCAAATACGTTTTTCTTTTATTAAAAAAAATTCTAACATTTTTTACTCCCAAATTTTCATTATATGTATAACTAGCTGAATTTGGCGATGCCCGTGAGAAAAAAAAAATTAATTTTGAAGAAAAAAATTATTTTTTAAAAAGTTCAATTTTAGAAAGAAAATTTAATTTGTTTAGTCTTTGTCACCCATGGGTTCCCTCAAAAAATTTCAGCGAATTTGGGGTCCAGCTGTTTGGCCAGCTAGCTATAAGCTAACATATATAAATAAAAATATGTATATGAGCGAAAAGCTTTATTATATAGGATATAGATAATCAATAAGTGCTACAAAATTGTTATGAAGGAAGAGGGAGCAATGAGAAATAAGAGTTGTGGGGGGGGGGCAATATAATTTTTTTAAAGGTTTATTTTTAACCTGTAACCTAAATATATATCTCTACCTTCAAGGTGAACCCAAGCCACTGCCTTGCATAGAGATGTCAGTGTGTATTGATTTCTCGCAGAAGAATCTTTCTGTTGATTTGAAACCTGTGCTAGTTAAGGTATTGCCTTCTATTTTAATGCTTTTTTCAGACTCATTGATAGCAGAGTTGATTTGATTTGATTTGGTTTGGTTTTAATTTGCAGTAAAAATTGAGATTGATTTGAATTTGATTTGAATTTTATATGTTATATGATATATGAAAAATGACAAATGACAAAGTACGAATGACAAATGACAGAATGGACACAAAATGGACGCAAAATGGACGCAAAATGGAGGCACAAATGGATTATAAAAATTTCCTGATTTCTGAATGGTTCATCAAGTTTTAGCACAAAAATTAGCAAAAAAAAGACAAAAAATTTGAAATTCTGCTTTGTTAAAAAAAAATCAGTGAAAGAAATAACCTGGATCCGGATCCATTTTTTTCCAGTGCGGATCCAGGATTTGGATCTGGATCAGCATCAAAATTAAATGGATCCAAAGCACTGATTTAAACATTATTAATATATTATTTAATTCTAGGTTTATCTGAAGTTTACTAAATCCGAAGTTCCCAAACGTGAAGTTCTTGATCAAATATTTGCAGTCAATAATATATACAATTCAAAACTCAGGATCCTGAATATCGTCTTCAAACCTCTATTTAAGGTAACATAAACATAAACATAAAAATGAACATAAACATAAACATAAACATAAACATAAACATAAACATAAACATAAACATAAACATAAACATAAACATAAACATAAACATAAACATAAAGCATAAGCATAAGCATAAGCATAAGCATAAGCATAAGCATAAGCATAAGCATAAGCATAAGCATAAGCATAAGCATAAGCATAAGCATAAGCATAAGCATAAGCATAAGCATAAGCATAAGCATAAGCATAAGCATAAGCATAAGCATAAGCATAAGCATAAGCATAAACACAAGCATAAACACAAGCACAAGCACAAGCATAAGCATAAGCATAAGCATAAGCATAAGCATAAGCATAAGCATAAGCATAAGCATAAACATAAACATAAAAAGACTAAGGACAGTCCCTTTAATAAAGAGATTGAAGACAATCCCTTTAATAAAAAGACTGAAGACTGTCCCTTTAATAAAAAGACTGAAGACAATCCCTTTAATAAAAAGACTGCAGACAGTCCCTTTAATAAAGAGACTGCAGACAATCCCTTTAATAAAGAGACGGCAGACAATCTGTTTAATAAAGAGACTGCAGACAGTCCTTTTAATAAAAAGACTGAAGACAGTCCCATTAATAAAGAGACTGCAGTGCAGACAGTCCTTTTAATAAAGAGACTGAAGACAGTCCCTTTGATAAAGAGACTGCAGACAGTCCCTTTGATATTGAGACTGCAGACAGTCCCTTTAATACAGAGACTGAAGATGACATTGAAAAAAGATTATGAAATGAAATGACATAAAACTGAAATGAACCCTAATATCTAATTTAAGGAGCACCTGGCCCCCCAGAAGACCCAGACGAATGATATGATGGCTGAACTAGTGATAGCTAGCAGGGACGGAACTATCTATCTCAACCCTAGAGAGGTTATAGCAGATGTATCCTCTATAGGAGCTAGGCTTGGTGGAGATACACACTCCCTGGATCTGTAAGTAACTTTACTCTCAGCATTTTGGAAGGGGTGGTGGTGATCATATATTTTACTTCGGCAGGTAAGTTTATTATACATAGGTGGTTTCAAGGGGGGCAGTCCATTACCTCCACCCCGAGGGAAATTAGGGGTGGTGTAACCCCCCCCCTGGATTTTCATAAAGTCATTACTCTAAAGGTTTTTGACCTGGAATATGTCATCTATAATCACCGACAGGTTGGTCAACCTGGGAAAAATGGCGATGCACCCAGAGAGGCTTAAACCTCAATTTCGGACAATAGTGTTTTAAATGCCTTTATTTGAAGCGGCTCAAGAAAAATAAATTATCGTAGATTGGAAGGATTTTTGTTAACAAAATTACCTTTTTTACTGTCAGCCTTCTTATGGTATACTTTTATTTTTAACTCTAAAAATAAACATAAAAATTTGCATTATTTAAGAAGCATTATTTTCTAAAAGATTAATAATAATAGCAGAACTTAAAAAATAATTCTCCCATCATTATGATAATATGATATGATATGTATAATGTTATGTATAAAGTTCAATCCGTATTATTTTTTTCATATCGTTAAAACATAAATAAATGAATTATTAAGACATTTGCCTACCCTGTACTTAAAGAAGAAACTGTAATTTCAGTAGAGTAAATAGAACTTTTTAGCAAATTATATTTTATAAGTTTAGATGGGGGTTAAAATTAATATAGGATGGGGGGGGGGGGAATTGGCGCTTCTCGCAAATACATTATTCTACCCCCCTCCCCTAACTTAAATCCTGAAATCGCCCTTGAGTTTATAGTTAATGATATTTAAAGACCGGAAAAATCATTAATTACTTTAATCTAATTTTACCGGGACAAATAACAATTAATAGCATTAGTTTGTATTGGCGGTTTGGGAATTCTGCATTGGGAAATGTTTACTGAATATCCATTTACCGCTCAACTTTTTGAATCCATATATATATATATATCTTTGCAACCTGGTGGTGTAAACCTTTGATATTTCAAACTCAGCCTATTTGATCCAGAAGAAAGCATATTATAAAATATCTAAGGTCTACGATATTGTGTTGCAAAGATATAGGGAATACAAAATCAAAGTTATTTTTGCAAAGACTGTATTCCTTTCCTCCATAGCTTTATTGTGATAAATTATTCTAGGTTTAAGAGTAGCGGAGTCCGAGTTATGACTCAAGATACTTTTGAGCAGGAAGACAGAGAGGAACAGAGGAGAAAGGAAGAGGACCGGCGCGCTATTCAAGAGCGTGCGTACCGCATGAAGGAGCGTGCACGAGAATTCCAAGTTAATGGTTTGTTCAACCGACGAATGGAGACTACTGAATGTCATCCTGGACCTCAAGTACATCAACTTCATCCCGCACCTCAAGTAAATCAAGGAACTCAAGTACCTCAACTTCATCCTGGACATCAAGTACATCAACTTCATCCCGCACTTCAAGGACCTCAAGTACCTCAAGCACATCAACTTCATCCTGGACATCAAATACATCAACTTCATCAACAGGAGAATCCAACGTTTTCTCGCCCATCCCAACCCCTTCCTCAACCTGTTCCCGTCCAATACTTAGGCCAACAACACCATTCTCAACTACCGCAGCCGGTGCCTCCACCTCAATTAGGTCAGTTGATACAGCACCCTGTACACAAGAGAGAGGACGTAGATCTAATTATGTTACCCTCTGTACAAAGAAGAGGGGACGTAGATCAGATTATGCGACCTCCTGTACACAGGAGGGATGAGATGGATTGGAGAGAGGAGATGGAAAGTAGAGAAGGAAGATATGAGGAGAGGGATGGAAGGGGAGGAAGATATGAGGAGAGGGATGGAGTAAGGCATGTTGAGGATACTGGCTCAGGATTGAGAATAAACATGAATCGTGAACAGGAAATGCTGGAGAGGCGAAGGAGAGAAAGTATGATGAGTTTGCAGGTTGGTAATATTTAATAGAATATATTCAATCTGTGTGTATCTCATATAAGCTTGCAACGATTTACCGACAAAGGGTCAAACAACCCAGGGTCAAATACCAAAGGGTCAAACAACATAAAGTGCAGCAAACGGACAAATCATTTTTTGAGCGAAAGCTCATTGAACATTATAAGAGTCCGTAGCGCTCGGCCCTATAGCCCATCTTTGCTGCAGAGCTCGGCACAGAAATTGTGTTAACCCAGTCTAACCCAAAATGAGGTGAGAGACAGCATATTATTTAACATTTAAGGTGCCGCAGGTTCGAGCCAGCATATTGTTAAACAATAAACATATTAAAAGAAAAAATTAGAATTTTTACCTTTTGTCGGGTTACCCTTTGTCGTGTTTTTGATAGTTTGTCGTTTGTTCTTAGGTTGTTTTACCCTAGGTTGTTTCACCCTTTGTTGTTTGACCCTATGTCGGTAAACCCTTGCAACATCTAAAAACGTTCTCTGTTGTAAAAAAAGACGCAGTTATGCGTACTGCCTTTGAGGGTGATCATTAAAAGGTGTGTTCGCGAAAAATGAAAGGGGGTATAGGCTTACGGCGAAAAATAAGCGCTTTTGATCGCTACCAATCTTACTTGCATCTTTTGCGTCTACAAGGTGAAAATTGTTAAAAACGACTCATTCTTAAGAAAGTAGCGTCCATACAAATTCAGAAAGATGCAAAATTCAACTCGGATCGTAAAATAATCAAATTATTTCCAAACAAATCATTCACATACTACAAACTTATTTTTCGACACATTCGTATCTAGTTAAAATTTTATGATATTTTTGATTTTGTATTTTAAAAATTATATTTCACTGGCGCTAGATTTTTTAACATTCCTGGAAAATATGAAAATGTTGTCTTCACTATCAAAAATCCTCGAAACAGGAATCAATGTTTTGAAGTAGCTATCAGATCATAAAAAATAAAAAATATTATGAAATATCCACTTTATACGAATGTGTCGAAAAATGATCGATGATTATTGGTTGTAATATCTGAATGATTTGCTTGGAATTAAATTGATTTTTTAAGATCTGAGACAAAAGTTGCAACTTTCTGAATTTGTATGGACGCTACGTTTTCGGTCCTTTGTATATCTTATCTTATCTTATCTTATCTTATCTTATCTTATCTTATCTTATCTTATCTTCTAGGAGAGAATGAATATGAATATGAATACGGATATGGAAAGAAGATCTCCGAATCAACCCAGGAGGTGATCCTCAATTTTAATTTTTAAGGATTTAAGTCCCTTGAAAAAAAAACCAGCAAAAGTAGAGCTTGAAAAAATATGTTTATATGTGAAGTTGCAGATACAGTCTGCTATTGTGTTCTGACTAATTATTTTGTTATGAATTTTTGTTCGTTTGTTCACTATATCTGTGGACAATAAAGTTATTGTGACATGAAGTGTCTAGCATTGTAGCCCTCAGCTAGATCTGTCGGCGACCACTTTAGATAAACAATTTGTTGTAAACAATGTTTGTTTATGTTTAGGTCAATGATACCCGACCATCGTGTGGTGGAGGAGGCTAGACATGTTCTAGCTCATGGGATCAGTGATATAGTCAATACATTCTTAGACAGGTAGTACAACTATCAGTCTTAGACAGGTAGGACAACTATCATTCTTAGACAGGTAGGACAACTATCATTCTTAGACAGGTAGGACAATTATCATTCTTAGACAGGTAGGACAACTATCATTCTTAGACAGGTAGGACAACTATCATTCTTAGACAGGTAGGACTGTGATAATTCTTAGACAGGTAGGACAAATATCATTCTTAGACAGGTAGGACAACTATCATTCTTAGACAGGTAGGACAACTATCATTCTTAGACAGGTAGGACTGTGATAATTCTTAGACAGGTAGGACAAATATCATTCTTAGACAGGTAGGACAGTGATAATTCTTAGACTGGTAGGACAGTGATAATTCTTAGACAGGTAGGACAGTGATAATTCTTAGACAGGTTGGACAACTATCATTCTTAGACAGGTAGGACAGTGAAAATTCTTAGACAGGTAGGACAACTATCATTCTTAGATAGGTAGGACAACTATCATTCTTTGACAGGTAGGACAACTATCATTCTTAGACAGGTAGGACAGTGATAATTCTTAGACAGGTAGGACAACTATCATTCTTAGATATGTAGGACAACTATCATTCTTTGATAGGTAGGACAACTATCATTCTTAGACAGGTAGAACAACTATCGTTCTTAGACAGGTAGGAAAAATATCATTCGTGGATAGGTAGGACAGTGTTCATTCTTAGACAGGTAGGGTAGGACAACTATCATTCTTAGACAGGTAGAACAACTATCGTTCTTAGACAGGTAGGAAAAATATCATTCGTGGACATGTAGGACAGTGGTCATTCTTAGACAGGTAGAACGACTATCATTCTAAGACAGGTAGGACAGTGATCATCAGATTGAACAACTAATATTTTTAGATAGGAAGGACTGATAATTCTTAGACAAGTAGGAAAACTATCAGGTAGGACAACTATCATTCTTAGACAGATAGAACAACTAATATTTTTAGACAGGTAGGACAGTGATCATTCTTAGACAGATAGAAAAATTATCATTCTAAGACAGGTAGGACAATTATTATTTTTAGACTGGTAGAACAACTATCATTCTTAGACAGGTAGGACACCTATCATTCTTTGACAGGTAGGACAACGATCAGTAGTTTAGTCAATACATTCATAGACACTAGACAGGTACTCGATCTCAATTTTTTTGTCGTAACTCAGATATCCCCAGGGTAGTATTATGGCAAGTAAAAGCTAGACAGTGTTACATTCATTTCTTGTCATATTCAAAATATTTCTAAAACTAATTAAATTCAAATTTTCTTAAAATTTCAATTTAATGTTGAACAAAACTTTCTTAATTTCAAAAAAGATAAATATTTTTCTTTGCAGGGGAGACATGTCAAGGCATTTAGAAGATCACAGAAGCGATCGTAGGTCAACGCGTGAAGAACGACGGGATGATCGTCGCCACTCAGAGATCGGCGGCAGTCGACGAGTTGAAGAGCGAAGCAGGATAGACGGCCGAGGGATAGAGGATGTACGATCGTTTATTGATCGAAAAAGATCTAACGGAAACGATTATCTTCGGGATAAACTCTTTGCGTCCGCGAGAGAGAAATTTTTCAGAGATTGATCTCTAAGTAATCAATCGATCAGAAACTACAATTCAAAATTTAATCCAAGATTTGTATGTCGATCCTGTAGACCCGCATAATAACACGAATCCGGATCTCGGGAACACGCATATAAAAAAGCACTAGTTTGCAGATTGCAGAATTTAATAATTAAAGCTTCTTAAAACATCTTGTTGTGGTGTTATGTTATTGTGAACATAATTTGTAATATATGCTATTATGTATATGCAGTACAATATTATTGAGGTGGGGGGGGGGGGAGAGGGGGCAAAGTTAAGAAATCTGAAAACTTATTAAAAATCTCTCGACACCTGAATATGTATTCAGTGTACTGCACCACCTCCGGAGTAAAACTACTGCAAACTATTATTTAAAAATAAGTGTTCTAAGATCCGAACAGTTACGAGTTTTTGCTTGTAAAGTTGTGAGAAAATTTAAATTTGTTTATTTGCTCTGTATTTTTAATTTGTTTTGAGTCGCATACTTATGTTCTAATCGTGGTAAGAATATGAATATAGTTGTCACAAGAAAACTGTGTAATGATTTTCGTCAGCTATGCTACAGTTAGAACCGGAAAACTGCGGAACAAGGAGACGACTTTTTAGACTCAAAATATGTCTTTAAATAATTCAATAAACATTAGACACAGACTAAGTGCGGTTTAAACAGAGCCATTTCTCTGAATAAGTGGTTTATTAAGTCACGAGTTAAACTATTTGCTTTGTAATAACTTCAAAAGCTCTATGTGCGGTTTAAACAGAGCCATATCTCTGAATAAGTGGTTGATTAAGTCACGAGTTAAACTATTTGCTTTGTAATAACTTCAAAAGCACTATGTGCAGTTAAACTGAGCCATTTCACTAAAAAAGTGGTTTAATAAGTCACGTGTCATACTATTTGCTTGTTATAACTTTTTTTCTGTTTCTAAAATCTCCCTGTATGATTTTGTAGAATAGTTAACGCTATTTCACAATAAAACGTAAGAATAAATACGACAGTTATTACACAATTTTTTGGTAACTACTCAACTTATTAAATATGTTATTTTGCAACATTAACTTTGTGTAAAAATTGAAAATTTTGTAAATATATTCAGATTCACGTTTTCCATCAAAGATCGAGACTGAATTTGGAATTGATGGTTAGCTAAAAGTTTTCTTAACAAATTCTTTAATTCATATTTATAAAACCTTAATTTCTTAATTTTTATTTGTTGTCATTACAATTATACAACCGTTTTTGTAACTTTTATTTCATGAAAAATAAAGTTATATGAAGTGTTTGAAGCGTAAACATAAAAAGTTCTACAAATAACTTGAAAGCAATTCTATTGATTTTTACATTTTTAGAAACGACACTGTTAATTTTATGTATTAGAACACCAATCACTCTGGACAGTACACATATACAATGAGAACTATTAAAGCTATGTAGATACAAAGACGACTTTTAATCTTAAATTTTTAAGTCCTAAAGACCGAAAACAATTTAATTGTGAAATGTTCGCTAACTAATTTTATTCTCAAGCTACTGCTAAACCTTTTTGCGTTGTTACGGCAAAAACACGTAAGATTGCTTAAATGTCGTCATTCTATTCTGGAGTTTTATAACTGTAAGAACTAGACCAATAATTTAAGCAATATACTGAAGTTTAAAGCATTTATTAACAATAATAACAAGTAGTTCATTTCACAGTAGTGTAAATTGTTAAATTTATCTAGTAAAACAGATTCGGAAGACAATGACACAATACTACATTTTTTACGGGGCAGCACCATTTTAGTTCAGAAGAAAGGAAAAAAATATTAGCAAAAATATTTTAATTGGGTGTTCTTTAATTGTTTTTTTTTAGCGCTGGAAAGTGATATAACTTACGATATATCTAACTATACTGATTTAATTAGTTCTTGTCATTTTGGCGAGAAAAAGCTGACATAAATATAACATGTTCATGGGAAAAGTGTGTGATATGTACTTTAGGGTCACCACATAATTATAAGGGGAGTGATGCTGCTTGATATTTAACCTATCTAATTTTAAATTTGAGTTTTATTTTTTCTATTTTCTTTTATTATTCTAACTTTAAAATTAGATAAGAAAGATTATACATATGACAAGTTACTGATTTGAAAATAATTTCCAACAGCCTACTTGGGGTTTCTTGAGTTGTGCAAACACATGCATGCAAAAAAAAAACATTTAAAAGGAAAATTATAACAATAATTATAGCAGATTTGGGTCACAATTTTCACCTCTCTCAATATTTTGATATTATGCTAAGCTTCGCAGACTGAGTATTTAATTTGCATGAAAATACTAGGCTTTTGTGACGATTCGCGTCCCCTTTCCTGAAATAATGTTTTGTTTTTAACTGTTGCTTTGAAAGTCGGCCATTTATAATCATTCTCAAAGTTAAGCGGATTTTACAAAAATCGATCTTGATGGTCCATAAACCTTACCCGGGGTCATGAGAGTTCCCACTCGGCTCAGCCGTTATGACGTTTATTGGATGCGAACAGACAAGCAAAATATAAATATAAAATATAACAAAAAACTTTTTGTAAATTATTTTAAATGTTTTTCTTCTTAGTTCTATGGAATCTGTTCCATGGAATCTGTTCTATGGAATCTGTTCTATGGAATCTGTTCTATGGAATCTGTTCTATGGAATCTGTTCTATGGAATCTGTTCTATGGTATCTGTTCTATGGAATCTGTTCTATGGTATCTGTTCTATGGAATCTGTTCTATGGTATCTGTTCTATGGAATCTGTTCTATGGAATCTGTTCTATGGAATCTGTTCTATGGAATCTGTTCTATGGAATCTGTTCTATGGAATCTGTTCTATGGAATCTGTTTGCAGGTTGAAGACTTCTCAGAAAATGTTCTTAGCAGAAATTCTCCCTCGTATCTTAAACAAAAAACCAGGGATTAGGATCTATTAGGATCTATTAGGATCTATTAGGATCTATTTCATTTTGATGCGCGCGGATCCGAATCTTGGATACGCCCTGATAAAATAGAACCGCGGAGGCCGAATTTAAAGAATTTGAGCGGCGGCTTAAATTTAAGCCGCGGCTTAAATATGGTTGGTTCCACTTAAAATTGTATCAAATGTTTCAAGATTTAAGCCGGCGCTTAATTTAAACCGGGTTTTGGCGGATTTAAGCCGCGGCTCAAATTCTTTAAATTTGGCCTCGGATCCAGGTTATGATATATAGTGATAACCAAAAAACATAAGAACAGTAAGACAACTTTGAGAATCAAGTTTTAACTTTAAAAAGTTCCATAAACATAAAACACAACTATTGTGCAGTGTAAACAGACCCATTTCACAAAAAAATTATTTATAAGTGTCTCGTAAAACTATTTTCCTTGTAACACCATCAATTACACTTAAGCATTGCTATAATGTCGTCTTCCCTTCCATTGTTTTTTGGTTATCGCTATATGGTTATATGGTTATAATTACAAATTACGATTCCATAGCGACATAAATATAATTTTAAGATTTGTTTTGATAAATCAATAAAAAACTATTACCCTGGGTCATAGGTGGAGGGAACAATAAGATATCGACCTGGTTCAAGTCTAAAATTAAATTGCATTTTCTTTAAAAAAAAAAAATTTTGTTGTTGTAAAGTCACCGAACTGTTGTTGTGTTAGGCTCTTTTTAAAAAACAATTTCTTTTCCAGTCCATACAAATCCTTTCTCTGACGGCATAATTCCTAAGATTTACATTTTTAAATTCACATTAAAAGTATGAATATCAAGAACTTTTCAGTAAAAATTAAGGGTGAAAAGTTCATTTCGAACAAACAAACAAACAAACAATCAACCATCATTCCGTAGAAGTCAGGGCTGAGACCTCATCAAAAATAGCCACAATGGCTATTAATGTACCAATTTACTAAAACATAGTCTAGAATAGAACTAGATACCGGGGTAATTCTTGTAAATGTTCCAGAGCAAATACTTTTATCCTTGTTGAGCATAACTAACCCGTTATTATTGACAAAGTTAAGCAACTTTCTGCCATTTAGGTTCACTCCGGGCCTGTTACCAACTATTCCCTCTTGCATATCCCCTACATGAGCGTTCATATCCCCAATGATTATGCATTTATATCCTGTCTGCTGAAAACCCTTCAATTCACCCTGAATTGAACTGTAAAGACAATCATTCCATGCCAGGAAGTCATTATTAGCTGAAACCTCAGCAGCCATGTACACCGAGCAAATGGCTAGCTTGCAACCCCCAGTGTGGACCAGCAACCAGGATCTTTCGCTATTAATCCATTCATTATCGGTCCCCGTTGCGGACCACTCACTGCAGTTTACTCTATCAGATTTTAGGATTAATTTTCCACCTCCGGACTTCATTCTGAAATCACGTTCTATGAAAGTTGGCGACCATGGTGCAAACACCGACATGTCCACATTTGTGCCCTTTCTTAAGTGAGTTTCATCTATAAACACTAAATCCAACTCCTTTGAGGCCATAGCTTCCACAATCTCCTGTTGTTTACTAAGAGAATTAATCCCATTACAGTTCCAGTATGCTAATTTTAAGCTAAAACCTGATGTTGTTTGCTTAGAGACTGGCTTAGCTCTTAAGCGTAACCATTTGGCGCGGGCTCCCGCCCGTTTTCTCCCCATGCTTATCTCAGGCCCCACACCGTCAGTTTATCTCAAACCAATAATATCTGAAAAGCAGGAAGCATTAAAACCCATAGAGCATATGAGAACCCAACGTTGCCCAGGTTACTCATACCTACCCCCGCCGTTTACCCGCACTTGGTCAATTTTACCGGGAAACTAAATTTGTGCTCTTAAATTCGACCCACTCAAATAAGACTCTCAAAACTGAGCTAAGAACATTCCCGTGGGCCTCCTGAGTTACCAAAACAAAATTGAGGCAAATCGGTCACGGTGTTCTTGAGTTATGATCGGACATCTCAACGAACTGTGCTAATTCTTAATCAATAAAAAGTATTCTACCTAAACCGCTGCGTAACTTCCCGTTGGTTGATAAATGATTTTGATCTCGCCACACTCAAATTGTACCTAAATATATTTAAACTAGAATTTCAAACAAATAATGATGATATATATATTATACAGTGTATATATATTATACAGTGTATATATATTATACAGTGTGTATATATTATACAGTGTATATATTATACAGTGTATATATATTATACAGTGTATATATATTATACAGTGTATATATATTATACAGTATCAGTGTATATATTATACAGTGTATATATATTATACAGTGTATATATATTATACAGTGTATATATATTATACAGTATATATATATTATACAGTGTATATATATTATACAGTGTGATCCATAAAAGAAAGACGACATTTTAGTAATCTTGGGTGTTTTAAAAATTGTTTTACCAGTGGCGTAAAAATTAACTTTTGAAGTAAAATGGGTCTGTGTGCACTGAACTGAACCAGTGCTGCATTAAATGTTCACTAGATAATCTAAAATCATAATTTGTAACTTAAAATCGTCTCCCTATTTCACAGTTTTACGGGTCACACTGTATTGCTCATAAATAAATGTTCTAGACCGGGTCTATTTTTTATTTATGGTGTGATTTTTCTATGGTGTTAAAAAAATCTTTAGTGTGATTTTTTATTTATGGTGTGATTTTTTATCTTCAGTGTGATTTTTTATCTATGGTGTGATTTTTTATCTTTAGTGTGATTTTTTATCTATGGTGTGATTTTTTATCCTTAGTGTAATTTTTTATCTACGGTGTGATTTTTTATCTTAAGTGTGATTTTTATCTATGGTGTGATTTTTTATCTTTAGTGTGATTTTTTTATCTATGGTGTTATTTTTTATCTTTAGTGTGATTTTTTTATCTATGGTGTGATTTTGTATAGATGGTGTGATTTTTTTTATAGATGGTGTGATTTTTTTATCTATGGTGTGATATTTTTATCTATGGTGTGATTTTTTATCTATGGTGTTATATAAACAAGCAATTGACGTTCAAAGGGACAGCTTATTATTATTGTTTAAATACAACGATAAAGATAGCGCCGTTATACTTTACTTTGACTTGAAACATATTGAATTGTTATAATTTTCTCCAATGTTTCTGCAGAACAAAATCCGCAAATCATTTTTATGGAGGACCTGCATTTGAAAATAGTTAATTTGTAGAAATATTTTTTTTAAATGCTTGGAAAGGTAAAACAGGGTCATTATACATTACGCCAACAGTTCCTTTAAGTCTATGGATAGTATTTACTTGAAGAAGTCCACATCTACTCTTTCATCAGCTGACATCTCCGGCTTCAGCCTAAAAATGCGAAACAAAATTTAATTCAAAATCCCTTCCACCTCTTCAAAAAAAGGTTAACAAATAATCAAAGAATTTCAAAACTCTAAAATATCTAAATTTTTATATGTGCAGAGTGCAGGTATCCCATTTTTACAACTTTTTTGAAATTTTGTAATTTTCCCGTTCCATTGGACATTTGAACAGATAAAATGCTACAATTTTTTATAAGTAACTCATGCAGCAAGATGTTTGTTTTGATGTATGACCATGAAAAGGTCTTTTCAAAATTTTTTTACCCCAAAATATCGAAAAGACAGCATCTAGAGTTCTATACAGTGATAACCAGAAAACTCTAAAATAGGAAGACGACTTTTGGAATTAAGTTATGACTTTAATAGTCTTATAAGCATGGTACACAGAAATACTGCAGTCCTAAACAGGTTTATTTCACTAAATTATTGATTCAATAAATGTATAGCTTAAAACTATGCTTAAATACACTTTAGTAATGCTATAAAGTCGTCTTCCTATTTAAGAGAATCACTGTATGTATTGTTATTAATCTATGGTCTATACCTATATATGACGAATCCAAGACTAAGATAGGCCAGACCCTCATCTCTGAAAATTTAAAAGCTATTTTATGGTCGTCTAAACGTTAATTATATAAATGATACTTTCGTTCATTCGTTCGTAGAGACGTATTTTCAAGTGTGACCTTTACAACGTTACTCTACAATCATATATCTGACCAATAATAAAGATATCGTCGTTGTCCGAGCTTGTTTTATGCTGAAAATATTCTACATTGGTACTAGAAGCAGAAATGCGCAGATCACATCAAAGAGAAGCCAGAATTGAAAATAATCAATTTTGTAAAAGAGAAATATGAAAATCTCATTTATTCTTCAGACCATGCTTTAAAGTGCATCGGACAAGACACTAAATAAAATGGAGAGTCATTTGAAATTACGGCGTAAAGTCCCTTTAATTTACCTCATTGCTCTTCTATTCTGCGCACAGTCCCTTTAATTTACCTCATTGCTCTTCTATTCTGCACACAGTCCCTTTAATTTACCTCATTGCTCTTCTATTCTTTTGCATCAAGGAGACTATAAGTGTACAAAGTGAATCCTCGTCCTGAACTTTTATTTATCAAATATTTTTAAGAATAAATAAATGTTCCCTTCAGCTTTTGCGATGAAAAAAAGAACCACAATATAAATGTAATTAATTACAAATATGTTTGTTACGAAAAACCTTTTACTATTAATCACAAATTGGCTTTTTAACACATTTTCAATAACTAAAAAGTCTTGAGTTTTACGCAACAATTAACATTAATTCGACATGGTACGGTGGTAAGCGATATATTAATATAACGAAGACGACTTTCGATTTCAATTTTGATTTATTTCAAGCTTTTAAACAGCAAGGATACACACAAACATGGAAACAAAGAGAAGCTGTCAATTATAAAAGCTTCGCTTTAATTACTTGTAAACTTGTAATTCGAAAAAAAGTTTGTTAACAATTAAAACTTAAATAAAAAGTCGTCTTCATAATTTTGATATAATCGCCTACCACCGTAGTTGAGCTGAGAATGTAGTATTGTAAAGAGAAGTCTCAAATAATTTTTTTAATTTCTCTACAATACTGTATTCTCAGTTGAACTACATTAGTACTCCCTTTACAGGAGAAATTATGAGAAATAATTAATAATAGAAGTTCCTCTGAGCTGTCTTCCAGTGTAAGTTTGAACTGAGGATTCAAGGCAAACGTGTCGATATAATTTCTGAAATATTTTATCATTATTCGCCTGTTTTTTACGAACTAATTTTTTTATAAATCCACGATTCAAATTGTAAATTGAAGAATGTCATGAGTAATTAAATGAATTTTTTGTTGTTGGGATTTTATGTTAACATGAATTTACTATAATTAGAACCAAAAACCTATGAAATAGGAAGACGACATTAAAGCAATACTTTTGTATATTTGTTACAAAGCAAATAGTTTTACTAGTAACTTTATAAATCATCTAAGTTTATTGTGTCTGTTTATACTGCACAATTGCGGTGTCTCATGTCTATTGGACTATTCAAAGTCATTACTAAAGTCTAAAAGTCGTCTTCCTATTCTAGAGTTTTCTGGTTCTCACTGTATCAGAACGTAGCTGGAAACTGTCAATTTATACCATTTAAAAATTAAATTTTTTTTTCTTCTTTTTTAGATTTGGCATTAATGGAAATTCCAGTCTTATTTCTAAAGCCATTCATTAAAATTCAAAAATCATTCTGACGAAATAAGGTTCAAGCTTAAAAATATATCATAAAGACGATAAATTTTTTTTAAATATCTTTTTCAGTGGGACACACTGTACCTACAGCTAGTAATGTGCATTGTGGATTGAGTGAGTAGGTTTGTTTTTGGTTAATTTTTTGCATATATTTTATTTCGGGCCGGGATAAAATTTGGCATAACGTAAAAAACAGATGTTTTTAAATTTGTTTTTTTCTAAACACTTCTTTCACCAAGCCTGTCAGAAATTATTATGGTTAAAAACAATGCAAAGTTCAATAAAGGCAAATCTTAAACAGAATATAGTTTTAGTTTTAAAACCTGCAACCCCCAGCAGTTTCTCCAGATATCCAAGCACTGTTAAAGCTGTTTACACACCACTAGACAGTTATCAAATTATAGAACTCAGGAGGAAAGGGAAGGGAGGGGGGGGGCGGTAATTTAGCCCCTTTCCAGTAAATAGATCCAGGCTGCTATTGTTGCTTCCATTTTAAAGACTGGATTTTAAGACTGTCACAACGACTTGGCATTTATTTTAACAACATAAACTCTCTTATACTTTTTAGGATCGTTTTAGGATCGTTTTAGGATCGTTTTAGGGTCGTTTTAGGATCGTTTTAGAATCGCTTTTCCAATTTTTATTTTTTATTGCATAGTTTAATAAAGCAAACTTTAATATAGTTTTGAAATCTTGAAAGTTTTATTGAATTTTTTCTTCAAGCGCGCGATCCAAAATGAATAACAACACAACCCACTAAGTCGTTATTTTCCTTAAGAAAAAGTAATCCCCCCCCCCTCCCCCCTCAACAAAAAAAAACATGAAAATAAAAAAATATTTCCGACACCTGAAATCTTTTGTCTAAGCCGCAGGATTCCAAACATTCAGGACTTAGGTTACACACCTCAACCTTTAATTATTATTATTATTATAATTTTTTTATAATCGTTATTCTTTTAAATATGGATGGACATTTTGAATGAGGTCCAATCTGGAACAGGATTACTACAAGATCAAGTTCGAGCTCGTCAAAAAGTTTTATAAATATAAGAAGACCTTGTTTTATTCCTTCATATCTAAAATAGTAATCTCTGTTTGTATGCTTGGGTGTATGTTTGTTTGTTTGTTTGAAGGCTAAGAATTTAAATCAGGTTTAAAAATTCGAATTTGATTCAGTTGCCTATTATAGAGAAAACTTAGTTCCCAGGCAGATCTGCAGGTTCCTTCATAAAGTTAACAAGACCTGGTCAAAATGCTCTTTGAAGTCCTTGAATGCCATCCACCACTCTCCGTCAGCACTAAAGGTTATTCCCAAGGCCTCCTTAGATTATATCATTATTGTTTTAGATTTTCAGCCATTTTTATATTTCTTATTGATTTTCCCGCAATTTTTTTTTGGCTTGGATTTGTCCGCCATTTTATTTGGTTTGGATTTGTCCGCCATTTTATTTAGTTTGGATTTGTCCGCCATTTTTGTTTTGATTTGGATTTTCCGCCATTTTATTTGGTTTGGGTTTTTCCGCCATTTTATTTGGTTTGGATTTGTCCGCCATTTTATTTAGTTTGGATTTGTCCGCCATTTTTGTTTTGATTTGGATTTTCCGCCATTTTATTTGGTTTGGATTTGTCTGCCATTTTATTTGGTTTGGATTTGTTCGGCATTTTTGTTTTGATTTGGATTTTCCGCCATTTTATTTGGTTTGGATTTGTTAGCTTTACCTTTTCTTCCTCTGGAATAAACGACCACTCCTTGGCATTATCTGCCCTAAATACCCAAACTTAAGAAAATTCATAAACTCAATTAATCATATTTATCATTTTACTGCGTTTTTATTCGTTATTTTTATGTTTAGAACAAATTATAATTTTTTTAACAGAGTATGGAAAAAATAAAGACGATATAATTTTCATTGTTCTAATCTTCAAGATATCCTGTAAGAATAGCAACGTCCTTAAAATGGTAAATTTCAAAGGTTATCAATGTTTGTTATCATCCAATGAGAACCAGAAAACTCAGAAATAGGAAGACGACTTTTAGACTCATGATATGACTTTACATAGTCCAATGAGCATGGGTCACAGCAATTGTGCAGTGTTCACAGACTCATTTCACCTAATTAGCGATTTGTTAAGTGTCTATAGTAACACTATTTGCTTTGTAACAACATAAATTTTGTTATAAAGTCGTCTTCCTATTTCAGAGTTTTCTGGTTATCACTGTAAATATTTACCATGTGCCTCTCCACTCTGTCTCATTACCCCAGGGGTTTCGGACTCGGACTGAAAAAAATACAATTTATTTTGACGACAAATTCAGAATTACCGATAATTTTGATATTAGTATACGAGACAAACTCTAAGTTTTTAATCCCGATATCTTTGCAACCCAACTTCGTGGACATTTGATATTTTAAACTATGAATTCGGTTAAATCAGATCATCCGATAGTCCAAGTTCGAAATATACCATATACCGTTGGGTTTGCAATGATATAGGGATTAGAACATTTATGTTTATGGAAAATTTCTAATATTTCTAAAAAAATGGCAAATGATTTTTTGGTAAATAGTCACCTAAAGGTATAACTCCAGTTATTCTTGGAGTCTTAATCTTAGCTTTTACAACCTGAAATATCCAGAGAGATAAAAATAATAAAGTTAGATAAGATTACACAGATAGAACAAACTAATAAAATATAAGAGAAAATGTGAGGAACTAACAAAATATTATTTTTAACATTATTATTTTATATATATATAATATATATTTGTATATTCGTATATGTATGTATAACGCCATGAACCGATTGGGTAACATGACTAAAAAAATTATCCTTTTTTTAAAAAAAAATATTTTGCTGCAAGAAACTTTTTTTTTAATTCCACAGGTAACGCCGGTCACTTCAAGCTAACTATTATCTTTTTAATAAAACAAGATATTAGTATATTATAGAGGACGTGAGTCAGACTCTAATAAAACGCATAAATAACTTCCAGTATATATATTTCTTATAACTTATTA